ATTCTCACAAATTAATTGACTAAACATTTTTGGAAATGAAAATTATCTTTTCTTCGTCGTCCTTAAATATACGGGTACGGAGTCTAAGCGCAGGGTCTGAGGATGCATGCAAATCGATGAGCAAATATCCGTAAGACTCATTAGTTGATTGTTTATACGCATCAAGGAAATAGTCCAACTGACGAGGAAATAGTTGTACTCCAATATTTCTCACAGATAGTGCAGAATTCGGAGACCTCATCAAAACAATATATTGGGCATTTTGACGGGCGACCTTAATCTTTTTCTCAAAGAGGTTTTGGGTTACAAAAACAATTGCAAAATTTTGATGGTGAGACTTTTTTGTAAACAATTCCGAAAGATATTTTTCATCTATGGACAGGAGCAAATCGTCTAGAATTAGGAGCAAAGGTTTTGAATAACTTTTTATTAGCTCCTCTGGGGGAACTCCTGCATATACATTAACTCCAGACTTTTGAAGAATGGGGATATTATCGTTCATCTCCCCAAAACAATACAGTACACTTTTTGGAGGGGGATCGATCAAATCTTGGGAGTCTGCTATAAATTTTAATAGGAATGAGCTCTTCCCACTAGAGCTTGGACCAGACAAAATCATACCAAAAGGTAATTTAAAATACAAATCTTTATTAGTAAATGATTGCGATTCCATAATTAAAAATATTTACGTTAAAAAACTAAAGTTTATATAGGAACAATTGTATCGTCCTTTTTCTCATCTGACTCTTCCAACTTCTTCGGTGATGAAGTTAATCCAGTCGTAGCTGCCATTAAACTATCATAAAATTCTTGGAGCTCATTCTCAAACTCTACATTATCAGGAGGTGTATCAGGACGAGAGGTATTGGAAATAACATTTGGACAATCAATTGGAGGTACAAGAGGAGTAGGGGAAATTTGAGAAGGTAAGTTAGCAGGAGGAGGAGTGGAAGGTGAAGGCAATTCCTCGTACTTTCTTTTCCCTCTCTTTGGATTTTGATGGATAATTTGTTGTGGTTGTACTCCATGAGGGACATTGAAAACTCTTCCCTTATTTTTGATTTTGAAAAAGCAATGAGTAGGTAAATCATAAACTGTATCGAACGGAACAAATCGAGTACCCGATCCAATTCGTGTACAGTAGATGGTAATCCCTTCCTTAGTCACAATAAAGTCAATTTCCACTTCAGTGCTCTTACACTCCTTACAGCTCCCTGATTGATCATAAGGAATAAATCGTGGAGTGGTAAGTCGGGAACTTAGGACGGTAATTCCACTCGAAGAGATATGGAAATCAACTTCAGGGAGGATTTGGGAAAACAAATTTTGGTTCATTTTGAAATAATGATACTAGAATCCAGAATTTCCACCCTTTTATACCTGGATTTTCAGTGGATTACACCAAAACACGCGCGCATGCCTAAAAATCTGTTGATTTTAAATAAAATTTAAAAATTGCATATTTGTTTGTTTAAATTTGCACTTTTTCCCCTAAAATAAGTTATTTCAAGCTCTAAACTATGCTTTTTGCAACTTCTAATTCCTAAATGTGCACTTTTCTCCCTAAAATCAACTATTTCAAACTTCAAACTATGCTCATTGTTTTTCCTAACTCTTAAATGCGCACTTTTCTCCCTAAAATTTACTACTTTTAAACACTAAAATTGCAAATGTTTTTTTAATAAAATTATGGACTAACAAGATTATAAAAACATTATTAGTACTTATAGGATTATTAACAGAATACAACAAGATTTCATGTTATTACCGCGCGCGACGTTGATGTTTTACAAATTGCCTGAACCCTCTTTTATTTTATTAACTCTTTCTTTTGGTTGACCACTCTCTTATTACCCCTCCTCGCTCGCGACATTGCCAACTCCCTTTGATCTTTGCCGCGACATGCCCTTTTGTCGGACCCCTCCTCCTCGACGGGTAGTGGATTAGCTTAGTGACACCCGCGACGTTGATGTTTTAAAATTACTTACCCCTCTTTTGGGTTTTTCATTCCTCCTCACGAACTGCCCACTTCCCTTTGATCTTTACCGATGCACTCTCCCTTTTATTTGACCCCTCCTCCCCCACGACAGTGTCCACTCCCTTTGATCTTTACCGCGCATTACCTCTCCCTTTTGGTTTTTGTCGGACCCCTCCACCACTTGACGGGGATTAGCTTAGTGACAGCCACGACATCCCCCTCCCACTAACTACTCTCACTAATGACAGGTGAATTACCAGAAGTTTGGAAACAGTCACTTATTAAACCATTACTAAAAAAAGGCGATCCCAGAAATATCTCCAATTACAGACCTATCTCCCTCACTTGCTCGCTATGTAAAATTCTTGAAAAAATCATTCATTCAAAACTATTAACATTCTTTATAACTAATAATATCTTACCTGAATCTCAACATGGTTTTTTAAAGACTAAATCAGTAACTACAAACTTACTTGAGGCTCATTCTGATTGGACAAATGCTTTAGACTCTAAAATGAATGTTGATATTGTTTACTTTGATTTCACCAAAGCATTTGATAAGGTCTCTCACACATTACTTACTCAAAAATTAGAAAAAGTAGGTGTAAAAGGAGCTCTTCTTAAATGGATTAAAAACTTTTTATCTAATAGATCATCTAGAGTAAAAATTGAAGATACTTATTCCCAGTCTTATAAAATATCAAGTGGAGTGATTCAAGGCTCTGTCCTTGGTCCTTTACTTTTTTTATTTTATGTACATGATCTCCCTAATTTCTGTAATGTTCACAACGTTAATATTAAATTCTTTGCTGATGATTTAAAAGCATATATTTGTTATCAAAAATCTGAATCCACTATTTTTTTACAAAAATTTATTGATAATGTTTTTGAGTGGTCAGTAAAAAATGGGCTAGAAATATCATTGGAAAAATGTAAAGTACTACACTTAGGAAAATCTAATCCCTTTACAAACTATTCCTTTAATAATACTACTATTGAAAAAGTCATTAATTCCATTAGGGATCTAGGCATATACACTAATAAAAATCTTAAATGGACAGATCATATTTTAAAAATTACTCGACAAGCCTATGCTCGACTTTATACTCTTTTAAAAGCTATTAAATCTAACGATCCTGAATTCCTTATTAAAATGTACTGCTCATATGTTAGACCCATACTTGAATCATCTTCACAAATATTTAATCCTTATATACAGTCGTGGAAAAAAGTATGGAAGCGCTAGAAAATTTTTTCTTAATTCTTAATTTTTCAGTCAAAAAATACGTTCTATATATCAATCGAAAGCTCTATTCGTATCTCAGTTGACATGTTTCTGCATTTTTCATGAAAATGAAAATTGGCCGAGATAATCCGGATCTACCGGATATACCAAATCCCACTTTTTCGGAAAAATTTTTCGGAACAAATTTAACAAACCCAAATGATAAAGCATATTTTTCTGAGTATTTTCCACAAAACCGCTTTTAAATATCTTTTTCCGGTCCAGAGATATGATTTTTTGAAAATCGCATTTTTCCCTTAAAAATTGAATTTTTTGCAAAAATTGACGAAAAATGCCATTTTCAAAAAATCATATCTCTGCTCCGGAAAAAGATATTTCTAAGCGGTTTTGTGGAAAATACTCAGAAAAATATGCTTTATCATTTGGGTTTGTTAAATTTGTTCCGAAAAATTTTTCCGAAAAAGTGGGATTTGGTATATCCGGCAGATCCGGATTATCTCGGCCAATTTTCATTTTCATGAAAAATGCAGAAACATGTCAACTGAGATACGAATAGAGCTTTCGATTGATATATAGAACGTATTTTTTGACTGAAAAATTAAGAATTAGGAAAAAATTTTCTAGCGCTTCCATACTTTTTTCCACGACTGTAAAACAAGATATAAATAAATTGGAAAATGTTCAAAAAGCAGCACTTAAGGCCATATTTCATAGATCACTTCGTCATAAATATACAGAAAATCTTAATTATGAAAACTTATTAATCATGTTCAAGTTAAAAACATTAAAGGATAGACGACTTATACTGGACTTAATCTGCTATCATAAAATAATTTACGGCCTAATCAAAATAAATAAACAATACTATCCCCAAATTTTATCAGGCATTACTCGAAAAAAATTTAAAATTAATAGTCAAATTGCTAACACTAATATTAAGCACCACTTCTTTTTTAGATAAAATGGCAAGACTCTATCCTAAATTACCACATGAAATATTAACATGTACTAAATTATCAACTTTCAGACAAAAATTACTTAATTTTGATATCTCCAAAATTATTTAATCATTATAGACAGAACTTCGACATTTTTTTTTAATTTATATATTATTTATTAGAAAAACACATACAAGTTTATTGTTTTTACACATTAAGGCTTATATATTGTTGGAGGTTTTATTTTTATAACATAATTTTGTATTGACATTTTTTTTGTAATTTTATATGACATTTTTTTTGTTGCGTGAAATTGTTATTTTTCACGTATTTAAATAAAATAAAATAAATAAATAAATAAAATAAATTTTTTTCTAGTTAATTACTAAAAGAAGGGGAAATGTTGTTTATGTGACTGGTTTTCTCATACCAAAAGGAAATATGGAACAAATTTATTGGCTTTATGGATTTACTGAAGAAATTTTATCTAATTTGTTAAAACAGCCAGTTAAATTAGAACTTCAATTTATTCGAAGTGCTGATGATTTAGCTGTGGAATATTTTGTTCAGCCAACCACCACACCTTAATCGTTTCATTTTTATAGTTAGAAATTATATGTTACTTTCAATCAACCCCTCAATGTTATAAAAATTTAAACCCCGAAAATTATAGTAGTTACTGTTTAGGCCGAAAATTGTCCTAAGTCTTGCTCATAAAGTTTTTCGAGATTTATTTTATGCATTTATAAAATTAGGAATTTATAATATTATTTAAAAACTACTAAAAATTAGACTCATTATTATATTTTCTATCTATCTATATATTTTTTCATATAATTTAGTCTTTATTTTTTGTATTATCATCTCCTCCCCCACCCTTATTTCCTTCTGATACATCTAATTGTTTTCCTAGATATTCCCAATTATGTACCATTAATTTTTGAATTGCTAAAAGATAATTTAAATAACAAAACTTATTTTAAAAAACCTAAAAGTGCATGATATCTAACATTTGGATCTTCAGCACTTAACAATTTCATTACCGCTTGTTTGCCTTGATATTGCTCGACAATACTTCAACAAAAAAATAAAAATTATTTAAAAATATTTTTTACTCTTTTCCACGTGGAAAATGTCTGACATATTCTCCAACATCATGAGCAGCAACACAAAGTACCAAAACATCACTAGAATCGAGTAATCGTATTAATATTCTAAAAAATATTTAAATTTTTTTATTTAAAAATTAAAAAAACTTTATTAATTCAAAATTCTTTTCATTAAATCTCTGAGCGTTTTCTCGCCAAAATTTTTCTGATTTATGTACTGGACTCCAATGAAGTCTACCAGAACGAATTTCAGTACAATATTCGTCAAATGAACTCAAATCTTGAACAGAAGTATGTAAACGTTCAGAAAGAAATTCAATATCTTCCAACTAAAAAAGATTTTTTATAATTAAAATTGGGCTGGTATTGAAACAATTTCAGTCATAAAAGATTTAAAAAATTAACCAAATCTTCATCATCAAATTTTTTAGCATCCATTAATTCCAATGTTTTTAAAGTTTTACATTGAACCATTTGAAGTGCCGACTCCCTCACAAGTTCTCTATTATCTATTTTCTCCAATAAATTTCGAAAAGTATGTAAAATAATTCTGACAACCTTTTCCTTTAAAAAAATAAATTAAAAATTAAATTAATTTTTAAAAACAAACTTTTGAACATTCAGAAAGAATATCCCCCAAAGTTTGAATTACTCCCATACTTTGGATATAACGAGCAATTTTACAGTCAAAAGATAAACACCAAAGACAAAAAATTAATTGATATTGAAGTTGAAAATTTGTTCTTCCATCCAAAGCTGTCAAAATACTTGGAACACCTTCACATTGAACAAATTCATTTCTATATTCTTCAATTCTAAGCATCATTTGTAAACACCTAACAGATGTATTTATATATTCATTAGACTAAAATTAAAATTTATTTAAATTATTTTTGACAAAACTTACAGTATTTCTTAATTCCATCCTCAAAAAATTAAAATAAGCATGAAGTTCCTGCCCTTCCATACGAACAGAACCATAACACGCCAATTTAGCAAAAATTGTAGACATCTTTTTAGTTAAATTATTTTTTTGTTTAAATTTCTAAAGAATACTTGATTAACAATAAAACCATCATTTCTAGTCAAAATTCCTTGAAACCACGACCAAATAGTTTTTCTTTGACGAGCAGCATATTCGTGAAATATTTCAACTCTAGACTTATCTTCCTTTAAAAAAATATAAAAATAATTTTTAATTAAAAAAAAGAAAAAAATACCTGTAATAAATCGTCAAAAATAGTTAAAATATAACGAATTAATTGTTCTTTTGTAATTTCGGTAACCAAATTAATTAAACATTTTGCAGTATTTAAACGGTCTTTATTTAATACTTCTGTCCGTTCTGCCTTACTTTTAGCTCCTTCCAATGCAACAATAAAATTATATTCATTTTGTGGAACAAGTTGTGAACGTAAATATGAAGTCCAATTTGGCTTATTTATTGGATTTCTGACTTCTGAAGCCTTTTTTGAATAAAAAATAAAAAAATATTAAAATTAAAAAAAACTTCTATTTGAATTTTGCTTGTTGCAGTTGTCATATCAACGGGGGTAACATGATGCCCGGCAGCAATTTCCTCAACCTGTTCACCCAAATTGCTATTTTGTTCCATAACCATTTTCTTTTAGACTTTTAATTAATGAAAAATAGAAAAATAAATTTAAATAACATAACAATTATTAAAACTTTTGTAAAAGTAAAAAAGGACCAAAAATTAAAGTAAAAAACTAATATAAAAATTGAGTCACTTAACTATTGTCCCACGCTATAATTATCAGAAAGAGACTCAATTTACTATTAACGACCAAAATTCGAACGAAGAAAATCGTTGCAGAATTTAATCATCAGAGAAATCCTATCGTCCAAATCAACCCCCCCCCCCCAACATAACGGGAGGCTTCGCAAATCCCAGAACCAAAAAATTTAAACGGTATAAAAAACCTTTAATATATCGAGCATGTTTAATACATTTGTTTAAAAATTTACATTTTTTTGCAAAATTTCAATTAATTTAAAAATATTTATCAAGTTAAACTTTGTCTATATTTGCATGTTTCTATTTGTTTCCTTCCACACATAGGACATATTCCTTTTTGATAAGCACAATCTTGACAATAATTTGCAGCGATGTGATGAGTCATCTTTTTACAAACTCTGCATCTTTTAAATTCCCCAACGCCCGGCTTAAATTTTTGTTTTGAACTGAGAAATTTATTTTCGTTGGTTAATCTTTGTGATCCACTTGCATTTTTGTCGACATGGACAGTTGCTAATTTAGATATTTTGTTTGTACCTAAAAATAAATTAAATTTGATGTTACACAAATCACAAAACTTACATTTTTCACAAACCATTGCAAAAACTTTAAAAAAAACTGACAAAAATATTAATTTTTGATTAAAAATATCTTCAAGTATTTTTAAATGAATAAACATATTTAAAGTCGAAAAAATTACGAGAAATATTTATTTTTAAATTTTAAAATAACAAAATGAAAGCGGAAACCAAAAATTTTCAAATTCACTTTTAGGCAAATCAAAACAATTTTTTAGAAAAAAATATTTAAAATAACAAAACCTTAATTTTTCGTCAAAATGAGATTAATTCTCAATTTACTAATATATCAAAAACTCTTTTTTTCCTTGTTTCTTCTTTATTCACATTCATCTTCATCCCTTCCTTTCTTATCAACTTTATTTAATTTAATTAAATCATCAATTCGAAGAATTGTAATTGCTGCCTCTGTTGCAAATTTTAAACTTTTTACTTTGCTAATTAATGGTTCAAATATTCCAGCATCTTTATTTTGACGAACAATTCCTTCAACTAAATCAAGTCCAGACCTTTTCAAAAAAAAATTTTTTTAAATAAAAAAAATTTAAAAAACCATTTCAAATCCTCAAATTTTTTATCATTTTGACTTTTATTATGAAAAGCACGAAGTTTTGCAAGTAAAGAAATTGCATCCTGTGCTGCATTTGTTGCCAAAGTTTTAGGAATTACTAACAAAGCATCAGCAAATGCTGCTACAGCTAATTGCTCTCTACTTGTCTTTAAATAATTTTTTAAAATAAGAAACAAAAAATTCAAAAAAACCAAATTAAGAGCAAAATTCTCCAAATAGACATCAAGTGCTGTTTCAACAGCTCCACCACCAACTACTAATTTCTTCCCTTCAAGTACTCGTTTAACAACACATAAGGCATCATGCACACTTCTTTCCATTTCGTCTAACATAACATCATTTGCACCCCTAAAAATTAAATTTTCTTAGAGAAAGTTATTGAATTTTAATTTCTTAAATATTAAGGACACAAATGCCATTTAAAGTGTAAAAATATTTACTAACCTCAAAATAATCGAAGCACAAGATTTAGCTTTTGTTCCTTTAATTAAAATCAATTCATCATCAGAAACTCGTTCTTGAACAACTTCCTCAGCATTTCCAAGTAAAGAACTTTCAAAAAGTTCATCCCCTTCAAGTGTAGCAAGAGAAGAAGTTAAAGTCGCTTTAAATTAATTTTTCATTAAAAATTAATTTTTAAAAATAAAAATACCTCCTGTACCCTTAGCAATTCGTTTCAAATCATTTTTAGCACATCGTCTCACAGCCATAGCTCCAGCCTCAACAAACTGTTTAAGACATAAATCATCAATACCTCCAGTAGTCAAAATAACATTTGCTCCAGATTTTATTATTTTTTCAACTCTTCTTTTTGTTATTTCTAATTCCCTTGAATTATATTTTACAATAAAATTAAAAAATATTCAAAAAAATACTCTCGTCGAATAGCTTCCAATTTTGATGGATCCTCAACTACAACAGAAATACCAAGATGCATTTTAGTTTTTTGAAGAGAAAAATCTAGACAAGCAATTTTAGCGTTTAATATTTTTCTTGGCATAGCTAAAAATAAAAGAACTTTTTCCAATATAAAAATAAAAATCCAAACCTTCACTTGCTCTAGTACAATTAAGAGCATAACCTTTAATAAGCAAACTTTCTTTGCTCGACTGCCCACGCGCTTTTAAAACATTTATTGTGTTAATAGGATAAGTAACTTTGCCAGATCTGTCAGTTCGTTCAACAGCCATTGCTGCATCGACACACATTTCAGCAAAGAAATCAGATTCACTATTAAATTTGATGTTTCAATCAAGGTGTAAAAAAGGAATAATGTAAAAAATAGTTAACTCACGATCCAATAAGTTTAGAAGATATTGAAGTTTTTGCTGTTTTAATAATTAATCCTTTGTCTAATTCCTCGACAGGAAAAGAGAGATTTTCAGTCATATAACGAATAGCTTCTTTACAAGCTAAACGGTATCCATTAATTATATTCGTTGGATGAATCTTCTTCTGAACCAATTCATCTGCGGCCTTCAAAAGTTCAGCTGCAACAACAACAACAGAAGTAGTTCCATCGCCAACCTTTAAATTGCAAAATTTCAAATCAGACAAAAATAATTAAAAACCTCTTCATCTTGTAATTGTGCCAAATCAACAAGTATTTTGCCAGCAGGATGCTCAACCTCAAGAAGCTTTAAAATTGTAGCTCCGTCATTAGTAACGGTTACATCCTTTATTAAAATTGAATAGAAAATCAAATTATAAAATAATACATACTCCAACATCATCCACAAGCATTTTATCAAGTCCCACAGGCCCTAATGATGATTTGACAACATTTGAAATTGCAACAGCCGCCATAACTAAAAATAAAGAAAAAACTAAATTTCAAAAATAAAAATACCATTTTGTGTTCGAATTGATTGACCTGTTGTACGCTTTCCATGAAGAGCTAAAATTGCTTCACCAGGACTTGCCATTTTACGATTAACGTGAAAAATTTATTTTATAACAAATATTAAACTTGTCAAATTACTGAAAAGTATGTGATAAAAAAAAGTTAAATACTTGCTAACTACGAAAATAAGAATAAAATTTTAATGCGACGAATTATCCATGTTTACCAAAAGTGACCTTTTTTGGGAATGACCATTTATGGAATTTTTGTTAAAAATGGTATTTGACAAAATGGTACGCGACAGAATGGTACCTAGCCAAAATGGTAAAGGTACTATATTAATGTATACGATAATTTGAAACAAGCTTAATGAAGGAAATTCCCTTCCTTTCATTAGGTTTTTGACATTTTATTTAATTTATAGTTAATTTTAGGTAAATTATTTTTTTACTTTAAAAATGATGAATGCATTTAAATTACAAAAGAAATTTTGTAATTTTTTATTCCTTCCAAATATTACTCGATCTTTCTCAATTCAGCCTGCTGAAGTTAAAAATTTGGATGTAAACATTAGCAAAGAGGTTATTTAAATTTAAAATTTTCTCTTTTAGTTTTTTAGTGTTTAATTAAAATGAGAAAAGAAACTGGCTATAGTTATGCAAAATGTCGAAAAGCTTTGGCTAAATTTGGTGAACAAAATTATAGTGAAGCACTTCGTTGGATAAAAGAAGTAGCTGTTAAAGAAGGATGGGAAAAAGCGGCAAAGTATCCAAAAATAAATAAATGTTTAAATAATTAATTAAATTTAAAGGTTAAGTGATAGAAATGCTTCACAAGGATTATGTGCTTTAATTACTGGAAAAAATATTGCAGCATTAATTGAATTAAATTGTGAGACTGATTTTGTTGCAAAAAATGATGAATTTCGGGGATTGGTATTTTTTTAATTTTCTAAATTCTTTCTTTAACGATCACTTAAAATTTTTGTTTTTTGTTTTCTTTTTATAGGCCAATCAACTTACTACTGCTCTTTTTAAGCATGCCGAAGATATTTTAAATTCAAAATCTGATTACAAAAATAATTTCAATGGAGAATTAAATTCCTTAGAAATTTGTAAGTTTTTTAGTTTAATTTTGGCTCTAGTATAGGACACGCGTGGGTAATATTGAAGAGTACAGACCCCATTTTTTCCTCCCTATTTTTCCCCCTATATTTTTACAAAATGGTCAGACTTTTTCCTTCCTTCCATCCAATTTGCCTTTCTAATTTTTGCCTGAATCAAAGAAAAAGGATTATTTTTTTGTATTTAACAAGTATGAGTTTTGAGAAGACTCATTTTCTCTATTAAATGGGAAATAAGATATCAAAAATAATCCTTTTTCTTTGATTCAGGCAAAAATTAGAAAGGCAAATTGGATGGAAGGAAGGAAAAAGTCTGACCATTTTGTAAAAATATAGGGGGAAAAATAGGGAGGAAAAAATGGGGTCTGTACTCTTCAATATTACCCACGCGTGCCACAGCAAAATATATATTAGTCTTATGAAAGTGTTCGCTTCTCAAAAGGATTTTAATATAAAAATCCTATAAATTTTTAGCTGCAAATGAAATAAAACTTCCCAATGGTCATTCTTTCGAAGAATTAATTGTATCTTCTATTGGAAAATTGGGAGAAAAAATATCTTTAAATTGTGCCAAAATAATCTATACTTCGCCTGAATTTAATATTTTTGGACATTCACACCCAAATGGTTTGATAAAAATTCTTTTTAAATTTAAATAATTTTTTAAAGAGAAATTTGGTAATGTTGAAATGGGGCGATTTATTTCAATTGTGACAATGAAAAGAAGGGAAGAAAATTCGGGCTTTCCGATTGAAAAATTGGGTCGTCAAATTTGTCATCATATTATTGGAATGGTACCAGAAACATTAGGAGAACCAAATGAAAATAAAGAAATTAATGAAGTAAAAGAAATTTCAGAGAATGAGGAAAAGATGGATGATGATGAGAGTGGTGATTCTTCTAGAAATGTAAAAATATTTTTTTTAATTTGGGGTATTAAACAAACACAGAATTTAATTTGAATTAAAACTAAAATCAAAATATTAACACTTCAAATTTTTATCCCCTTTCATTTGGCCCATTCTAACAATTTTAATTAAATATTTTTTAGACAACCAAAATTGATGAAAATGAATCTCAATTGATGCGACAGGCTTTTATGCTTAATCCTCGCCAAACAGTTTTTGAATATCTTGACTATCACGGGGCAGATGTTAAAGATTTTTTGCGTTTAGAATTGGGGCAATCGAACGAATAAAAAGAAAATTGTTAATTTTTGTTAATTTTAAAAGTAAATTATTTAATAGGATTGTAAAAATATTTTAGGAATAAAACATTTTCAAAAATTTAATCAAAATAATCTTCCAAGTCAATATTTGGATCAAGTAATTTATCCTCAATTTGAGAAATGTCTATTTGATCTAATATTAAATTTTCCATAACCTCTTCCATTTCTGTTTCACCAATTAAAACGGCTCCTTGAATTCGATGATTTTTTGTTATAACTTTAATATATTCAACATTTTCTGTTATTCTATAATTTATTTCAAAAGGTTTTTCCAATTTTTCAGCAGAAAAATCACCGAGAAGAACAACCTTAAAAAAGAGATTTTGTTAAAAATTAAAATTTGTATTACTTTGTAACCAAAAAATTCTGTCACATGTGTAAAAATATCAAAAGCAATGTCAGGCAATAAATTATCAATTAAAATAGCGCGGGCACAATAAATACCCATTTGTCTAGCTTGAGTCCAAAGTCTAATCTAAAAAATATTCCAGAATTATTTAATCAAAGAGAAAAACATGTTTCCAATGTGAACGTTCTTCAGTCCATCTTGGAGTACAAACATCTCCAGCAGCAAAAACATTTGGAATATTTGTTCTAAAAAATTGTAATTTACAAGAAAAATTCTTTAATACCTTATATGTTCATCAATTAAAATTCCCTTATCTTCAGCTAATTCTAATTCGGGGCAATCTCTTTTCCAAATTTTTGTATTTGGCACAACACCTGTAGCTTCAATTATTAAATCACATCCAATATATTTTCCATCATTTAAATTAACAAATAATTTCCAATCAGAATTTTTAGAAAAATAATTAGGCAATTCATATTCTTTTAATTTCTCAGGTTTTGAATTAAAAACAGAATTTAATTCAATTTCATTTAAAATAAATAATTTTCTTGAATCCTTTAAAAATAAAAAAGAAATTCTTTAATATTTTAAATACTTAATTACTGGAGTTCGAAATTTTTGAAAAGCCTGGGCCTGTTCCTGAACTCTGGGTTTGATTTATTGACCTAGGTTCAGGAAAACACCAATCCAGGAAAAAAAATGCCTGGGCCTAGAATCCGGGTACAGGAAAAACCCAGGCCTCGGTCCAGACTCGATTTCTATAAATTACCTTATCTGAATGTTTTAGAGCAAGTTTAGCTATCCAATGAGGACCTAATGCTGAACCAGAATACTCAGAATTGTCTTTTTCTTGTTCATTATTTTCATCAACTAAAGTAATTTTATCATAAATTATTTCAGAATTACTTTCTTTATTTTCTTCTTTTTCATTTAATTTTGGTTCAAAAAATTTTGCAGCAGCCATATCTATAAATTTTTAATAATTTAATTAAAATATTTAAAAACCAAAATATGTTGCAGAAATATGACTATGTCTAAATACCCAAATAACTTCTATATTTTTTAATTTAAAGCTAAATAAAAAATAAAATTTGAAAAAATATTTTTTAAAAATTTTTCACGCTAATTCTGAAGCAATTCCCCCATTTCCAAAAATTAAAACACGTCGAGAATTAGAAAGAGCCTCTTTAAGATCATTAATTGTTTGAGTATCACGAAGTCGAATAATTAAAGGATTTGATTGAATTGTTTGTTTGGGAGAAGCGCCAGTAGCAATTGCTAATTTTTTGTAAGAAATAATTTTTCCACTTTTTAGAATTAGCTTCTAAACAAAAAATTTTTTCTTTAAATTTTTAGAGAAAGTTAACCTTTTCTTTAGGAATCCATTTATTTACTTCATCATTTAAACAAGTTATTCTTTTAGATTCATTAAATATATTGGAATTTAAAGATTTTATATCAAAAGATGTCGATATTTGTCCAACCTAAAAATTAAAGAAAATGGAACTTTTTAATGAAAATTCTTTGAAAAACCTTTTTAATATTTACTGCCCGCTTTATATATCCACCAAGACCACTAACAAAAATTATAGAATTATCTGAAGTACCCGGAACTTCTTCACTGTTCAATAATTCATTTAATTCATCAACTATACACACACCACAAACTCCACCACCAACCACAACATAATCCGCTGATAAAAAGTTCATAGTTAAGGCCTAAAATGGAAGTAAAATTTTTGTGAAGTTTAAGAAATAAATTTACCTAATTTGTCATTTTAACAATAAGTATTGTTGGCCTTTTGTCTTTGGGTATTCTGTCGTGTGGTCTTATGTCTTGAGATCTTTTGTCACTCGCCTAAAATTCTTAAGGTTCTGTATTATTTTTTTCGTTTTCCAATTTTAGACGATTTACTAATGCTGCGATTAGCAAGAATCGGGTTTCGAAAGCCTTGACATTTTCTCTATCTTTAAAAATCTAAAATTTTCATTTGCTTTAGATAAACTTTATAGTGAAAAATATTTTATTCCAATGTCTCATCGAAAGTTTTCTGCTCCTAGACATGGGTCTATGGGATTCACTCCCAAGAAACGGTCAAAACGACATGTTGGAAAGTGTAAGGCTTTTCCTAAGGATGATCCTTCAAAGCCTATCCACTTAACTGCTTTTATTGGCTACAAAGCTGGAATGACGCATATTGTTCGTGATGTTGATAAGATTGGATCAAAAGTACACAAGAAGGAAGTTGTGGAAGCCGTAACAATTATTGAAACTCCACCTATGGTCATTGTCGGCGTTGTTGGTTATATTGAAACTCCACGTGGCCCTCGACCTCTAAAGGCTGTCTTTGCCGAGCATTTGAGCGAGGACTGTAAACGCCGTTTCTACAAGAACTGGTTTTATTTATTTTTTAATTTTGAAAAATAAAATCTTTAGGTACAAATGTAAAAAGAAGGCATTTACTAAATATGCGAAGAAATGGCAGGATGAAGATGGTCAAAAGTCTATCGAAGCGGATCTGAACAAAATTAAGAAGTATTGCGCCTATGTTCGAGTTATCGCACATACTCAGGTTTGAAGGAGTGCCGGAAAATTGGGCTCTGGAAAATTGGGCTCCAAGATTTTTCGGAAAATTGGGCTCCAACTTTCCGGAAAATTGGGCTCCAGCGGAAATTTGGGCTCTTCGTGAAAAAAGCGGAATATTGGGCTCTAAAATTTTGGGCTCCAGAGGAATTTTGGGCTCTATGGAAAAAAGTCAAATTATGCAATATCAATGGGGGACGTTGTTAGTATGACGGGGGTCAACGGGGAAGTTGTTCCGTCAACGGAGGATGTTGTTAGAATGACGGGGGTCAACGGGGGATGTTGTTCCATCAATGGGAGATGTTGTTCCACCAACGGCGGCGGTACATCGGCGTGTACCCCATACAAACATCTCTTTTTTTGCATAATTTGACTTTTTTCCATAGAGCCCAAAATTCCTCTGGAGCCCAAAATTTTAGAGCCCAATATTCCGCTTTTTTCACGAAGAGCCCAAATTTCCGCTGGAGCCCAATTTTCCGAAAAGTTGGAGCCCAATTTTCCGAAAAATCTTGGAGCCCAATTTTCCAGAGCCCAATTTTCCGGACACCGGTTTGAAGTTTTTGGATTATTTTGTCATTTTATTTACATTAGATGAAGCTAATGAAACATCGCAACAAAAAAGCCAACATCATGGAGATTCAAATAAATGGTGGAACTATTGCCGAAAAAGTTGATTGGGCTCGTGAACATTTTGAAAAGCAAATTCCGGTGGATCAAGTTTTTGAGCAAGACGAAATGATTGGATGTATAGGTGTCACAAAGGGAAAAGGTTTCAAGGGTGTGACTAGTCGTTGGCATACGAAAAAGCTCCCTCGTAAGACACACAAGGGACTTCGAAAGGTTTCTCTTGTGTTTTTCATCATAATTTTATTTTATAGGTTGCTTGTATCGGTGCTTGGCACCCTTCGAGAGTCCAGTTCACAGTTGCTCGAGCTGGACAAAAAGGATATCATCATCGAACAGAAATTAACAAAAAGATCTATCGTATTGGAAAATCTTGTTTGACACCTGAAGGGAAAAAGAATGGTTCTACGGATTTTGATACAACGGAAAAGACGATTAATCCAATGGTTTGTATTTATAAATATATTTTATTGTACAATCCTTTTTAATTAAGGGAGGATTTCCTCATTATGGACTTGTTAATCAAGACTTCGTTATGATCCGAGGCTGTTGTGTTGGTCCGAAGAAACGTCCGATCACTTTGCGAAAGAGCCTTATAACCCAAACGAAGCGTTTCGCTTTTGAGAAAATTGATCTTAAATGGATTGATACAAGCTCTAAATTTGGACATGGTCGATTCCAGACGAGTGCCGAAAAGAAAGCTTTTATGGGCAAACTTAAGAAAGACTTTTTGGCCGAAACAACCGTCAGTTAAGTAAAAATAAATGTTAATTATTTGTGTTAATCGCTGCAAATGTTCTTTGTTTTTGGATAAAAATTGTTGATTTTTATGATTGTTTACTATCTTGTTTTATCTTTAAATATTTCTTTTCCGACATAATTTAACTTAAATTAATTTAAATAATTAGTGGATGACTGTAACGTTGGGTCATTTTCTTCAAGAATCTATAGGTAAATTAAAAAATGTAAAACAAATTTATAAATTAGGAATTGAAAAGTTGATTGCTTTTCACATTTTATAAATTTGTTTTACCTTCATTAAAAAATCCCTTATTTCTGTAAGGATCGACTGTAGTTATCGAGCTTAAAGACGAGACAGCTATAGAAGGGAAAATTGTTTTTGTAGAACCAAAATCATTAAACACTGAATTATCTAATATTGTTGTATATAGAAGAGGAATTAAAAAATTAAAAGCTCTTTCTCTTCGAACATTATTTATAAAGGTTAGCTAGAATTTTTGTTAGAAATATTTAAATTCATTTAAGGGTCGCTACATTCGTTTTATTCATTTTGAGGGTTATCAACCTGTTTTAAATTTATTAAAGAAATCGTTACGAAAAAAATAGAAAAAGAATTTTAATTGAATAAATGTTGGTGTTTATTTTATTATTTTTTCTACAAAGTCAATTAATTGCTTCAAACTCAATACGGCAAAATCGATGTGAATTAAAATTAGTGGCTGATTATATATTTTATAGAGATATTGGCAATAGAAATTATGCAAATGCTGCTAGATATCTTGTAAGTATATATTTTTTTGTTTAAATTAGCTGTCATAGGGGAATGAGGTCCTTCCAACAATAGATCATCTTTTTTATTGTTAATATGCATCCTATCTATCTTTTCTAGTTCCTGGTATTCTTTAAAAATTATGTTAACGAGGGCATTATATGAAATTATGAAAATTTTTATTTCTTTTCTTTAGATAAATTTAATTGAAAGAGTTAATGGAATATTTTCGCCTATTGAATGGGGACTGGACATTAATGGCGATCGACTTTCAAATTTGGGTTTTGTTATTAAAGAAATGAAAATATTTGTGAAGCCTGAGGATTCTTCTTCTATTAGTCATTTCAATTCTCCAATTCAATCTGATGTTAATGCTGTTGATATTTTAGATGTTTTAATTTAAAATTATTAAATATTTATAATTTATTTATTTTTAGTCTTTTTCGTCTGAGGAAGGTACAAATTCGACATGTTTAACAATACTTATTACTGCAAAATCGTTACAATCTGGTGTTGTTGGATTGGCAAATGTTTGTTTTTCTGGTTAAAATTTTTTATAATTTTTATAGATTGGAGATCCTGACAGGAGGGGTGTTTGTGCGGTCAAAAAACTTAATAACAGCCACTATATGAATACAGGTAAATTATTTAGTTCTTTGCTGTTATGTATTTTTTCTCTTTATTCGCCATATTACCTAGCATTTTCGCACATCAGGTGATCAGCTTCGAAAGTGCCTTTCCTCACTCAATATATATTCGTTTATAGTATGTATCTAATATTTTTATCAATTTTAGCTCTGATTACTGTTCGACGAAGATCAGATTTAATGATTACACGAGTTGTTGACCTTGTACTTGCACATGGTTATTTATTTAAATTTAATAAATTCCTTTTAATTTCTAGAACTTGGGCATTCTTGGGGTAGTATTCATGATGATGAAATGCAAGATGAATGTGTTCCAAAAAATTCAAGAGATGGACGTTTTGTTATGTGGGAAAGTGCAAATACTGGATATGATAAAAATAATTACCAATTTTCTTCATGTTCAATACGTTCAATTCATCGAGTACTTTATTCTCTTGCTCATCGGTGTTTTGTGGAAGAAAAGAAAGCTTTTTGTGGTAATGGAATATTAGAGGAAGGTGAACAATGTGATGGGGGTGCTCATTTTCAACATTTTGGTGTTAGAGATGATTGTTGTACTAAAGAATGTAAATTAAGATTAGGAGCCTTTTGTTCTCCAAGGTTATTTGTTTAATTGGGATTTTATTAAAATTTTAAGGCATTCTGAATGTTGTTCGCTAAATTGTACTTTTCTTAGCAAAGATGTTGTTTGCCATGCACAAAAAAGTGATATGTGCAAGGCCGAAGCTAATTGCAGGTAATTTATTAATTTTTTTGATAAAGTTTTGAATAATTCTTTGATAAATTCCGCCAACCTCTTCAATATTCTTCCTTTGTTAATTTTTTTAGTTATCATCCAAACACCATTTTTCAGTTAAGAAACCTTTAGTGTAAAAAAGACTCGAGATTTTATAAACAAAAATTAAAGCTTTTAATATAAATGTTTACTTTTTTAGTGGATTTAGTGAAAAATGTCCAAATCCAAAACCATTAGAGGATGGCACAAATTGCACAGATGGAGGAAAATGTTTAAATGGTGATTGTATTCCTTTTTGTCATTCAATTTCTTCTGATTTGATGCCCTGTCTTTGTGAGGATGGTTTCTACTAAATTTTTTATTTAAAAATTATTTTTTAATATTTTAGCTAAAATTGCTTGTCAACGTTGTTGCCGTTCAATTACTACAGGTATTTGTAGCCCAGTGGAGCCAGAGCATTGGTTACAAGACAATTCTATGTGTATTTATGGACATTGCATTAATGTATTTTTTAATAATTTGGTAAAAATGGGATATTTGGGGGGGGGGGGGCTAACCAATTTTTGGATTGGTTGAAAAATTCTTTAATTTTTAAAATTATTTTTTTAGAAAGTGTGTGTAAAAGAAACAACGGATTCAAGTCCAATTTGGCGTTTTTTCCGAAATTTGAATGGACGAGAACAACGTAAAAATATTTTTTATTTTATTTAAAATTCCTTAAAATTTAATAGGAAAATTTCTTGCCGATTATATAGTTTTTATTGTTGTTGCTGTTTCTTTAATGATTTGGTGTCCTTGTGGAGCACTTATTGTTTATAAAGTAAAATTAAATTTCTTTTAAGCAATTTTTTTTTCAAAAATTTTTTAGGACAGACAAGAACAAAATGAATTAATTCAAAAACGTTTAGCAGCACAGAAGAATGTACAAATTCTTAATAATGAATCATCTAATAATAATAATTCTAAACAATCATTTAATAAAACACCTAAACGAAGTTATTCAATAAATGAAATAACAACAAATTCAACAATTGAAGAAGATAAAATTAAGCCTTCACATTCATCAATAGCTCTTTTAAGATTGAAAAATGAAGATGATATTAAAGAAAATATTTTTAATTCGAGGGCAAGACATAGAAATGAATGGAAAACAAAAAATGGTAATGAAAGAGAAACAAGTCTTTAAATATTTAATTTTTTAAATTCAAAAATTTATTTGTTTTTCAATACTTTGACCTATATAGAGGAGGGAATTTATTGTTATTTTTATAATGCCTTAAAAGATTTTATTTTTATTCATTATTATCTCGCTGATTTGACTTTTTTTTCTTATTTATTTTCACTTAATATTCTCATCACCTCAATAGAGAGAAAAGGGTATATTTAAATGCTGGTATATTTAAATGCTTACCTATTGTTTTATTTTTTTGTTTATTGTTATTTAATTATTTTTTAAATTTAAAATAAAATTTTAAATTAATTTTCTAGTAAATTATTTTGACCACTCTTAAATGTTTTTTCCTTTTCGCACAAATCGCTATTCAGGAATGCAAACAAATTGACCGGCTTTTGTCACTTGTTTTTAGGAACCCACAAAAGTAAATGGTCAATGAAATTTAGATTCGGGATGTTGAGGGGGAGGTTAAAAGAGAGGAAGGAGGGGAAAATTTTTTATTTATTGTTTTCTTGGCTAAATGAAGTAGTTGAGAAAGAAAACTTTTAAAATCAATTTATATTCCTACCGGTGTTCATTGTTAAATTTTAATTAAAAATTTGGAGAAAAATTATTAATTTTGTTTCAATTTAATTAAAATTTCAATTGGAGCAAAGCAATGGAATTAATAGCAAATATTTTTGGATTTTATTTTACTTTATTTTTCAATTGTGTCTCTTTCTTAGCATCACAGAATTACGATTCAACTGTATTAAATGAAGTAAATAGAACAGACGAGAAAGAAAATTTAACAAAAGAAGAATTAAATAATAATAAAATTTTAGCATTAAAAGAAGAACCAGCTTGGTTACGTTCTGGTTATTTTAATTATAAATTAAATAATTTTTATGATTAGGAAAGTTTCAAGGAGATATTGATGGAGTTGATGAAGTATTACTTAAGCAGGTAGAGGAATTGTGTATAATAGTGGTCGAGCTGGGTCTGGACCGAGGCCTGGTTTTTCCTTTACCCAGAGTCCAGACCCAGGCATTTTTTGACCTTCCTGGGTTTTTCCTGGACTACAGGCCCAGGTCAGTAAATCAAACCCAGGAACAGGCCCAGGCTTTTCAAAAATCTCGATCACTAGTGTATAAACTCTCAACACATAAATGACTGACTATATTTTAGTTATCAGATCCAAATGTTCAATTTAATGCTCTAAAGAATCATCAATTAATTTGGTTATTGAAAGATTTACCCCTTTTTATAAAAAATATTTTAAAGGCCAAACGGTATTGTTCCATATGAATTGGATGAGGCTTTTTGTAAATTATAATTATTTTTAAATTATTAAATTAATTTTTATTTAGCAATTAGTGAAGTTAAACTTTTACAAAAAGCTTTTAGAATTTATCGACGGTAATTGATAGAGAAAATATATTTTCTTTTTTCAATTTTATTTTAAGGCGTACTTTTGGATGTATCCATTTCAAGCCTCGAAACTTTGAAAATGATTATTTAAATATTGTAAGGGGTAATGGGTAAGAGAAGATAATTCTGACAAAAATAATTTAAATAAATTGTTTGTAGATGCTATTCTCAAGTTGGGAAAACTGGTGGTAAACAGGAACTTTCATTGGGACAAGGATGTTTATTTAATGAAACTGTAAGGAAGGAAAGGAGGGAGGGGAGGAAATCTCGGGAGTGATTATTTTCTTTTTAAACTTCTGTTAGACCCCACAATTTAGAGGTCGGTCCGAATTCCGACTTCTGATGTTTTTTTCCTCTCGATTTCCGAAAATTTAGGCTGATTTCCGAGTTCCGACTTTTGAGCCACTTCCGAAACCTCTGCTACAATTTCCCCAACACACAGATTCTTAGAATAAAAAAATATTTTTTCAAAAGATAATTCATGAATTAATGCATTCATTGGGCTTTTGGCACGAACATAGTAGAGCAGATAGAGATAATCATATAATAATTCGTTGGGAGAATATATTGCCTGGTTTAGATTCACAATTTGATATTGTTAGTTAAAAAGAATATTTTTTTAAAAATTATTTTTCTTTTTTTAATGTTTCTTCTGCTATACAAGATACTTTAAATGAGCCATATGATTATAAGTAGGGAATATTTTTTTAAATAAAAATATTTTTAAATTTAAATAGATCAATTATGCATTACGGCTCTTCAGCATTTAGTAAAAATGGAAAAAATACCTTAGAAGCTGTAATTAATGATGTAAATTTTGAAAGAGAAATAAAATAAAAATTAATTTTAATTTCCAAGTTTACAAATATAATTGGGACATCTTTTGAATTGAGTGAATTAGATATTGAAAAAATAATGAAATTATATAATTGTGATAAACAGAAGAAGGGAAATAGTAATTATTTAATTAAAAAAAGGTTTTTTAATTAAAAAATTATTTTTTGAAATTTTTTAGAAAAATAAATACTAATTATCAAGAAAATATTGAAAATAAATTTAAAAGGAAATTAAGAAAAAAATTAAAAGAAGAAAAAGAAGAAAATAATAATTATTTATTAAAGGAAGAAGAACAAAAAGGTATTTACCTAAATTAATTTTTTAATTAAAATATTTTTAAAAAAAGAATGTACTGATTATTTTGTTGATTGTAACCAATTTATTGACTATTGTAGAAAAATATCTTTTTATTTTATTATGAGAACATATTGTCCATTTACTTGTGGAAAATGTAAAAAATAAAAATTCTAATTTATTGCCATTTATTTTTAAATAAAAGTAAATATATTTGGTTAGAAAATATTTGTTTAGAAAATTTGAATTATTTTAATTAGAAAGACCGAATTGGAAATATCATACAAGAATTTAGATATCTTGAAGAATAACGATTTCAATCGAAATTTTCATCTGAAATCTCGACTCGGTCTCTAACTACAATAATGTTTAGTCAAAACCGATATAATTTTATAAGAATAAGAAAAAACTTTTTGGGAACATTAAAATTATATTTAATTAAAAAATAGGTATTAACATATATTTTGACTAGAAAATAAACATTTAAAGACTAGCAATGATTAAAAACAAACATTTTCTTTTAAAGATGTGTGTCCTGTTTAAAAATAAATTTTACAAATAATTTTTTAAATTAATTTTATTTACCTCATATCCCCATCTATTGGGAGCATTTGTTCGATTTCCTCCATTATAATTATTTGTTGAAGTAAATCTCCCTCCATCAGATCTTTTTAATTAATTAATTAAGGTATTCTTTATTTATTTAATTACCTTCCTCCTCCTCCTCCAACTCCATAACGTTTATTAATATAATTATTATTTCCTCCTCCTCCTCCACTTGTAGTATATCCATAATTTCCCCCATTTCCATTATTATTTGCCCCAATATTTGTTGAATAACGGGATGAAGGCCCTCCAACAGAATTTAAATTATCTTTTCCTGTTATTTTTTGATTTCCACCACGAAATAGTGATTTAATACATTCAATTGGTGAACGAGGACGTTTAAATTCTTCTTCCAATAAACTTTTTTTAAAAATAATGTATAATTATTTTAATTTAACAAAAAAGCTTTTTCTATTATGTATACTAGTGTTTTGGGAAGTTCCGGTTCCGGTAGGCCGGAAGTTCCGGGATTTTTTGGTTCCTGTTCCGGTTCCAGCCCTTCAGTTCCTATTCCGGTCAAATTTCTGGTTCCGGCTAAACACTAGTGAGTACCCATTCTACTAATTTGATATTGTAAAAATTGAAAATCTTGTTGGAGAATGTTAAATAAAGTTGATTTTATGAGGTGTATATTATATAATGAAGAGGGGGATATCGCTTAAGCAGCCCTCGATTGTATTTTATTTTTCTATAAAAGATTGGGATAAATTTTTGCAAAACTCTTTTTATTAAGCTTGGCGGACCCTACTCTTTTAACAGTTAATTTAAATATCCTCACATATTAGCACTTTGTTTTCTCGAATTTGGAACAGATTCAGGTCCCAATCTAACTTCTGTTGTTTTACGTCTACCCAAATTTAAAAGGCCTGCACTTCCTCTTTTTTTATTATTTAAATTAACATCATAATCATATTCTCGATTTGCTTAAAAAAAGAAAAGAAGATATACTTTTTTGTCAAAATTTATTTAAAAGTGCTCTAATAAAGTGCCTGAAGGGACAGAAGAATCCAAATAATTAAATTGCTGTTGATACGAAGGCAAAATGGGTGCAGCCCCTCCATGCATAATTCCGGGTAAATGATCAGAAGAACCTCCATACCGACGTGAATAAGAACTTCCAATTCTTGAAAATTCCTGATTATTATAGTTTTGATGTTCATCCAATGAATGGCTATTTAAATATCCTTTATCAACAGATTGATGTCTACGTAGACGACCTAGATAAAATTAAGTGCAAAAAATTGGGGGAAAAATTGTGAAAATTAAAAAAAATTTTTAATTGTTAAAAGGAAAGGGAAAAGAATTTTGTGTTACTTTTTAAAATTATTTTCCAACCTTGTACTCTTGGTTCCCCTTCATAAGCCTATAAATAAATAATTAAATAATAACATTTTTACTCTTTACTTGTCTATTTTTAAGAATTCCACGTATAGGTGCAGCATCCAAATCAACATTATGTTGATCTCTTCTACTAGATCTACTATTAATATATTGCTGCCCGCCCCCTCCATTTGGCATTCCAGAATCGTGATAAGCAATATATGCATATTCGGGTAGTTGATTAGAATAACCCCCTCCTCCTCCCCCTACTCCTCCACCAATTTCGGGTGTTGCATAACGAGAATTTCCACTTATCGGTTCTTAAATTTAAATAAAATATACTTCCTCTCTTTTTCCCACCAATTTGTTCCAATTCATCAGGCATATAAGCACCTCTTGAAAGTAAAGCCATGTGATCATTAGATTGTGAACGTGAAGCATATGAAGAACGTCTTCCATCTGCATCCCTCAAAGCAGCTATTTTTCGTCTAAATCTTCCTTCCCCTCCTCTTGGGGGAGATTCTGGTTCAGGTAATGGTTGATTATGAGAATAATAGTTTCCACTAATATATTCATTACAAGGAGTTACTAAACAAGAGAAAACATTTAAAAATATATTTTTGTTTATTATTTACTAGGTCTTTCTGTTTCATAAATACTTCTACGTATTCCCCCTCCTCCCATTCCCACTCCATATTCTTCTGTACGAGGTCCTGAACGAAGACCGATTGATCCACCAGCATAAGAACTTAAAGGTCTTTCTCCTGGATAATAACAACTTCCACCTGCAGACATTCTATGTTGATATTGAGTTAAACTATTTTTAAATTAAGCAAATATTTTCACTAATTTATTAAATTACTCGTTTCTTCCAAATTCTGATGCTCTTTCAGCCATTGTTTTATAAACTTCAAATCTTTCAGGCCTTTCTTTAGCAATTCCCCCATAATAATTTTGTTGTTGTTGATGTTGTTGTTGTGATGGCCAAATATTATTTGTTGCTGCTCTAGTAGAAGTTCCTCCTCCATATTGCTTATTAAAAGCATTATAAACCTCTTCTTCATATTTACTAATATTTGAAGGCATATAACTATTTCCAACCAAAGAATTAAAATATCCACCAGCAATTGCATATCTATCATAAGGAGTATCATCATTTGGGGGAGACATTTCATGAAAAGATTTTCGACGATCAAGATATGTCTTTAAATAAATAAAATGAAACGAAAATATAAAAATTAAGGGATGTTGTTTTTAAACAGTCGTGGTGTTTGCATTCCTGGAAAACCCTGGTCCATGCCTTGCGGCAATATCAAAAAATACCCTCCTCGTTTACAGTAGATGGGCGGTTGTTTTTTCAAAAATAATTTAAATTTGCCTGTCTCGAATAATTATTTTCATCATTTCTACCATAACCACTTCCATTTGATAATTTGCCAGAGCCTGTGCTATTTTTATGTCTTGGAGAACTTGGCTCGCTAGGTTGTTCTTGTGAAGGAAATCTTTTAAAAAAATATTTAAATAAAAATATTTTTAAATATTTGCCTAGTCCAAGTATCTTCTGTAACAGCAACAGTTGCATTCCTTGCCCTTCTTTCCCTATTTTTACGTCTAATATATGCTGCAGCACTTTCATAACGAAGAGAAGGTTCTGGACTTTCTCTTTTAGGTGATTGTTGATGGTGTGGAAGTTGTTGTTGAATATTTTGTGTTTTATTTATTGGTGATTGAGGTTGGGAATTTTGGGGTTTAACTTGCACAATTGGCGCTTCTTTTGGTATTCCTCCATCTTTTTAAATAAAATATAATTATTTTTTAATTTAAATTTAATAATTATCAACCCGTTCCTGGATGAATTGTTCTAAATCCAATAATTGTTGAAGGTTTAGGTCTAAACGGAATATCTTCTTCCTCTTCCTCCTCCTCTTCTTCCTCTTCATTATTTTCTTCCTCCTCCTCTTCCTCTTCAGGTTCGGCTTTTGGAGCAATTGCTGAACTACTACTATTTTCTGCAGACAAAGATTCAGCATCTGGATCATGACTTTTCATCCAAACTTTATTTCTTTTAATTTGTTCTTTTTTATCTTGATTTGGCAATTCAACAGAATCGCTATATTGATATTTGCCTTTACTCTAGAAAATAAAATATTTTTCTTTTAAAATTCTCTTCCAAAAATAACTTACAACTCTTTTAGCCAATCCTCTTTCTAAAGAATCTGTAGTTTTTGAAGTTGAAGGTCCAGGTTCTGGCATAACTGATTTTTCAACAATTTTTGGAGGAATATTTGGTTTAACTGTAGCTACTACCCCAACAACCTTTTTATTCTCATTTATTTTTGTTTTATTTTCTTTTTTATTTATTTCTCCTTTAATTTCCTCTCCAATAATCTGTTCAACTTCTTCTGCCAATTCATCTATTTCCCCTTCAAATTCATCTTCTTCCTCTTCAGCAGCATCATAAAATTCATCTTCATCTTCTAAATATTCCTCATCATCAATACCTCCCAAAGGCTCAGAACGGGAAATTCTGGCAGTTCCGACAAATTTAGGTGCTGACATTTGTGGAGGAGGGAGAGGGGGTATTGTTGCTTTTGGAGTGGTTGGAGTAGAATTATCATTTTGTTGTTGACTAATCTCTTCTGTAGATGAATCAGTAGAGAATCCAACCTTTTTTAAATAAATATTTAGGATATACATAAACATTTAAAAATATTTCTAAAAGTCCCCTTCTCCTAAATATTCTCCATATAGTTCAAATACTCTTAGTTCCAGTATACGCGGAATTAATTTCGGAAAATTGGGGTATCTGTGGATTATCGTAAATTCCCGCGCGGGTCAACCCCGTGTCGGATTAACTAGATAATTATAAACTATAATTATTCCTGCCCTCAAGTACATACACGGATTGAGTTAACGGGAATCTCGATTCCCGAGACGGAAATTTATTTTTTTTATACCGGCTTGGTTCCTGTAATTTACCTCAACACTATGCCAACGTCTTTCTTCTGCTGGACCCCTTCTTCTTTTACCAAAAGATTTTCTTTTTTCTTCAACAGTTTTTACTTCAATTTCTTCTTCTTCCTCATTTTCTTTAATTATTTTATTATTTTTCTTTAAACTTCCAACTTTTTTAATTTCTTTCGAAGAATTTTCTTCCAAATTATTTTCAACATCTTTCGATTTTTGTTTTGTTATTTTTGAAGCTTTTCTTTGTATCTCGACTGGTTGGGCAGCAATTATTGTTTCCAATAATTCTTTAACTTCCGGCCTTTCATCATAAAATGGATGGGCACGGATATTTGCAATTAAATTAAGGGAAACTGGGCCTTTCTCCATTTGTTCTAATACCTTTAAAAGAGAACTTTTTTGTCAATTTAAAATTAAATTACTTGATTCATTAAAGCATTTAGACTGTCAGTTTCTAAACGCCAATATTTTGTTGGATCTTCATTTAATTTTGAAGTTGTTGATGTTTTTTGTTGTTTATCTTCTTTTCGTGTTTTCACATTTTCATTAACGGAATCTTTTCTTTTTAAATTTATTTTTGTACTTAATTTTCTTTTATTATTTTTAATTAAATCCTCTTCCTTTTCTTCTTCTTTTTTCAATTTTTTATTTTCTTCCAATTTTGGACTTGCTTCTTTTTTATTCCCTCCTCCTCCTCCCAATCTATTTTCTAATTTTTTAAGTCTTTCTAATGGATCAGAAAAAATATTATTTTTATTATTATTTAATTTCGTAATTTCTTCTTCATTTATTTCTTTATTTTTTGGTTCTTCTTTTTTTATTTCTCTTAAACTTTTTTCTTCCAAAGTTAATTTTAATTTATCTTCTTCATCTTCTTTTCGAGTTTTTGGGGGTTTTATTGGAGAATTTTCATTATATTCCTCAGCTTCCTTCCTCCTTCTTCTAAATTCTTCAATCTTTTTTCTCGTTGTTTGACTTAAATGTCCGAATTCCATAAAAACGTCTGTCTCGTCTGCCAATTCTTGTACAACCATTATTTCGGCCCTTTCAGTTAAAGGGGTTGGGTCTGTTATCTTTAATTTATTTTAATTTTAGAAAAAATTATTTAAATTAAAACTTGATTTTCAGGCAATTCTTGTATAACGGGCATATTCTCTTCTAAATTTAACCACCAATGTCCAGAAATATCATAAATTGTTGCTCTAAATAAATACAATTTATTCATTGCCAAAACAAAAATTTCCCCAAAATTATTTGAAAAATCCGTGACAATGCGATTTTTGAGCCGCCATTATTTTAAAATTAGTTCGAAGACTAATAAAAGTAAACGGAAATAGAGGGCGAGGAATGATTGGTCGAAAGTGATAAAATGGTAATAATGTTTTCCATATTGACAAAAATTTTAATTAATTTTAATTTATATTCTTAAACACAAATTTATTTTTTTAATTCAAAAATACCTTCTATCAGGGTTTACACGCAACATATTACGAATTAACATAGATGCAGCTACAAATAAATATTTATTAAAAAAATATTTAAATAATTACTTGAAGGAGTATCTGGTTCATAATAAGCGCCTCTTTTAATTTGTCTTACCTTTAAATTAATTTTCTAAAATATTTTCTTTTAATTTCGTTAACCATTCGATTAAAATCTCTTCCATCAAAAGGCATTGAACCATAAACTAAAGTATATAAAAGAATTCCCAAACTCCAACAATCAACTTCTGGCCCTTTATAAGGTGTCCCATTAATTATTTCTGGCTAAAAAAATTATTTTTAAAAATATTTTTATTTCTTTAAATTACTGAGGCATATAAAGGGGAGCCGCAAAATGTTGATAATAATTTATTTCTTTGGCCAAAATAATTTGAAAGACCAAAATCAGCAATTTTTGCATTATTATTTGAATCGAGTAAAATATTTTCTAATTTTAAATCTCGATGGGCAACTTTGTTCTTTTTAAAAAATAATTTTTTTAATTATTAATAGAAAGATTACTTTATGACAATAAAGTACAGCAGAAGTTATTTGTCTAAATATTCTTCTTGCTTCTTGTTCAGAAAGACTTCCATTTTTACTAACATAATCATAAAGTTCTCCTCCACTTGCATATTCCATTACCAAAATTATCTTTAAAAATATTCCAATTTATCTTCCCCTTTTTAATTTTTACCTTATCTTTATTTTCAAAAACTTCATATATTTGTATTAAATTTGGATGATTAAGCATTGACATTATCTTTAAAATTTTTTAAAAATATTTTTCTTTTTAAATTTTATTTTTTTACTCGAATTTCTCTTCTTATTCTAACCAAATCTTGTTTATTTTCTATAGCACTTTTCTTTATAAGTTTTACAGCAACTTCTCTTTCTGTTTTGTGATCAAATGCCAAACTAACTTTTCCATAGGTCCCCGAGCCTAATTTTGCTGTAATTTCAAAACGATGTTTAATTTCTTTTTTCTGTGGATCTGCTCCAATTAATGGATGGCCACCTTAAAATTATTTTTAAATATTTTAAATATTCCCTCTTCTCTTTTTTTACCAATAGAGGAAGAAGAAGATCCAGTACCAGCTATTGTAGAATTTGCTGTTCGACGATAACGATTTCCATTAAAACGAGAACCAACGCCGCTAGAACGGTTAGCACGTTGTGTTGAGGAATTGGAAAGTGGTTGTTGTCCACTACCAATACTCCCAGATTCCCCTCCCCTCAATACAATAGTCATCCCTAAAAAGTTAAAAATCGAGAAAAACAAACTTTTAAGAGAAACTAAAAAAGAAAGAAAATCTTTACTAAATCTGATCGGATTTCGCCATTAATTTTCTGGGAGTTTTTTACGCAAGATAAAAGGGATGAGTAATGTGTGAGGACTAAAAGATTTCAAGAACAAAAAAATAATAGGCCATAGGAGACTGATCGATTTGGCCGACAAGAAGGAAATGTTGGGGGGAAGAAGAAAAGAATAAAAAGTATTTTTAGTAAGTAGTAAGTAGATGATAGGGAAGAATGAATAGAAGAAGAAGGAAGAAGAAGCTTCTTGTCTTGTCTTTTTATTTTTGCCGCATCATATCTTTCTTTTTAGTTAAAACACACACACAATAATCATCACAAATAATATATTTCTTATTCTAACCTAAACAACATTAAATCTTTTTTTCTACTTAAAGCTGATCTAGTTGTTCCTAACTAGAGTGAATATAAATATTAAAACAAAGCTTTTTAGAAAGTAAAAAGAGCAATTGCTTCTTTTTTACTTTCTTGAGGGAAATTTGTTTGTTAGGTAGGTTGGATAGAAAAAAATGAAAATTCTTTTTTGTGATTTATTTAAGTGGGGGCGGATAAACGTAAAATAATTAAATATATAATGATAAAAATTGAAAGAAAAAAATTTCGTCATTTTATTTAAAAATTTATAAATTAAAAAATTTAAGTTTAAAAAATAAAAGTTAGAAGTTTTTGACGTAAATATTTTTTTTAAATTAAAAAACCAAAAAATGATTTAAAATCTTTGAAATCTTGACAATCTATTAAATAAAAAATATAGTAAATGTTTTTAACGCTATTAAATGTGGAAAATAAACATTGAGGATCTAAAAATAAGGAATGATATTTATATTAGAGTTTAAAGTTAGCAAAATGCCGGATCCGGTTTCCGGATTTTTATTTTTCTTTTAAACCGGACCGGATTTTCCGGATCAAAATCCGGAAAACTCGGGGTTTATCAAAATACCCGGATACCGGACCACCGGATCTGGAAAATCAGGACCCGGATCCGGATTTAAACTCTAATTTATTTAGTACATTTTGGCTTTAAATTATCTAAAAACTTTTTTCAAAATCTTTTTCAAATAATAAAATAATTTATTTTCTTCTATTTATTCATCATAATAGAAAGAAACAGATCGTTGTATATCAGCATTTAATTCCATTGGAATTCCAGCTTCTCCAATAATATTTCCCGTAATTGAATGAAAAGACCCAAAAATATCAAAACCGGAGGCCCCAACAGAACGACATGGCAATGGAGGATCTTTTTTTTATTTTTTAAATATTAATTTCCAACCTAAAAATTAAATTACCATCGGCACTTTGCCATGTTCTTTTCATCTAAAAAATTGAAACTTTAAAATTAGGGGGTTTATCGGCTAGCTCGATCGAAAGATCAAGCGAGCCGAGCTTGTTTAGCTCGAAAAAAACTCGAATAACTCCTCAGCCCCCTATTTAAAATCGGTCCATATTTTTGGGTAAAGTTGTCGGTTTTACCAAATTCTTCGGTTAACTGAACAGAAAATATACGGTTAAGTTTGAAACTAACAACTCTATTCTTTGGGCCCAATAATTAAAAATATCTCCAATAATAATATTTATTTACTTCGTGTAAATTAAAGAAAGCACAAATTTCTGCAGGAAATTGAGGCAGAAAGAAGGCGTCCAATAAAGGCTCAAACTGAAATAAATAAAAAAAAATTTAAAAATAAATTTTCTGCCATACCAATCCAATTAAAAGAGATTGCCAAATTCGAATTAAAATTTCTTGAAGAAATCTTTGCTCATTTGGAATTCTTTTTAAAAATTTAAAAATATTTTTTTTTCAAAATTTAAAAAAGACTTTGAAACATCTAATTTATTAGAAGAACGTCTGTCAGGAAAAGCAGTTTTCATAACTAAAGGTAATTCTAAAAGAGGAATGTGAACACAAATAATAAATAAAAAAGCTCTACAGAGAAGTAATAAAAATAACTTTAAATTTTAAAATTATTTTTCAAAATTTCCAAAAAAAAACTTTAGTTGATTGTTTATTATTATCAGACCATTTAAAATGTCCTTTTTGAATTAATTGTAAAGAAAAAAGAATTAAAGCTGTTAGACAAAGAATTGCAATACAAACAAAGGGGAACCATTTACGTATTTCTAATTGAATATTATAAAAGTTTTGACCGAGAACCTTTTATTTTTTAAAAATTATTTTTTAAAATTAATTTTTAATAAAACATCTTGCATTGCACAAAATGAAGAAACTTTAATTGTTGAATTTTCTGATGATATAATTGGTTGAATCCAGGCAGGAATAAACGAAAACATTGAAAGTATTAATACAAAAAATATAAATGCTGTATTGAAATAATATTCGGAAAACTAAAAAAATATATAGAGTTTAGTAAAAGTTTAGCCAGAGTGGAGGATTCGAACCTGCGACCTCCTCGTAGTTATGAATAGCGCTTTCGCTCACCACACACAAAAGCTCCTAACACTGAGCTACTGGGGCATCGGCTAATACTTAATCTTTTATCCCTTTTAGATCGTTTAACCCCCGCCTAAGCGTTTTAAATGCTGCTAGATTAATTATCCTTACAATATATGTGGAGTGATTAAATTACCGTAAATGTTTTAAGGAGAGAAGACCCCTTAACACTTACTTCTTTATGCCTTTTTGTCCAAACAACAGAAATAAACTGATCAACACAAAGTAATGCCAAAAGCAATAATTGTGCAGAATCAGTAAAAATCTTAAAAACAATTTCTCTTTTTTTTAATTTTTTCCAACCCAAAAATGTAGATGGACAGCAGTAAATAAACATTTTATTGGCGGTATTTGTTCATTTTGTTCAGTATACACTGAAAGGAGAATTCCATGAAATCCAGCATAAAAAAGGGATAAACCGAGAAGTAAATCTTTTAATTAATTAATTTTTAAATTAATTAATTACCCATAACTCTAAGTGTATAAAAAGCAGCAATAAAGCCACCAGAAGCCTTTTTCATGGCAATTAGAAAAACTAAAGAAGTACATGTCGTTAACTGAAATTTTGGGTAAAAGAGCAAAATTTGGAATTAAATATATTTTAGGGGGTGGATATACAGAATTTAAAAGGCATATTTCTACTTAACTCTCCTTATATGTATAAATTAAATTTCCCCATTCCTTTTAATTATTCCCTCTAATTTTAATAAACAAAAAATTATATAACTTAGTGTACCCACCAGAGCAAAGCCGGGAAGTAAATTAGAAACAAGATCTGGCCAAAATCTCATTTATATTCTAAACAATTAATTTAAAAATATTAGATAATTAACGATAAAAATTTTTAGCAGAAAATAATTATCCCTCTCCCACTAACTAAATTCCTTCTCACCCTATTTATTATTAAAAGGAAATATTTTTTAAAGTAATAAAACATTGAATTAGAAAATATTATTATTAGTTTATACAAGTAGATTATTTTAAAAGTCTTTAAAAATATTTGCCAATTATTGCGATTGCTTTATTTTCATGAGAGAAAAAAAATAATCTTTTAAATAAAGCAAAAAAGATTATTTTATTATATTTAATAATCCAATGGAATATTTTGTGTCCCTCCCCCACCTGAAAACAAAATCTTTAATTTGGCATTTGGATTATAAAGAGATTTTACTATTGTGCAAAACTATTTTTAAATTAAGTAAAAACTATCAAATCAGAGTGGTCATATAAAAGTTTAGCCTTGATCCGGTATCGATCCTATGACCCCGTGTTTACAAAATCACAAAAATTGTTATTTTCCTTTATGTTCTATAAAGTACGCCAAGTTTAATCCTTAATTCATATTATTTACCTTAAAAGGATTTGCGTGAGAAAAAAATGAGGATTATTTTAAAAAGTAGAAATCAACAATCTAGTCCCGTCTTACATTTTGAAAATCAGTGGCTATCATAAGCACTTAATGTGCTTATGTGCATACTTTATATTGCACCACCTCTGTGGACTAGGTTGCCCAAGCCCGACAGTGACAGGCGACCTACTCAACTAACAAATAAGACAACAATTATGGCAGAGGTTGTAAGGAGCGGGTTAAGTTCAGTTAGGTTGCCCAAGCCCGAACCAGGCAGTGGCTAACTAGACCCAGCCCTTTTAGTTGGGGAAACACCGTCTACACAATGAATTTAAACAAATTTATTTCAAAACAAATAATTTAAATTACTAAAAACAAAAACAATAATCAAAAATCCAATAATTTGTCAAAACTATTTTTTCTGTTTAATTTCAACATTTGAAGATTGTGGATTGTCAGAAAGTTGTTTATAAACAGACATTGCCTTTTTAAATTAATTTTAATTAGATTTTTAATTTAAAAATTAAACCTGAATAAGTAAAGAATTTATTGGACTTAAATCAGCAGGCATAATTAAAGTATTATTTTCTTTTGCCAATTTCTCAAAAGCTTTTACAGACTTTTCGGCAACTAATAAATTAGCAGCATCTCGGCCTTTTTCCTTAAATATTTTTTAAAATAAAAATTTAATTTATTTAGAAAAAACTTCATTAAGAGCTTTTGAAATGTGATTAAGTGCTTTTTGACGAGCCTCTGCCTCTAAAAGTATGGCTTTGGCAACTCCATTAGCAGCATTGATTTGCTCTTGCATTTTGGCCTCAGAAGCTAAAAATTTAAAAAAAAAAATGTTAAAGGGAAGGAATTCAGAAAATATTAAAAAAATATTAACCTAAAATGCAAGCTTGTTTTTCCCCTTCAGCAATATTAATAGCTGCATCTCTATGTCCTTCTGATTCAAGAATTGCTGCTCGTTTCTTCCTTTCAGCTTCTACTTGCATCTTTAAAAATAATTTCAAAAATATTTTTAAAATAAAAGTTTTCAAAATTACTTGCATCGCTTCTTGAATTTTTTGAGGCATTTTCATATCTCGAATTTCATAACGCAAACAAACAATTCCCCAAGGCTCTGCTGCTTTATTTATTGCTTCTATTAATTTTAAATTTAAAAAATAAATCTTTTCAAAAAAATAAATACCAACGATTGCAATATTCAAAACTTCACGTTCTTTAAAAACTGTGTCCAAAATAATTTTTCCAACTTCAGATCTCATTGTTGTCTGTGCCAATTGTTTTACAGCAAATTCGGGGTCTTCTACGCCATAAGAGGCCTTTAATTGAAATTTTATTTTAATTACAAAATTAAAAAAAACTTTATAAGGGTCAATAATTCTAACATAAAGAACTCCGTCTAGTGTAAGTTGAACATTATCTAAAGTAATAGCACTCTGCTCAGGAATTTCCATAGCAATTTCTTTTAATGGTTGGACATATTTAACGCTATCAATAATTGGCAAAAGAATATTTAAACCCTTCAAAAATAAATTTAAAAAAATATTTGAAAATTAATTACAGGTTGGAGTGTCTTTAAATAACGTCCCATCCTTTCAATAACCCACGCTTCTTGCTGAGGAACAAAATTCAAAACAGTATTGGATGCTAAACGGCGTGAAGTATAACTTAAGGAACGTTGTGTCAAATAAAGCCTAAAATAAATAAGTTTAATAAATACTAAAAGAAAAACCCTGTAGAAGGTAAAGCAGTCAATGCAGAAATTAACACTCTTGGTTTTAAAGAAAGCATCTATATAAAATTAAGATTTTATCAATGTTTAATCAGAAATGTGAATGATTTTCTTAATGCAAAGGAATATATGAAAGTGCTCTTATCCAACGGCAAGTTTTGGTTGATCAAAGGACTAAATTGGGACACGGACACTATGGCGAGGGTCACTAAAAGCAGATATTTTTAATACGGTGTTGTTCCCAACAATCCGAAAAATTCAAAAAAAATTTTCCCAAAAATTAAAATTTATATAGTAGTGCATTATAAAAATTGATGGGTAAAATCTATTAGGATTTTAATTTGTCATTTCTTCACATATTTAAATACTTCCTTATTTCTCTTAATAACGTCTTCCTCCAGAAGAATAACCACCACTCGCAGGTTTGCTGTAAGACGTGTTGTATCTGCTTGACGTTCCAGCTCTATTAGTGTTTGAACCAAGTGTACCGCCCCAATCTTAAGAATTCAAATAAGTTGACATAAAAAACAATTTTTAACCTCCTCCAGAATTCCACTGTGTTGATGAACTTCCAACATTATTTCCTCCACCAAGAAAAGAGCGTGTTGCTGCAGCATTTCGTTCATTTGTTCCACCACTAACATCCATCTGTCCACCCCAATCCGAAACTGAACCTTGTTGATAATACCCACTGCTTCCACTACCAAATTGTTGTGGCGTATGTTGAGAGTCATATCCTGATAAAATTTGTTCAAAAAATAAAAAATCAACCGAAAAATATACCGCTGGAGAGAGCATTATTATTTCCACTGCCCAAAGAAGGTTGAGTGAAAACTCCATTACCAAACATTTCACCAGTTGGACGAGATGAAGAAAGTGCCTGACTCTGTTTTGAATTTATAAATTTTTAAACCAAAATTTAAAAAAGTAAACCTGTGACTGTTGTTGAATACGTGAACCATACATGGAATCAGATTGCAATGTTCCCCCGCCGCCTGTATAAGAAGCAGTACCACTTGTATTATACTGATTGCCACCACTGTAATAATCTCGACGAATGCTTCGCTCATTTGCTTAAAAAAAATTTTTTAATCAAGATTAACGGCCAGATGACTCACAATGTGGCGGTGAAGACATCGCCTGTCTATCGCTGCTAACATTACTAAGACGAACGGACATTTGGTGATCTCCTCTAGCCGCAGCAAAACCACCATCTTTGCTAGTTGAATCAATGCCACCAGTATTGTAGAAATATCGTTTATTATCATAATATAAAAAAGAAAAATTTTTATTAAAAAAAGTTAAACAAAAATACTAACCAAATTCAGAAGATCGCCCCCCATCAACACGCTTCGAATGAGGACTATTGTTTCTGCCCACTTGCATAGGAATATTTCGAGAACCAGAGTAGATGGCTGCTGGACGTTCACGTTCATTGTCACCTTGATAAAGTGCACCACCTGTATGATGTTGCTTGTTTAGACTATCGTGACGAGAGGTTCCTGAACGTCGTAAAGGTGAACGACTTCGACTTTTGTTGCGATAACGTGATGAACGCGTTGACTCGGGACCACGCGCACTTCGTGAAGAATGACGAAATCTTAAATTAAAAGATGGTAAATGAGGCTGAAACGTGTGTAAATTCATGACCCTAACATCAACGAATTTTAGAATACACTGGCTAGTGATAAACAAAAATTTATATCAATTTGTACTCATTGAACATGTACCTGTCAGAACGTTCATCCCTATCATTTTGTTTAGAAGTTCGTGATTTGCTTCGGCTCATCTCACTTTTAGCCGACATATCAATATTTCGTCGTTCTGAAGAGAAAGCTGTTGGCATAGCACTCTCTCTCTCACGTCGATGATTAAATCCACCACCTCCAAAGTGTTGATTATGGAGAGCTGATGTAGAAGAATCTCCTGTTCCAGTTATAAGAGGAACCGAAACAGCAGCAGCACCACCTTGTGGTAAACCTGCAACTGCAGCAAATTGTAACTGTGTTGCCTGAGCTAGCTGCGCCTGAAGTCTTAAAGTCTCAAGTTCAAGCTTATCACGCTCCAATTTTTCACGCTCATAACGAATTCTTTCACGCTCACGTTCCATAACTAACTCCTCTTCTTTTTTACGATGTTCTTCTTCTTTGCGACGCATAAAACGAATGAGATCTTCTTTATCTGTTGAATCATTATTATTTTTACTCTTTGCTGGACTTCGTCGTGACGATTTACGAACATCATTTGGCTTATGGCGATGACTGCTACGTCGACTCTCTTCTTCACGACGGCGACCGGTAGAACGTCTATTACTACTTCCAAAACGAGGTCGATTGAAATTGTCGGATATTCCAGGAGCCGAGGAGTTTCGCACATTTCGTCCTCCACTGATACGCCCTGCACGTCCTCGGTTTCCCATAATCCTGCCAGTTGCGTAAGATGCGTTCATGCGAGATCTCGAAGAACCAAAAGATCTTGAACCAGCAAAGCCACTGTTCTCGACTGAAAGAATAAAAAAACCAAATTTAAACGGGTATAAATAAATCGAATTTATCACGGGTTCGAACCCTGACACCAATTTCCACGCTTATCAAGATAAAAAAGTTAAGAAAAAAATGTGAAAGTTACAGCCTGATCCTCCCCATTTTGTAGAAGAGTTATGAGCTTCTTTAGATGATGCATTAGATGTGGAGATAATCCTAGCCCGAGGCGATCGTTTAGCTTCTCCAGTCGATATTTTCTCCGACTCATGAGTTTTAGACTGTGAAGTGTTGATGGTTGGTTTAGTTTTCCCACTAGATGAATCACCATTGCCTTTAAATGAAGAATTTTCTGAAGGATTGTTTTGAATGGGTGCATCGGAATTGTTGTTGTTAATAGCTGCTCCGTTTGCGCTTTTATTAATTTGAGATAGATTTGATCGATCAGCCTTGAATATTTTTTGTCCAGATTATTATTTAATAAGACTAAAGAAAATTCTGCAAAAAATTGTTAGCCTTTGAAGAGACTAGACCGTTCAAACTTGCAACAATTTTCTCATTTATATTTTTTACGTTTATAGTTAACCTTCTCAACATTTATTATGCGTCCTTTGAAGTTCATTCTATTGAGTTTTTGAACACATAAATCAGCAGAAGAAGCATCAGATAATACAACAAACCCGAAACATGTTGGACTTTGCTTGTTTTTTGTGGTGAAAATCTTTGCTGTCACTACCTTACCATGCTTTGAGAAAAGCGCCTTAATGTGTTAAATGATATACACAAAAAAAAATTTTTTTTAAACACAAAACACTTGAATTAAGGCATACTTTAAGTTCAACAGCTTTCGTTGTGTTAGTGATCTGCAAAATTTTTCTGTAAACTTATGTTTAGAGATTTTCAATTTTTGTAGCTTTTTTAAAATCAATTCTCAAAAGTTGAAGTTTAAATTTGTAAACAAACGTTTCTAATCCAGATACTTGAACTCAAATCACGAGAAGCAGTTGTCGTTGTTGTTACTGAAAATGCGTCGGTTGATGGATCTTCTTTAACAATATTTGTTGCTGTTATAGCTTTTACTTCTTGCTTTTCTACTACCATAACATCATCTTGTTCAGTTACTTTGCTTCGAATAATTTCAGTTGTAATAGTTGCTTGAGCTCCATTTTGACCTTCTTTTATAATTTCTTTCGTTAAATTTTTTTCAGATTCTTCTTCGATTTTTTCCTTATCATCGTCATTCTTCTCTTCACGACACTCGACAATATTCAAAGGATTTTTACTTGCTTCGTTAATTTCAGCACAATCCTTCTTTGATGGTGACTCATCAATAGTTAACTCAGAAACTTGTTGATTTGCTAAAGCATCGACCTAGAATGTGTCGATAGTTGTTAATAAAGTTGAAAAATTGACGCGTGCCCAAGCTTTGGCAAGCAATTAAAAATCGAAAACGCTAACAACCTCAAAGATTTAAGGGAGAACACCAAGGAAAAGAAGGGTAAAACCTAAAGTAATAAAATAACCTTAACAATCTCAGCATCTATAGCTTCAAGTGGTTCTGCTGAGGATTTTGACAACACCGAAATGGAATCATCATTGTGTACATCTATAAAATTAAAATATTTTAAAAAACTACAAGAAACCAACGAAACCTCCTTCAGTTTTTATGTTTGGATTTATTGAAATTCCACCACAAGTCACTAAACAAAAGAATTCATTTCATCATTTATTGAATTAAAAAACCTAAGCTGCTTTCGAGAGTCTCTCCTATCTTCCCAAGTTCAGTTCCTAGTTCATTAGCCTTTACGTCACTCAGAGTTTTTTCCTCAATGTTGCTCATTGTAAAAAGATATCTGAAAATACAATGAGATTTGAAACATACATACCTATACTTTATAAAATAGAAAGTACATACATGTACAATTAATTGACTTGAATTATGTCAAAAAGTCAGCAAGACTCTTTTGTCTTTACATTTATTTTCAGTCTCAGCACAAACCTAAACCTTTAGGCTTGCTTGTCAATAGAGTCTCGGCGACTTAGCATCGAAACGCCTTTTTCTATGCCATAACTTTTTTTATTTCGATAATTTCCAGAAATTTTCTTTATCAATTAGAATCTATATTTGTTTTTATTCTTTTTATTAACTTTATGAAAGGATCCGATCATTTCTTAGAAAGTTACACCCGCCTAAGTATGTTAAATCACGATTATTCGCAGTTAACGGCTCCTAACTTTTTTGAAAGACGGTAAAACTAAACAATTTCTATGAAAAAATAACCAGCACATCCAGAGCTTTTAATTAAAGCAAAAATTACTTGGATTGATTTAAAAACAAAAAAGTTATACCCCAAAAACTTTCGTTTTGATGCCATATTTTAAGACTCTTAAGTTACCTGGTTACTTTTAGTCTAAACCTTTTGAAGCCTAAACCTTTAGGTTTTTAAACATTTGAGTCTCACCACGTCTTCAATTTTTTTAAATTATAGCTTTTTTAATAGTTTGTTCTTCTTAATTAGTGTGTAAAGATGAACCAGAACTGATATCCTGGTAATAGAAATCCCATAAATTATGAATCACATAGATAATTTTTGAATTTATTTATGAATTCCTTGGAGAATTTCATTCCTGGATGGAATAGAAGTCTTGGAACCGTGACTTCACTAAAGATCCTAGTTATACCTTTGTTGTATACTTCTTTTTCCCGATACAATGTTGTATATCAGTGATGTGCCGAAAGATTTTAAATAGCGAAAGACGAAGAACTAAAAAAAGGTAAAAATCCGGTGAAAGACGGATGGCGAAGGTATTACAATATGTATTTACAATTTCAATCTCAAAATTTGTTTATAGTACAGATTTTGATTTTATGTATTTATAATTTTCTCGACTTAAACGAAAACAGGAAAAGTTCAAGAAAAATAAGGCGTTTGTTATTTTCACACAAAAAATTATAAAACATCAAGCGATCGGTTAATGAGCGATTTTGTTGAGGAATACGATGAAAGATAATAACTAAAAATTAAAATTTGCTAAAAAAAGAATTTAAAAATTTACGTCCAATAAATTGCATTAAATACAGCAAAAGCCTACAATATTAAATGAACTTTTTTTTTCAGAATTAAAAACAAACCATAGGGAATGCTATAGAAGAGAATCTGTCAATAGCACTCCCCAATTCAGAAGGAGGGGATTTTTTAATTGATTGTTGTGAATAACTTTTTTGTATTTGATTGGAACCATAATTTGGCTTTATTTCTTGTTTATTTGAATGATTATTGTTGTTTGTTGTAACAGAAAGTAATTCTTTTGAATTATAATCAAGAAATATATCCCCTCTAAAAATATATTTAAATTATTTTCTTGAAAAGAAACCTAGAGGATTTTCTTTGTTTCATATCAGGTAATCCAGCAGTTGTTATACTTGCTCTAGCAAGTAAATTACCTACAGCAGAAGCTTTTCTTCTTCTTTGATTCTGGTCTACAATTTTGTCATTATATGCAACAATAGCTAATTCAACCAATGCAGCCTTTTTAATTAAAGTTAGTTTATATGTAATTATTTTTTTAAAAAACATACAAATATAAAACCAACACAACTAAACATCTTTAAAAGAAAAAAAAGTTTTAAAATAAGTTTTGGAACATACCCAAAGGTCAATTGCTTTTACATAACTTGCTTTGGGTAAAGTTCTAACAATTGTGCCAAATTGAAATGTTAAGGCCATTAATGAACTAATTAATTTAAAAACACTTTTTAACTCTCTAAAATTTCACTCTCCCCTAACCTAACAGAAAGTGTTATTCTTGCAGGAAGTGCTCTTGTATCCATCCAAAAAGCTATCCAACTAAAAATAATTTTTATTTAAATTTCCTTTTCAACTACAAAACCTTATAAAAACAGAAACATAAGTTGGTAAATACATCTTTTTTTAATTTAAATAATTATAAAAAAATTTCCTTAAATTTTTACCTGGAGAACATAAAACCCAAAAAGTCTATCAAAATAAATACTAACATAAAGACGATTCCAAAGCCCCGCAGTGTAATTATAAAATTTATAGAGAAGAGTATAGAAATTTTTTATAAAACTACCTCAGTTGTTTTTCCATAAGTAATATTTGTTAATTTAAAGTCTGGCAAGTTTAAATCATCCTTTTTTAAAATAAATTTAAATAAAAATTCTTTTATTTACTTTAATAATCGAAACAGGTAACCATTCAAGCCAATCCAACGTTACTTCTGCTATATTGTAGGAATAACTGAAAGACCCCCAAAATTTAAATAGAAAATTAAATATTTCCCCAAACCTTTCAAAAATTAAATCACAACGAATTGAATCCAAAGGAAATTTTCTTAATTCCATAATGCATGGGGATTCTGATCTAATACGATAGTTTAACCACGTTGTTCCATTAGGAAAAATCTTTTAAATTAAAAATTTATTTCTCTTTCCTTCTAAAACCAACCATTAATAAAATATTTGGTTTCGGAGAATCGTGAACTTTTGTTTTTTTACTATTTACAATACAGACATTTGGAGACCATAATCTTGGTTCCATATCATGATCTAATGATAAATTTCGACGGCAAGGGTCAATATGTGAAAATTTAAGTCGAGTATCCTGCCTAAAATAATTAAAATATTTTTTAAATAAAATTCTCTACCAAATTGCAGAAATCCAAAAATCTATAACAAAAGTCCCACTTATTGCTGAAATATCAGATATATCTTGTATTGTTATCTACAAAGAAATTTTTTTATAAAATTATTTTTATTTATTTTAAAGACCTCAACATGCACATTAACAGGAGCTGGCTCAGGTAAAGCACTCCTTTTAATAAATCTTTTTTTTATTTTCACGTAAATTTATTTTTTGCAATTTATCAGACTTATATTTTCTTTCTCTTCAATTTTAAATCTAATTTTTATAATAAAATTTTCGGACAAAAGCTTTGTCAAAAAATAAAAATTTAATAAAAAAATCCTTTCACCTAGAATAGTTATCCATTAAAATACGAGCCAAATCTTGCGCCTTTTCTGAACTTTCAAACCCATTTTCACACCTAGCAGTTTCTGATCGATAAGGGCGAACAAAATCTGTAGTAGTTAGTGAAGGCCTAGCTATTGTTAACAATAATTCGAGTAAGACAGACTGAAAAAGGTATAAAGGTGTTAAAATCTTAATTATAAACTAAATTTAGGGATATCAAATTTTCAAAAATTATATGCACAAAAAACCCTCATTTTTTAAATCTAGGGTCTGACAGTTTTTCTTTTCAAAAATAAAAGAGAAGAGGGCTGCCAACATTTTTCAAAGGGCAACAAAAAACAATCAAATTTTTGTCAAAACAAACCTGTACTGAATTTATCATTCTAGTCATTTATGAAGATTGACTTTCAAATTGAAAGAAAGGCGCAAATTTATATTTTTTTTATATAAAGAGCAGCAATTGAGCAAATGAAAAGTAAAAATACTCTTTCCCCCTTTTCCCTCAAAGCTTTTACTTTTTCAGCTATTGTATTTGTTCTCCTTTTAAAAATAAGGAGAAGGAACTAACAAATTGTCACGGCAGGGAATGTTCCTCCCCCCCCCCTCCCCCACTATTTAGGTCCTTATAAATTTATAAAAATAGAAAAAATTGATTTTTAATATAAAGTTTTAAACATTAAAAAAATTTTAAAATTTCCCTCAAATATCAAACATCATTGTTATTTGATTCAGTTTCCATTCCTTCTTCAATATCTCCAATGTCAATTTCTTCCGGATTTTCGGCAGTCTTTTCTTTATTTGTTTTAATCTCTCCACGAACAAAAGATATTCTTCCATCTTGAAAAGAATTAAATAAAAATATAAAATTTTGAAAAAAACCTTCAGAAGGAGCTAATTTTCTTGCAGAAATTGCAGCCTCCTCTTGAGCAATTTGAGAAGCTCTTGCCTCTAACTGTGCCATTGAATCAGCAGCACTTAATTCTCCAGCCATTTCAGCTTTACCACCAAGAGAAGCAAGCATTTGAGCTTTAAAAAATCATTTTTTAAAAATATTTAATATTTATAATTACCACTCATATAATTAACACTTGTATTGAATGTTGCTTGAACTGAACGTTTCATTCGTAACATTTCCCTAATTGTATCTTCATTTCCATGTTTAACTTCAAACTCTTTCCAAGTTTCCCAAAAATCTGAATGAACCTTTAAAAACAATTAAAAATAATTTAAAAAAAAATACTTACTCTAGGATCACATATTTCAGCACAATGTGCATAAATAGCTCTTGCACGATCAATTTCACCCAAATTCCTTTCAACTTGTGCATATCTTAAACTCATCTCTCTTAAAAATATAAAATTATTTAAATAAGATTTTACAAAACCTTGAACGATTTTCAGGAAGCCTTTCAATTGCTGATTCAAATATTGGTCGGGTTTTTGTAATTCCATAAAATTCCATCGCTTTTTTGATGTAGACATTGTAAATCTTAAATTAAATTTATTTATAATTTTTATAGAGCGGTGATTGATATAAAAAATAAGAAAAGTTTTCCGAACATTTTTCACAAAATTTAAAAAAATTAACCAAATGTTTTTCGTCTTTATCAACAGCATCCGTAGCTTTATTATAAATTTCCATTGCTCGTCTTGCCAATCCATGTTCCTCTTCATATTGTGCATAAAGTAAGTAAATATCTAAGTTAATGTATTAAAATATCAAAATTAAATCAAAAACCTCTCGCATATTTTGGGGGGCATTTTTCTAAACATTGTTCAAATAAATCTCTTGCACGCTCCAATTTCTTCCCTCCCTTTTAAAAATTAAAAAAAATATATTTAAATATAAACTTACATATCGATTAATAAATTTAGTTAAATAAACATTCCAAATATCAAAAACTAAAGGCCAATGAAATAAACCAATTCCTTTTTCAAAGGCCTAAAAATAAGAGGAAATTTTAGTGAAAAATTTTTTTAAAGCAAACTCTAAAGGATTCTTCAAAATAATTGTTTTGTTCAAGAAACAAAGCATAATTTATGATAATTTGAGGTGTAGCTAAATTTATAAAATTTTTATAGAAACATTTACAAAATTTCAACAAAACCTATTCGAAGTTCCATCATTTTATCATAAATTTCCGCACAACTTTGCAAAGTTCCAATTGATTCTTCAATATCCGCATATAAAGACCAAAGTTTAAGAGACCGACTAACACGCGTTTGTATATTATCTGTTTCGTCAAAATATTGACCACGTCGAGCAGGAACAGAAGTAGCTCTTTTTAAAATAGAAACAGCCGCAGAATAATCGCTACAAAATTTTTATATTTAAAGATATGTATAGAAAAACTAAGAATTTACCTATGTAAAAGCTCAAATTCAACATAATCACACCAAATCTGAGCAAGCTCATCAACACGAGCAAAATTTATTTTTACCGCTCTTTCGTAAATTTGTCTTGCCTCGGTGTACTTTTTATATTTCTCAAATAATTTTGCATAAGAAATCCAAAGTTGGCTTAATTTACCAATTTGATGTTTTGGATCAATTGCTTTGACCGCCTCTTCAAATGTAGAAGTTTGCTGAAAAATAAAATTTTTATAAAACCAAAATAAATAAACTTACACTTTCAAGATCTCCTTCATATATTTGAACTCTGTTTAACCATTCATGGACATTATGAGGATTTTGGCGAAGAAGAACACTATTTAACAAAAGAGGCCTCCTATTCATTAAATGTTCAAAACGGGTCATTAATAATTCCAATTCTAATTCAATTTTTGCTGTATGTGTAGAATTACATTGTTCAAGTTCTTTCATTTTTAGGGAAGTAATTCTTTCCATAAATTTACTATATGCATCAAAAATTTGTGTAAAATCTCTGACTGTCTTAACCACACTAATTGCTTCCTCAAAAATGTCACGGGCCTTTAACAAATATTTTTAAAAATTAAGAAAATTAGAAAAAAACTTTTTCAAAATTCGATGCTCTAATATAATATTCAGCAAGGTGTAACCAGAGCATTCCAACTTGATCAGTATAGCGAGAAATTCCTTGACGAATAATTGGCTCTACTTGAAGGGAATAAACTTTATTTGGATTTTTAGAAATTAAATCGCAAAGTTCCGTCCAAAGCTTTAAAAAAAATAAAAAATTATCGAAAAAAACCCAAAAATAAAAACTAACTTGATGTCCAGTTTTGCCTTTTTCACTGACAGGTCTATCTTCATTAACTAAAATTGCAATTTGTTGTGCAGCTTCATCTAATTTATCAATTTGTTTCAAATATTCAATATAATCTTCTCTAGCAAATGGATAAACTTTTAAATGTCTTCTATAAACTCTAATAGCTGTTTCAGGAATATTATGTTTAACAACAAATTCTATATAAAGTGGCCAAATTCTCATATGTTGAGTAATTGGTAAAGCTCTAAGAGCTCGATCAAATACTTTTCGTGTATCAGCTATTAACCCACGTCGAACCATTAAATTGCAATAATCATACCAAATTCTAGGCATCTAAAAAAATATAAAATTTATATTTAAAAAAATTAAAATAACCTTATTAAGAAATACTAAACATCTTTCATAAGCATCAGAAAGATGTAAATAAGCAATATCTGTTGGTGGTTTATGTGCAATTGTTCTTCTTCTATACTTCAAATAATTATACCAAAGTTTATAGCTTCTATTAAATATTTTCAGAGCTCTTTCAAAAATAATTCGAACTTGTTTTGGATCAGCTTTTGTTTTAATTTTATGGTCAATATATCGTTCCCATGGACGAAGCAATCCAGGATTTCGAATTATATCTTCCTCATATGCAATATCTTCGCTTTCCTTGAAATTGCAAAAAATATTGTTAAAATTAACTAATTAATACTTACAAAAACAAGTGCCATCGTATATCAAGAATTTAACTGAAAAATAAATTAACAACACAAAATTTAACACAAAACTTAACAAAGAGAATCTCGACTTTAGTGTTCCTTTTCCTTTAATGAAAAATACGACAATCGGACTGAGACAATTGAAACTACGACAAAAGGCCATTGGGCAGAGGGCAATTAAATAGTAGATCGTAACTTTACTCAAGGATTAAAGGCAGGGCTCTCATTCGTGCTTTATTTGAAAGTATTATACTTTGAAACCGACCTCCATACTTAAGAAATTGAATTTATACTTTATTGAAAGTATATACTTTAAAATCAACATTTTGGATTGAAAATGAAATTGGGGAAGGGATTGGGCAAAAAAGTGAATTTTTTAGCCTTGGGCCTTCTAAAATTTCAAAAAATTTTCGCCTGCGGCGCTGAAAAAGAAAGAAATCTGGCTTCTTGGGCTCCAAATTTCAAAAAATTTTCGACTGCGGTGCTGAAAAAGTGAATTTTTTTGCCTACGGCCTTCTAAAATTTCAAAAAATTTTCGCCTGCGGCGCTGAAAATGGACGAAAGTAATTTGCTTGAGGTTAAGACTGTCAGGGCTTTATTTCTTGTATCAGCGAATTTCGACATGTCATGCGTTGAAATGCACAAAATGCTCAGTGGAAGCAAGAAATTATTAGAAAAGATTCATTTAAGAGAGAAATATAAAAGATTTGAGCACGAACAAATATTTTCCAATTTAATTTTGAGTATACTTTAAATTTGGAAATTTTCTCCCTATATACTTTTTTATCAAGATTTTGATACTTTTGAGTGGCATTTTGTCGATGAGAGCCCTGATTAAAGGTGTATTTTATCTCGCCTAAGTGCCAGTTTTTAGGTGCCAAAACGACCCCAACCCTATGAATCAAAAAAATTACCTAAAATGTGAAGACAAATTAATTACTATAAAAACCTAAAAGTTTATTAAAATTATCAAAACATAATTCTTCTACACTTCTAAACTCTTCTCAATATCAACAGCTGTTTGTTCGCGGTCAAATGTCTTGCACATGTTTGTGTTTTTTTTAATTTCTAAATTTAAAAATTAATTTTTAGCTTGTTCGAGTTCTTCTAATGGAAGGAGGTCTTCTTCGTGTGTTTCTCCACCAACATATAGTGTTGAGATTGATGAAGCGGGGAAGTTGATAAGCGACAAATACCAGGCATTTTAAATTTAAAATTAAAAAATATTTTTCTTTTCTTTTTAAAGGTTCAATGGCCTCAACTTCCACCTTCGGGCACACATTCCAAACAGGGGAGAAAGAAGAGGATGGCAAGAGAAAGGAAGGCTGGAAGTGACCAACTCATTCGAGAATTCAATGTGGCTGTCTGTCCAAAAGAGCAACCAACTCCATATCCTGTTCGGGCAATGACCATGGAAGTGAGAGAAATTTTTTTATTAAAATTAAAAAAAAATTTTCTTTTTAAGCGTGCCTATTCTCAATTTGAGAAACGTCAATTGCGTCATTTCTTCATCTACTACCAGCTGTCGAGTCAATCGTTTAAGGACGTGAATAAAATTCCTCTTGAACTGCCATTGATGATTGCATATAAATCGGACACTGGAAATGTTGTGCACTCCCAAATCAAACGATTTGTCTCTAAGGAGAATAACAACAACAACGACAACAAGAATGCTGAGTTGTGGTGTGCTATTCCATATGATTCTAATGGAAATTCTGTTGCTGAGCCATATCATCTGGGGTAAATTTTATTTAAAAGAACTTGAGTTCATTTAATTTTTTAACAGATTTGCGAGTGTTAGGGCCCTCATTACTCACTATTCGTCCTTGAATGCGCATTGTGGAGCGTTCATCTAAATAGTTGGTTTGTAGAAGTGTGGGAATAGTTGAATATATAAAATAATCGTTCTTTTAATCTAAAAAGTTTCTATCTTATTTCTCATTAAAATAACTAAAATACTAAAATTAATAGTTAGGGAGAGGATGTTTAGGTTGTGAAAACCCTAAAATAGGTACCTATAAAGGTTGTAAAAAAGCCAAAATAGGTGACAAAAATAGTGAAATAGATTCCAAAAAAGAAAACATTCCTTCAAAATAAATATTTTATCAAAATAAAGGAAAACTTCACATAAAAAACTAAAAAGTTGCACCGAATTTAAATTATGCGATTATGTTTGTTTTTAAATAATTAAAAAATTATTTTTTGTTTAATCAGAATCTTCTTCTACAATAAATTCTGTTCTTTCATCTAATTTTCCATATTTTTCTTTATTCTTTTTTGATTTTTTATTACTAAAAAATACTCGAGCTTTTGAAGATTTAGTAATTATCTCCTTTAAAATTAAAATTCCTTTTAAATTCTTTATTTATTTCTTTTACCTCCCCTTCGTTATTTTCTTCTTCAGAATCTTCTTGATCACTATTATTTAAAGCACAACTTCTTGCAGAATTATCCATATCTTTTCCTTCAATTAATCTCATATAACGATATTCAAGTCTATTTTTAAATTATTTATTTTTTAAATTATTTTAAAATTTTACGTTTTATTTCTTCTATAAATTGCACAAATAATTAATAAAAGAATTAAAATTAAAATAATTGTTAATGATAATATTAAACGAAGATTTGATGAAATAATTGTTCGGCAAGGTTCTTCCCTTTCATGACTTTGGGCACCAGAAATAACACAGTGTTTAGAGGGGATTGTGTGCACTTTTTGAATGTCGTTAATACCTTTAATTAATTGAAATTAAATTTTAATTTTACAAATTATAGAACAAGGATACACAGGTTAACCCGTGACCCAACTTTTTTCTCAACTAATGACCATTCTTGTTATACCTAGAGGGTTATTTTTGTTTATAAACAAATTTTAATCAAAAAATTTAAAAGTCTTTACATTCTCCTCGAATTGTTTGAAAGTCCTTTTCATTACAAACAGGACAAGCCAAAGCACTTTCCACAATAGCATGATAAAGACAACCATCACAAGTTCCATCTGGACAATGACGCGATAAACGAACCTTTAAATTAAAACAAAATTTTTTTTTCGGAATAAAAAACCAACTAAAGGTTTAGTAACAATACTTGGATCACATCTAACAGTTACAGCAGCCATAGTTCCATTTGGACATTCAATTAAAATATTTGTTGATTCAAAAAAGAAATGAATATCCAAAGGACGTTGAGTTTTTGTATTTGGTTGAATTAATTCTGAGAAAATATGTAAATATATTTTTTTAAATAAATTGGGGGTAAAAATTATTTTAAAGAAGAATCTAGAATATAATTAAATATATTTTGTCGAAAAATTCTCTCAAAAAAACCCCAAAACTTGCCATATTCTAATTGTTCATCAGAAAGTTTAAACCCTCCATATTCTCTCTGTTTACTAATCATAACCAATTTATTTGAAATTCTTTTTAAAAAAATAATTTTTATTAAACAAATATTTATTTAATACATTGTAGATGAAATATACACAAATTCTTCTTCCCCTTCACTACTTTTATTTGTTTCTTTCCCAAAAATAGGAACAACTGCAGAACGACAAAATAAAGCATTATTTTCTTCTTCTTCTTTTTCATCTTCAATTTGTCTTTTTGTTGGAATTGAATCTTTACATTTAATTGGGTAATTTGGAAATAAAGAAAAATTAAAAATATGAGTAAATGATTGTCCATCACGGACAAATATTTTAATTCCCTTTAAAAAATATTTTCTCTTTTTAAATTTAAAAAGGAGAAAACCTTTGCAGAAAGGGGAATTCCTTTTAATAAACTTAAATCAAAATTAATTTTTGAATTAATTCCATCTTCCTCTTCCAATTCAAATTTACCAGAAAATTCACAAAAAAGTCCGTCTTCAGAATTTTGAAAATATTTTGGGCATTTTGAACAGGGAATTTTGTTGGAATTATTTAAATTAATATTTGATAATAAATAAATAGATTGGTTAAGGATTGTGTTTGGAGGACAACGAGTACATTTCTAAAAGAAAAAAGAAAGAAATTATTTGTAATTACAGATAATTAAAGTTACTAATTAGTTGGGTTATCGGTTCTGGACCAAACCGAAGAACCGATGTTTTTTCGGTTCCGGATATCCCAAGATTTTGCAAGAACCAACAACCCTATTTGTAATATATCCAGTCATTTAGTCTTTTTTTCATTTCCCCCCTCCCCTTTCTTTCTTTTTTGTTACAAATCATTATAAAATAATTTGAAAGAGTCATGATTTGTTACAAAAAATAAAAGTAAAGGCCTACAGAAATTTTTGGTACTACTGAAGATTGTGGGGCTCTTTCTGCGGACTTTTTTTGCGGACTTTTCCTCCCTTTCTTTTGAATGTTTTACTTGTAGCAACTAACTGTCAACGCCCCTCCCCTATTATTTTTCTTACATAAGATTGTACATAAAGGTCAGATTTTCTTCTTCCTCTCCTTCCTTCTATTTGCCCTGTGGCAAATTCAAACGAGACATTGATAAAGAGAAGATTAGTTTTTATAGTCATACACTTATTTTTTTGCCTTAGAAAACAATTTAAACAAAAAAAGCAGTAAATAAAATTGATTTGGTGTATAACATTATGAATTTCTGTGTAAAAACATTACATTCTTATGTATATTTAAAAATATTGAACAACTGAAAAAATAAATTGAACTCAATATTGAACAACTCAATTAAAAATATTGAACAACAATTAATTTTAATCTTCTCTTTATCAACAATGTTTTGTTTGAATATGCCAAGCTCAAATAGAGGAAAGAGAGGAAGAAGGAAATCTGACCATTTTATATAATCTTAGGTAATAAAAATAATCTGGGAGGGGGGGGGGTTGAAATTACCCGCATTTCTGTTCCACAATCACATGTTCTTTTTATTTCCGAGATCAGTGATCCATTGTTGAAGTTCATCGAGTAATTGAAATCGTTATAATGTTTAAATCAATGGTGAACACATTTTTCAAACTGACATAAAAATTAATCCTTTGACAGTTAGTTGCTACAAGCAAAACTTGCTGCAAGCAAAACAACCAAAACTTTAAAAAATACATTTGAAAGAAAGGGAGGAAAAGTCCGCAAAAAAAGTCCGCAGAAAGAGCCCCACAATCTTCAGTAGTACCAAATTTTTTTTTATAAAAAACCTTTTTATCAAAATATTCCCCAGAAGGACATGGTTTACATTTTCCACTGAAAAAAAGTTTTTAAAATTAATTTTAAAATTAAAAAAGTACTCTTCATAAATAGGGCATTTAATACACAAATTATTAGTTGTAGATATATCCCCATTATTTGTAATATTTATTGAATGTATAATTGCTCTATCATTAATTTCATCCTTCCCCAAAATTGCATTAGTTCTCGTAAAAGCAATTAATAAATGAATTGGAGAAGAATTTAAAATTGGGAATACAAGTAAATTATTTGTTAAACTTCCGGTTAACATTTTTAATAATTGAAGATTTTCTTCTTTTTCGGGAAAAATAAATTGTTGGGAATTTTCTTTTTCTATTTTCTAAAAAAATTATTTAAAAAATAATTTTGAAATATTTTAGAACCCTATGGATTTATGGACAATTTTAATTTAAAATAATTAACACCTGAACAATATAAAATTGACATTTTCCTTTACATTGAAGAGAAACTTCCATTGATATTTTACCCAAAGGATTTTCATTAGTTATTTTTCCTGTATGTAAAGGGGAAGAAAATCCATCTTTAAATTTAACTAAAAAGAAAATATTTTCTATGATTTTAGTATATTCTCTGAATTTACTATTAATTTCCAAAGCAACCCCTCTCATTCTAGTTGTAGCACTTTCCAATCTATTTCCATAAGACATCCAAGATGGATTAACTGGACATTCATTTGGAATTTCTTTAAAACATTTAAAATTTTTAAAAATTATTTTTTTAAACCTGCAGAAAGGAATTCACATTCTTTTTTTAATTCAATTCCTGGTGGAAGGGAATCCCAATTTGTTAAAAATATTCCATAATTTGGAATTGATCCAGAAGGACAAGGAACACATTTACCTTCTCCAGAAGAAATAAATCCTTTCGGACAATTTTCACAATAACCAGCATTATTTCTCTCCATTTCAGGCCCACAAGGCAAACATTTTTCTTTTTTATTAGGTAAAGTATTTAAAATTCCACTATCAATACAAATTTGGGGATTTAATTTTTTCCAGAATATTTTTAAATTTTCTTCACTTGAATTAACACAAATTGATGGACGGACAGGGAAATAATCGAGAGAAGAACAAAATGGACGTTTTTGGCAAAATTCTGATCGAGGTTCTTAAATAAATTATTTTTAATGTTTTTATTTACACAAATATTAATTATCCTCTCTCATAACTACTCTCTATTAATTATACGCTCCAGCGAGATAATAAAACAATAATTATTAAGGATAATTATTAGAGTATATATTATTTTCAATTACCTGCCCACATATTTGGTGGACATTGTTGACATTGTGTTGCCCCTTTCTGGGCAAATTCATTCTCTCCACAAGCCTCACAATGTTGAGCACCATGAACAGAAGAAAAAGTTCCTTCTGGACATGATGAACATTCAGGTGCAAATGCAAGTCCAGAAATATCAATTCTGATAATTCTAATCATTTCCATTCTTGAACTAAGAACTGGATTTACAGCTACAGTCCAAGTAATCTTTAAAATAAATATTTTAAAAAAAGGAAAAAGTTTAAATAATTTAACTAAATTTTGTCCTCTTCTAAGAGATAATCTTTGTACTCGAATATCAGCCCCTTCTTGTTGATTAACTTTTTCATTTTTATTTTCTTTATTTAAATGTTTTTGTTGTGAAAGTAATAAAGATTTTGAATTTCTATAAAATATTGTAATTTAAATTTCCTCATTTTTCAAAATTTATTTTTACCCGTAACTTTGGCATTGTGCATTCCGAACTTGTAGCATTTGAATTAACCCTTTACTTTCTCTAGATACTTGATATTGAAATTCTGCAAATCCGGGTCTAGTTAAATGTAGAGAAATACTTAAAGTAGAAACACAAGGTGTCCAACTATAGCGTAATTGATTCCCTTCAATATTCCAACCTCCCCCTCCTCCACATTTAATTGTTTTTCCCCCAAATGATTCATCCGGGGAATTTTCAATAGAAAACCCTTCTGGTAATTTTGTTAATTCAAATTCTTCATAACGAACACGGTCACCCAAACTGAATGTTCCTTTAAAAGAAAATTTTAAAGAATATTTTTATTTCAACAAGTACCTGGTTTACATAATTTACATTTTTGTGAATTCATTTCCAAAAAATGTCCAGCTGGGCAAGTAACGCCTTCAAATTATTTTAATAAAAGGAAATATTTTTAAATTTTAATTTTAACTGCAATTTAATCCATGTAAAGGTGCTGGAACAGATTCTGGGGTACAAAGAAAGTCGTGAGAACGAGGAACAGCGAATAACCAACGTTTATCTAATAATTATTAAATTAAATAAAATTTTGATTGTAAGAGATTAATTAATGTAGAAGGATTGAGTAACAAAAACACAAAAAATATTATATATTCCTACATATATTTAATTTCTTAACACACTGAAGACTGTGTAATGTAAATACAATTATCTAAATTTATTTTAAACCCCCCCCCCCCTCCAAACCATTCTGATCACAAGGCGTAAATTGAAAAATGAGATCATCAGAATTACAATGCTTTACAATTTCTTCTGTTAAACAAATTAAAGGCAGAAATAATAAATAAATGGTAACAGTGAATATTTTTGGAAATTGACTGAAATATATGTAAATATTCTTTAAAAAATATTCTTTAATTAAATTATTTACTTACATTTTAAAAATATTTTGGCACATTTTTGTTAAAATAAATTTTTTGCTAGAAATTATGAATATTTTTAACCAAAATTACTAAATATTTTAAATAAAAAATATTTATTTATTGAATATATTTTTATTTATTTTAATGAATAAAATAGAGAAAAATGCCAAAAAAGAGAAAAGAAAGAATTATAGAGAAATATGTAGAAGTAGACTTTAGCTGGCAATAGCCTGCAAAGCTGGCAAATTCCGAGAAAGAAAAAACTAAAAATGGCGGTTGTTAAAATGAATATTAGAAATTTAATTATTTATTTTTTTAATCAAAAATTTCAAAGTTTCTTTAATTAAAAATAAAATATTTATGAGATTATTAACCATACAATAATTAACTATACAAAAAATAATTTTTATTTAAATCTAATTATTCAATTAAATTCAGTTTTCTAATGTATATGTGAATTTTTGAGGTTTATCTGTAGCCACAATACAAAATAATATATTTGCCTTTAAAAGAAATAATTTTAATTAAATTTTAAATAAAAGAAAACAAACCAAAAAACTTAAAACAGAAAATAATACAAAAATATAATTCCATTCTTTTTTATTTTTAATTTGATCAACAAAAATGGTTATTAAAGCCGGACTTATAAAAAATGCTAAACATTTATTTAATTGAATTCCGGCCATAATTAAATGTCCAAATTGTCTAGATGTTAATGTTGCACATTTATAAAATCCTCCACAAGCAGCCGAATAAAAAATTGAAACAGAAATGAAAGCAAAAAAGGCAAAATTTGGATTGGGAGCGAAAACAATTGCTTTAAATGATAAATAATTTAATTAGAATTTTTATAATAAAAAATAGGGTTAATTCGGTTTACTTAAAATAATATAGAGCAGATTTTGTTTGATGTTTGAACTTTAATGACTCTTATGTAGTTTTGGCCTCGTATCTCGTACCAAATAAGATTACTATTTCTTTGTCAGTATAAAGCAAGTAGGTATACAAAATATTTCCCACATTAAACTAAACCTTTCGTCAGTTTGGGTATGACTCCGGGAGTAAATTTCGACCGGCTCCCAAGCTGATTTTCAGATACTCGGAGCCTGAGCCACAAAATGCTTAATACCCATCAATGCTTTTCACTAAAAAATCTTCTCAATCTAATTTCCTTAAAAAAAGTTTTTCTAAATTCATTTTCATTAAATTGTCTTTATAATTAAAATAAAAACTAGCCAATATAACTAATTCCTGGCAATCCAACACTAATATTATTAAATAAAATCATTTTTTGTTTTTCTGACATAAAACTAAAAATAACAAATTATTTATTTAATTTAATTAAAAAAACCTAATTTTATCACTTGCCCAACCAAAAATTAATTTTAAAGGAATATGTAAAAGAGAAGTTAAAGCAGTTAACCATCCTGTATCAAAAATACTATAACCCAAAACATAATTAAAATATTGGGGTTTATATTGCATAATGAATACACCAGGGAGTAATTCTGCAAAAGCATTTAACCAACATATCCAAACAATTCCATTAGTTAAAATTGCCTTTAAAAATAATTAATAGTAAAGTTAATTTATTATTTGTTATGGATATCTAGTGCCTAGATATCTAGGAGTGTGAGCAACAACACCAAATTTGAAAATTGGCGACGGGGAATATCTTGGGAAAATTGCCAGAAATGCCGGTATTGGGGAATAGACGGGGTTGAGGGAAAAATCTGAAAATATTTCTAAAAAAATTTTTTGCCAAAAATTTTACAAGAAAGATCCAATCTTTAAAAACTCATCTCTCCAACATTTTTAACTAACTTTATAAGGTATTTGTTGTTTAATTGTTTTCATTTCTATATGGGCATTACTTTTGCCATTTTGAATTTTGTTAAATTCTTTTGAGGTTACTTGTGACGAGAATTGAGGTAATTCTTCATAAAATAATAACCAAAGAATTGCCAAAATAAAACAAAAAATAGAAGAAATATAATAAATAAATTGCCAACCAAATATTTTTGAAGAACAAAACTTTAAAAATTTAAATAATTTTTAAAAATATTTAAATAAATTTAAACAAGTCCGGAAAGAAAATTTGCGATAGAAATTGAAAATGGAGAGAAACTTGAAGCTAATGAAAGAAAAAGTCCATGTTCATTTAAAGGTGCCCATTGTGTACATAAAATACCCAAAGCTGCAAAATCTGCTGCAAAAGTTATTCCCTTTTAAATTTAATTAAATAATTAAATAGGCATGTATATTTTAGAATTAATTCTTCGAATTTTTTCAGAATTTAAGAGTTTGTATAATTTTAGCTACTTTTTAGGATTAGAGGATTATTAGAGATTATATCTTAATTAGATTATTTAGTAATTAAGGATTAGAGGAGTTTCATTGTCAACTAAATTAGACAAACTATAGCGGCGGGAATAAGTATGGAATCAAAAGCTAAATAAAGTAAACTTTCTTAATTTGCTCGACGTACAAACCCAAAACCATTTTATATCTAGTATAAATTTAAAATTAACAAAGTTTATTTTTTTAGCCCTTGATTACATAATTTTCACCGTCTAAGTATTTATAATTTAGATTAATCTAAAATAAATAAAAATTTACTTGAATAATTCTAACAACCAAAAACAGCCAAAATCCATATATTTTAGCCAAAGGTGTTAATCCAGTAATTATTGCAGAAATTATTGAAGCAAAGAAAAAAACATAACGAGGACCAAATTTTGAATAAAGAAAAATAAAAGGAAAAGCCGCCAATAAATTCCCTAAGCCCATTCCCCACATTAAATAATTTTGTTGATTTTTAGTTAAAATATTTGTTTCTTCTTCCATACAAATTAATGTAAAATTAAATAAATTTGTATTTATAGATAATGAAGTACTCAACAAAAATCCAATTAATAAAAGAAAAAAACGAAAATTATGTCTCCAAAGCCAAAAAACTTTTTTTGGTTGTTTAAAAGGTGGAAGTATTGATCTTAATGAATTTGAACGAATTCCATGTAATTCTTGAACAGGCATAATAAATAATTATTTTTTTTTGAAAAATATCAGTAAATAATTGATAAAAAATTAATATAAATTTGTTATCTATTTAAAATAATTTATAGACAATTTTAAACAATTAAATGTATTTTTGATATATTTAAATAAGGAAATAAATTGTATAAAATATATAAATATTTATAGTAGATGAATTAATATTTAAATATTATGTAAATATTTATAGTATACATTCTATTAAATTTTAAATATTAATTTTTATAAATAAAAAATGTAATAATTTAAATAAAATTTTATCAAAAAATTTGAATATAATTAAAATTTTTATTTCACAAAATAAAAATAAACATATATTTATTTATATTTAATACAGTCGGGCCTCACTATTAGATACCTTGTGTATTTATTAGAGTTGTACCCCGACCCCGTTCCCGAACGATTTTTTCACGATTCTCCCCGACCCGAACCCCGCCCCGAAACATTTCGAAAACCCCGTACCCCGACCATAAAAGTTTCGGGGTTATCGGGGTTTTATACACCCAAAAAATGCCATTTTTGTGAGAATTTTAAGAGAAAAATTTTAAAAATTTCCTCACAATTTACTTTGCCTTTATTATTTTTGAAAGAAAAATGAATGAAATATCAAAATTTTCTTTCATTCTTAATTAAGAGACTTGTGGTTGAGTGGCTTAGTTGTTGGTTTTAGCCTATATTTCCATTAATATAGGATTGGGTTCGGATCCATATAAGGAGAACTCTTTTGTTTTTATATTTCTTTACAAAAACAAATTATTAACGAGTTAAATTTTAATTTTAAAATATTAATTTTATTTTTAACTGATATCCCTTGAACGACCCTTAATCCTTCAAACCCCTTGTATCACCAGTAAGGGGTTCCCAACCATAACAGTTGGAAAACTATCGAGGTCCTGTTAACGGGAATCAGAGATATAAAGGAATTTGTAGTATATCGAAGAATTAAGGAGTTATAAAGGGATTTAAAGGGATATAAGGTTTAGATTAAAATGGATTTGAAAGAATTACGTGAATTTAACGGAATTAACAAGGATTTCGTGGGAAATTTAAGGATTAATCGAAGATATCTCCTGATATCCGTCCAAATACCCTTATCCGCAATACATCAATATCCTTATAAATTACAAATATCCCTTGAACCAACAAAAATCACTCCAGATCACCTTGTATCCCTAGATATACCATTTAATCCCTAAAAATCCCACTTAATCCCTCTAGATCCACTTATATCCCAAGTTATACACTCTAATCCCTTCAAATCCCCTCTAATTTCTTCAAATCCTACTTAATTTTTGAATAAATCAACGAAAATATATCGATTTCTAATTATTTTTGAGCATTTTTTTCTCTAAAAATTTTTCCACTAAACCCCCGTACCCCGACCCGAACCCCGGCCATATTTTGCTCCCCCGACCCGAACCCCGCCCCGAAACAATTGGAAAACCCCGTACCCCGACATACCCGCCCCCGAGCGTTCGGGGTACAACCCTAGTATTTATTCAATTAATTACTATGAACTCAATTCTTTGCTGGGTAACTGAAAGGATGAGAAATAAAAAGAGGGTAATTAAGATGGAAATTAATTGAATAAAGGTATATTAGATATATGTATGTTGATTGGCCTAATAGATTTTCTATTAAAGACACCTTTCATTAAAGGATATAAATCTCAATCCCTATTGATATCTAATAGTGAGTATTTATTGTTGTTGTCCATTACAATTAATTATTATATCATCAAATTCAGCTCCACTTTGTCTCAATAATGCCTCTCTTAAACTAAGTATAGACTGTTTTTGTATTCTATAATTATTATTTGGTTGTTGTTGTTGATTTGAAGAAATAATTGAATGGGAAGTTGTTCTCGATGTTCTTGCAGAACTCGAATTTTTCCTGTTAGAACCGTTTTGAATTAAAGTTAAATTAGTTTGTGTAGCTAAATTAGATAGAGCAACCATTGAAGAATATTTCTTTCGAGAACGGCGTTGACACTTTTAAAAATTAATTAATTACCCCTTATTCCCCCCCCCCCCTCCCCCTTTATCCCTTTAATTAATTAATTACCAATTGTGCTTTAAGTATCAAAACAGTTCTTTTTCTAAAATGTTCCGAACTTGAACAAAAACAGAAAAAGTTTAAAACTTTTCCAGTCACCAAAATACAATTCAAAACAGCTGTAACGGTAACTAATTCAACCCTCCTTTTATTTGGCAAAAAATGTTCCCAAATAACTGGACATAATGTTGGCAACTTTTTAAAAAATTTAATTCTTTAAAGAATTATTATTTATTTATTTACGTGTGTTATTGTAAAACAAGTAACAATAGCAATAACTGTTGCAGTTACTTTTCTTTCTCTACGCTGAAATGTTCCTATATCTGAGTATCTGAAAATTAAATTCTTTAAATTATTTCTTAAATTTTTTCTTTTAGACCTTCAATACACCAAAAAATAGAAAAATCCCCAATAGAATAATGCAACTATCCCAAAAAATAAATTCGTTTTATGTAGTTTAGTGGGAACCAGTGATGCGGAAATTCCAAAATTTTGGCGGTTCCGGTTCTGGAACCGGTTCCAGACATTTACCGGTTCCACTTCAGGAACCGGAACCCCCGTATCACGGGTGGGAACACAATAGACAAAATTCGAATCGCACATTTAATAAATTATTGGATATATCCAATTATTTAAAACTAATTAAATACCTAAATTCTTGTTCTTTAAATTCATTTAAATCCCCGTCAGCATTATTTGTACTATTATTTAATATTCTTCTCCTTTTTCTTAAAAAATAAACTAAAGAAACATTTAAAATAGCAACAGCAATAACAGGCAGAATTACAGCAATTAATGACTGGCCATATTTGGCTATTCTCAAATATTTTAATAAAAAAGGGGAAATATTCTTTAATTGGCTAATATGCTGGAAATTAGCCCAAACCTTTAAAAAGAAATTTAAAAAAATTATTTTTAATTAAATCCAAAAATTACTCTATTGCATTGAATCTGTATAGTAACTCTGTGGTCGATATGGTGATAAAAAGATAATAAAAAGGCAAATACAAAAATACTCAAAATAAGTAAAAATAGGCGTCTATCACGTAATTGAAAACACTTTTTGAATTAATTAAATTTAAAATATTTTATTTTAATTTTACTGTATGCATTGGACGCCAAACCCCAGTAAATCTTTCTAAAGAAACTGCCAAAACAAAACTTTAAAAAAATAATTATTTAAAATAAAAAAAAATTTTTTACAAAGTAGCAGCAGTTGAAAAGCAATTGGCTAGAGCAAAACAATGAATTTTTGTTAAACTTTAAATTAAAGAGAGATTAATTATTTTTCAATTAAATTATTTAATAAAAAAAACAAACAAATAAAAATATGCAAAACCAATTGAACGATAAAATAATGGAAAAGAAACTAGAGAATTTGGAAGCATACAAAATAAAAAAGCTAAATCAGCTAGAAAAAAATTAATTAAAAATAATTTAAATATTCAATTCAGACCACAGGCCATTGCTGCAAGTAAAATATTTGCTTGATTTTTCATTCCAGAAGAAAGTAAAACAACCTTTTTTTATTTAAAAAATAAAATAAATTTTTTTCAGATTAAAATTACTAAATTAATTGAATTTCCAAAAACTCCAAGAAAAAATTGTATTGGAAATATATAATGTTGAATAAAATAATCAACCTTTTTTAAATAAATATTTTAAATAAATAAATATTTTTAAATATTTTTATTTAATTTAAATAAATACATTTCCAACAGTTAAAGCCATATCAGAAACAGCATTAGCGCTTCCTTTACTTAAAGAAGTAGCTGAATAAGTTGGTGAGATTGTAGAGGAATTATTTTGATTATTAAATAAATTATCCAATAAAGTACAATTTAAATGTAAGAGATCCATTTTTGAGGAAAAGCGAAGGGAAAAATAAATTTCTGGAAAATCTTTTTTTTAATTTTAGAAAACAAATATAGAATGACGGAGATAAAAATAAATAAATTTAAAAAAATATTTTTTAATTTTTTTAACAAATTAAAATTCTTTCCATTTTCCAAAAATACCTAAATAACCCCTTTCCCCCCTCCCCCCCCCCCCCCCCCCTCCTCCTCAATTCTTTAATATTTTCATAAAAATGTTTCAATTTAAAAAAAAGAAATATAACACCAATTCCTTTTTTAAGCTCAATAAAATGATGAAAAATAAGAAAAAAAATTAGAAAAATGTTTTTTGATAAATAACCGCGCAAAATGATAAAAAAAAGATGAAAGAATAGAGTATGTGTTTTGTAAAAAAAAAGGGAAGAAGATTTTTGTGTGTATTTATTTAAATGCTTTAGGGAATTAATAATTTCTTTTTTGTAAAAATTTCTTTTTTTTTATTTTAATTAAATAAAAATTCCAACAAAAAAAGACTGATTTAGCCAATTCCTGATGGACAAAAAATTATTGGAGGAAAATTAAAGGAAGGAAAAAATAGGTAAATATAAATAAATATATTAGCTTAATCAAGGAAAAAAAGTTTTTCTTTTAAATAAATAAACAATTCAACCATTAAATTAAATAAAAAAGGATGTTTTAAATAATTTTTTAGAAAAAAAATTATTTTTTTAGTTAAATTTAAACAAAAAATGATTTTATTTTGGGAAATGGAATGAAAAAAATGACGAAAGAAAATTAGTTTAAAGAATTATTTTGGCATATATTTAGGAGAAAAAAAGTGATGAATGTTTAGGGAGAAATTGGAAAGAGATGAGGTTTGGGGGGGGGGGGTGTTTATGACGTGGACAAGTTTGGACGTTAATAAACATTTTTTCTAAAAATATTAAAAGATTAATTGGAATACATATAATTTTGAACATATTTTGAATTTAAAATATTTTTTATTTTAGTAAATTAACGCCCTATCAATACCTTAAAATTCTTTTTTTAAAGGAAAAGGGGAATTGTTTTAAATATATTATTTCCCTCCTTTTAAAGAAAATGCATTTTTAGTTGGCCAAATGAAAGGAAAGGACAGCTTGTCAACAAAATTGAAAAAAATGAATAAAAGACAGGCTTTTTTATTTAAAACCTCTAATTAAGTCTAAGAAATGAATAAAAGAATGAGAATTAATTTGATCTTAAAATGAATATATGTACATATTGCTCTAGTATTTTAAGCATATTTACATACACTCTTTTTTTTATTTTCACTCAATTTTTATTCAAATGACATTTTCTTTAAATAAATAGAGGCTTTAAATTAAAATAAAAATTTTTTTTGTTAATTTGTTAAAGATAAAAGTGATTGATGGATATTTAAATAATTAAATGGAAAAATTGAAAAGAGAATGAATGCTCTTGAGGGTGTTAATGACGTGGAGAAGAAGTTTGGACATTAAACATTTAAGAAATTTTATAAATAGATACGGACTTTTATTGGAATAAATACAGGGTGTTTCAACTAAGAAATACTATTTGAAAAATCTATAACTTTTTACTAAGTTGACAGATTTTATAGATATTTTGTATTTTATATCTACATCTTATAGCATTTTTTCTGACATAAAAATTATGTCTAAATTCGAACCCTACCCCGAGATAATTTCGTACTCTACCGTTCTGTTTTTCCCTTTTTCCGCACATGCATTCTTACTTCCCTTTATTTGTTGTAAGGGGAGACAGACACTAGAGTAAACACTAGGCGATAGCCACTACATTTTCAATACAGTATCCACTCTTCGCCATACGCAGGAAAATAAATGAAGTAAGATAGCATGCAATGCGAAGAGAAAAAAAAGAGAACGGTAGAGTACGAAATTGAAATACAGGGTTAGGGTTCGAATTTCGAAAAAATTTTTATGTCAAAAAAAATGCTAGAAAATATAGATATAAAATACCAAATTTCATTAAAATCTGTCAACGCAGAAAAAAGTTATGGATTTTTCAAATAGTATTTCTTAGTTGAAACACCCTGTATTTTTTGCAAATACATTTTGCCGCAAAGACCTCAACTATGCCATTATTTTTTCGATATTATGATTATGAACAAAGTTACATTTCAATATATTTTTTTGGCCATATTTTGTGATTTTATTTCAATAAAAATCCGTCCTCTAGTTATAAATAATATTTCGTTTTAAATTATTTAAAATAAAATTATTTTCTTTAAAATATTTAAGAAAGCCAAAGAATGACTAAAATTGCTACAAATTATTTATTTTACTTGGGCCCTTTTTCTTTAATTTTCCCATCTCCTTTTGGCATAAAAAAACTGCCATCCAACCAATGTTAAATAAAAAAAATTAGAGGAAATTAGGCAAATAAATTAAAATAAAAAAAAATTTAAATTTTATTTTCTTCTTTTTTAATTATTTTATAATTAATTTCAAAAATTTTCTTTTTTAAATAATCTTCTAAAAATGGAGGTTTGTATTTAATTGAAGTAAAGCATTGTTGATTAGATGATAAATAATTATTTTGAAGGCATTGAATGGCTGAAGGTCTTCTTTTTTGATCAAGTTGAAGTAATGATTGGATAAATTGAATACATTCATTTGTGGCTAATGGAACTTTAAATTGATAAATTTAAATAGTTATGTTTGAATTTTAAAAGAGAATATTTGTTTGGGAGCAGGGTGGAACAAAATATCCGAGATTTGACTTGATTTATTTTGCTTAAGATTTAATTTTAAAAAATGGACATTTAATTTACATCACAGAACAATAAGAAATATGTGGGAACGCAGAAATAACAAATAAAATAACAACAACACTTTCTCCAAATAATTCTTATTTTCCTTACATTAAAGAGAAAAGGTAAAACTTTCATAACAAATAACCCCAATTTAAATTTAAATTATAAAAACTACTTAATTTCTTCCAATTTTCAACAGGCTTTGTTATATCAAAAAGAACTTTCCCAGCATCTGGCAAAAATTCCCATCCGGGCCAACTTTCTTCAGTTGGAGTACCCAAAATTTGGAAAACTTTAGATAATTGTTCTATATCTGTTCCTCCCTAGTAATAAATTTTATTTAAATTTTATTTTTTTAACCATAAATAAAGGTATTCCATTAAAGAATTCAGCAAAAATACATCCTAATGCCCAAATGTCAACTTTTGGGGTATATTTTGTTGCACCAAAAAGTAATTCTGGAGCTTTAAAAATAATTAATTTTTAAAAATTATTCTCATTATTAACCTCTATACCATCGAGTAGCTACCTAAATAATTAAATATAAACACGGATTTTGATTGTATTTAGTGACTCTATGGGGGAATTGGAACTTTATCCCTTCCCTTTAATTTCCCTTTATTTTTTTAAGGTCAACTAAGAGATTAAAGAAGAAATTGTCTTTAAATGTACCTGATGTTCATAATCCCTATTAACATCATTAGGGAAATAAATACAAGCTAAACCAAAATCGGCTATTTTTGTTTGATTATTGGATGTTATTAAAATATTTTCTGGTTTTAAATCCTTTTAAAGAGGAATATATTTTAAAATTAAAATTAAAAATCACTCTATGCATAATATTTAAATTATGTAAATAAATAATTCCATAAATTATTTGTTTAAAATAAAAATTAGGTATTAATTCACAAAAAGGCCTTTTAACATCTTGAATTACTAATTTTAAATTTGATTCAATAAATTCAAAAATTAAAGAAATATTAATTAATTCGTCATTCCTTTTATTAAAAATTATATCAAATAATTTAATTATCTTAAAATTTAATTTAGCCATTAATTTAATTTAAAATATACATTTTTGTGATTACATAAACGAAGACTTTGAATTTCACGAAAAATACGTAATTGAACATTTATATCTTCTACAAGAGTTATTTGTTTTATAGCAACTATTTTATTTGTCTGACAAATATTTTTTTGAATCTGTATATTTTTTTAAAGTTTACCTCCAAATTTCTCGCTTTAAGAACAGATCCGTGTGCTCCCTGGCCTAATTTTGATAAAAAAGAATATTTTGAATTAAACATTTAAAAATTAAAAATTCTTGTTTCTATAGTTACCAAAAAACCCCAAAAAATATGGTGTGGCACACGGCGACCATATATTCCTAAATAGTTCAACTGAAGGCGCTCAAGTGACCCTAAACGATTTTTACGGGAACGAGACTATTGAGTACCGCCGATTGAGTACCTGCCCAGTTGAGTCCCGGCCGGTTGAGTCCCGCTGGTTATATGTGAATAACTTTCCAACTACGGGGAAAGTTGTTCCAACTATGGGAAAGGTTGGAACAACATTATGCAAAGTTGTTCCAACAACGGGGAAGTTGTTCCAATGTTGATGCTGGTTGTTCCAACTATTGAGAAAGTTGTTACAACTATTAAGAAAGTTGTTCTGACAACTGGGATTGTTGTTCCGACACCAGGGCCGGTATGCAAAAAAGCGGGTAGGGTTACCCGGTTCTTTGCTTGCGCCGAAAAAATTCTCTTTATTTAGCGCAGCACAGCATCTTAACCTGTTACTTTTAGCCGTTTCAGTGGCACTGAAATAAATAAAAATACTGTATCTTTTTCTTTTCCCCACTATTTCTTTCGCGTGCTATTTTCTAAAGATTCGCGTGCTATTTTCTAAAGATTCGCGTGCTATTTTCTAAAGATTCGCGTGCTATTTTCTAAAGGTTGCAATTTCGAGAAGCTTAATCTCGAAAAAACTCCTTTTAAAAAAAATTTTGTCCAACCCAAATAATGAAACGAAGTCTTATCTTTGTTTTAAAACCAAATTTATTAATTTTTTGAATGGGAAAAAAATTTTTTGAATGGCCAAATAAACCAGTTTTAAAAAGTGAAAAATTAAATTAAAAATTTATTTAAAAAATTCATTTTACTTTAAAATGACATTAAATATTAATTATCAAAGATATTATTGGGATTTACACTTTATATAAGTCATAATAATCGATTGGGTTCGGACCCTACACTTAAAGTGGGCGCGTTACCAACTAAGCCACAAGTACCGCGATGAAAGGCAAGTAACAGCCTCTGCCTATTTTAAGATGCTGTGGCGCAGCAAGTAGGAAAAGGAAAAGAGAAGAGAAATGGGCGTGTCCGGTTAACTCATCTATTCGTTAACTCATCTACACGGCCAAAAACGTTCAACTCATCTAAACGGCTAAAATTCCTTAACTCATCTACACGTCCAAAAAGGGTCAACTCATCTAATCGTTAACTCATCTATTCGTTAACTCATCTACACGGCCAAAAAGGGTCAACTCATCTAATCGTTAACTCATCTAATCCTTAACTCATCTACACGGCCAAAAACGCTCAACTCATCCAATCCTTTGGAACGAGACTATTGAGTACCAGTCGTTTGAGTCTCTCGCCGTCTGAGTCTCTGGCCGTTTGAGTCTCTGGTAAGTAGGATCCATGGCCGTTTGAGTCTCTGGTAAGTAGGGTCCATGGCCAGTTGAGTCCATGGCCAGTTGAGTCCATGGCCAGTTGAGTCCATGACCAGTTGAGTCCATGACCAGTTGAGTCTATGACCAGTTGAGTCCATGACCAGTTGAGTCCATGACCAGTTGAGTCCATGACCAGTTGAGTCCCGGCCGTTTGAGTGGTTGATTACCGCCGGTTGAGTCTTGGGCCGGTTGAGACTCAACTGACCAGGGACTCAACCGGCTAGGGACTCAACCGCCCGATATTTCAAGGATTGGATGAGTTGAGCGTTTTTGGCCGTGTAGATGAGTTAACGAATAGATGAGTTAACGATTAGATGAGTTGACCCTTTTTGGCCGTGTAGATGAGTTAACGAATAGATGAGTTAACGATTAGATGAGTTAACCCTTTTTGGCCGTGTAGATGAGTTAACGAATAGATGAGTTAACGATTAGATGAGTTGTATAGGAGCCGAAATGGGCAATAAAGAGGAAAAAGTGGGAAGAGAAGGAAAAGGAGAAGGGGTACTGTAGAGTTGCGGGTAAAATTTTAACCCTGCTCGGAGCAGGATACAAATTATTTTAAAAAATCATAAAAAATCGAGATTTAATAGGAAAATTATAAATTAAATATTTTTAGATAGTTTGGAATGTCCTCTATTTAATGATATAAATTTTGGAATTTTTTATTTAAAAATCAATTTATGGCAATTTTTAGCAAAAAGTACCTCATTTTTTAGTCATTTTTTAAGGGAAAGTAGTACCTTGCAAGAAAATTCATAACTTTTAAAAAAATCGGTCAAAATTTTTGATTTTTTGGTAGATCATAGTTAACACTCCGATCTATATTTTGGTAAAAAAATTAAATTTTTATCTCCATCTTAAAAAAAGTTATGATTTTTCTCCAAAATAGGGAGAAATGAAAAATGAGCGGCGCCAAACCCGATGGTTAGAGAGCAAAGTTTGCGCTGCCGTTAACTGTCTGCTCTTCCCACTGCTTTTTAGTTGGAATGCTCGCGCCGCAGCAAATCGGCGCAAAAAACCCGCAGCTGAGGGTTGGTTAACCCTTACCTCCTTTTTTGCATACCGGCCCAGGGGATGTTGTTCCAAGAACGGGGGAAATTGTTCTAAAGACGATAAAAGTTGTTCCAAAGTCAAGGAAAGTTGTTCCAAAGTCAGGGAATGTTGTTCCAAAGACAGGGAAATTTAACCAGCGGGACTCAACCGGCCGGGACTCAACTGGCCAGGGACTCAAACGGCGGTACTCAACCTGCGGTACTCAAACGGCGGTACTCAATCGGCGGTACTCAATAGTACCCCACCGGATTTTTACAAGATAAGTGTCGGTTCAGTGTAGACGCCTCAGAGTTGGTCGGACACCCAAAATCAATGGTCAGCTTGCCCAGCAAAAATTTTTTTTATTTTTTTTTTTAATTTTATATTTTTATAGAATTCAATTTTATGAGAGATGCATCGAACATTCCTTCGATCAGACAGTAATGATTTAATTAGATTGCATTCTTTCAATTCATTGACGGCACGCAGCTTACAACACGGTTGCCTTTTAATCAACTAATTTCTAATTGCTGTTGATTCTTATTAGACATAAATTCTTTTGCTATAATAAACAAATTGATTGAAGAACTTCAAAAAGTCAAAGGCGAACAAAATCAATTAATTACCAAAAATAAACAACTCGAAGAAGCTTTAAAGTTTTTTTATTTTTAACATTCTTTTAATTTAATTTTAATTTAGACAAAGCCGACGGGAATTGTTTGGGGCCAAAAAGGAGATTGAGCAACTTCGTGTTGTTAATCAAAATTTTGTTGACAGACATTCTCAGGAACAAACTCTAGTTAACACAACATACACAAAGTCCACAGAAATGCCTGTGCCGCCAAAAAATCGAAAGAGAACTGCTGACGAACAACATAAAAATTATTGTAGCGAAAGAGATGGTTCGCCGCCAGAAAAAATTTTGAAGCCTCACAAAAAGGAGAACAGTCGATTGCTTGGTGTCAGGAATACTCGTATCTCCAGCTCTTGTGACGATTTGTAATTTTTTTTTATTTCTAATTTTTTTCCGTTTTTTCTTGTTTAAGTAAAAATTCTAGGAGCAAACTTCGACGTGATTTATCACCACCATTTATCGACGACAATCCGTTTGGTACTGAACATGTTTTTGAAACAAAAAGGAATTTTTTGCGTATTCATTGCGGGCGTTGTGAAGTGGCAATTCGTTTTGGTGTTAACTACGTTAAATGTCAACGTTGTAAAGGTTTATAGAAAATTAGAATTTTTGACCTTATCCCAAAAGAAGGGCGGAATCGTTTTTTCGTTCCTTGCAAGGAAAGGAAAAATGGAAGGGAGAATGGAGACGGATGGACACGAACAGTCAAAACACGGACGGCTATCAATTTCTAAAACATTTCCGTCCGTTTTTGTCTGTCCGAGTCCGTCCGTGTTTTGTTTGTCCGTGTCCATCCGTTTGCATTTTTCTTTCCATCTTTCTCCATTTTTCCTTTCCTTGCATATAATGAAAAAAACGATTCGGCCTTTCTTTTGGGATAGGGCCAAATTTTATATTTAAATTTTTATTTTAGCTACATTTCATGAACAATGTCGGAGGCAGGCTCCTCTTCCTTGCGTTGTTCGAATCATGACGCCAAAACCGGCTGGACCTAAATCTGGACGTCCAAGACTTGGTTTGATTTTTAATTTCCCTTAACATTTTAAATTTTTATTTTAGGTGATTTTTGTGCGGATTGCCGTCCAATGGTTCCTCCATTAATTACTTATTGTACTTATTATTTGGATAACTGCCCAGACTTGCCTTTTGAAGATATTTATTCTAATTGGTTAACATTTTTTGAAATTAATTATTTTATTTTTATTAAACTTTAGCGGTATTGCTCGAGAAGTTGAATTAATTGCAAAACTTTTTCAGTCCAATAAAAGTTTTCCAAAATTGGTAACTCTTAATTTAATTTTTGAAAATTATTTTATTTTCAATTTTCAAGGACAATTATAGTGTTCTCAGTGTTGCTGGTTGTGTCAGAAATTTTTTGGCGCAAGTTCGAGAGCCTGTTATTCCTTTTACTTATGGAAAGGATATTATTAAATGCCAGCAGGATACGAGTAATGCCGGCAATTTAAATAGCTTAATTGGGGATTTACCAACTGTATATATTTATTTTAAATTTTTTTTATTTTAAAATATATTTAGGCACATATGGATACACTCGCTCATTTAGTTCGTCATTGGAAGCGTCTTTCAGCAATTTCGGTTAATTTTTTTAAAGTTTTTTACTAATTATTATTTTAGAATGACCGTTTAACAATCAAAGCATTGAGTGCTCTTCTTGGCCCGCTCGTTTTTGGTTCGGATCGTACTGAATCGCCTATTCAAAATGGGGCGGCAGTTAATGCTATGGAGGCTCTGTTATTACTTCCTATTGATTTTTGGGTTAATATTACCTCTTCACCTGGAACTTCGCATTCTTCCCTGTCTAGAAACCCTTCGCAGCGTTCCAACAATAATCAAACACCAAAGGTTTTATTTTTTTAAATTATTGGCAAAAATGACAAAAAAATTTCAGTTTAAAACTCTTACAATGAAAAATGGGACAATTAGTGGTTTGCGACATCCTCAAGAATTAAACTCGACCGTTTACAAATAAATTTTTGGATTTGTAGGTCTTTTGTTTGATTTAAAGCTTTATTTATTTTATACCATCACTTGTACAATTGTCTTTCTCTAAACTTGTTCACCGACTTTAAATACCAAAAAAATTGTAAAATTTTAGATTTGACCTCCTAAAAATTTATTATTTTTTTAATCGGTGTGCTTGTTTTATCAAATCATCCTATACACAGATAATTTAACAAATCTCATTTAAAATATTTCTCTTATTGTCTCATGACCTCTTAACGAAAGTAAAATTTATTTATTGAAAAAAAAGTTTTTATTAAAAACAATTTTTATATCAAAACAATTATGCGTGTTAGGAAGGATTAGGAATGTTGTTTACAAAAATTAAAAGATGTAAGATTAAATGTTGCGATTAATAAATCAGTATAATTTTTGAGGAAATACGTCAGCGAAATTATAACAAATCGATCCAAAAATAATAATTAAAATGGGGTGATTTATAATTTTTAATTGAGAGAAAATAAATTTTTTTATCATTTTTTGTTTTAAAAACATTACATATATTATTTGTTTAAAATAAATTCCTTTCATTTATTTTTCACATGCGTGTATTTATTAAAATGTATAGTTTTATAACATTTCCTCTCTCGCCATGAGATTGGAAATGCTGATACGTTCCCCTTTCATCCTGTATCGACATATCGCTGCAGATTGGTTGAAAAGTAGTTTACTACCCTCTAGGCTGATCATTCATCAGCGGACATTAACAAACAACACAAAATTGTTGAAAATGCCCCCAACACAGCTTCAACATCAAAATGGATTGACAACAGAAATGCCTTCCCTTCCTCTTTTATTAGAATCACAAACCGGTGAAGATACGGGTATTTTATTGGCAAAAATGAATGTTCCTCGTACTAAAAATGCCCTTTCAAGAGCGCTTGTTAATCAGGCAAGTTTTTAAAATTTGGAAAAAATCTGCCTTTTTCTTTTTAGTTTCGTGAGGCTGTCGATAGACTTCGTTATGATAGAAATGCTCGTGTTTTAATTATTAAAAGTGCTGTTCCTGGAACTTTTTGTACAGGTGGAACGTTTTCTTTTAAAAGATGATTTAATTTTTCTAGAGTTTAGGTGCTGATCTAAAGGAAAGACGACAAATGACTGAAATTGAAGTTTTTCAATTCGTTGACTGTAAGAGGATTTTATTATTTGTCAAAACTAAATTCAGTTTTTTAAAGTTTTGAGAAGAACCTTTAATGAAATATCTGCTTTACCTTTTCCGGTACTTGCAGCGATTGACGGCTTTGCACTAGGTGGAGGACTAGAATTAGCTATGGCATGTGATATTCGAATAGCCTGTAATTTGTGTTATTATAACTGTTATCTCAGTTAAAAAACATTTAAGCGCCCCAATCAAAACTTGGGTTGGTAGAGACTAAATTAGCAATAATTCCTGGTGCTGGGGGAACTCAAAGACTCCCAAGAATTGTTGGATTGGCTAAAGCAAAAGAATTAATCTTTACTGGGAAAGTACTTACAGGCAGTGAGGCTTTAAGTATCGGACTTGTAAGTATTAATTTTTTTTGCTCAAAAAAATAATTTTAGATTAATCAATTGGTCGAAAATCCGGTCGATAAAGCATTCGAAATTGCCCGCCAAATTTTGAAAACAGTTAATTTTATTTTTTAAAAAGAAATTTAGTTTTTTTTCTAATTTAAGGGACCTATAGCGTCGAAAATGGCCAAAATAGCAATAGATCGAGGATCAGAATTAGAATTAGCTAGTGGAATGGTAGTTGAACAACAATGCTATGCACAAGTAAAAATGTTTATTTGGGAATATTTTGTCAAATTTATTTTAAGATTATGCCTACAAAAGACCGTTTAGAAGCCTTAAAAGCTTTTGCAGAGAAAAGAGAGCCTAAATATAAAGGAGAATAAATAATAAGGCAAAATACCTTTGTGTTGTCTCTAAATTGTAATTTTTTCTTAATTGTTTAGATTAGGGTAGCATCCCGTCCCCCAACGGATTTTTTAGCAAAAACCCTGACCCGAACCCCGAAGGCTCTACACCGGCAAACCCCGATCCACAACACACCTGACCCCGAAGGCTCGGGGTGCTACCCTAGTTTAGATTTTATTTTCCAAAACTGTGAAGACCTTTTTTATTTAAAAAATATTTTAATTTTTAAATATTCCAAATTATAAATGTTAAAAAATCTTTTATAAAAGTGTTGAAATACTCACAATTTTAATGACTCGTTTTTAGACATTATGTAGCAAATTAAGAATCACCAAGATAAGATTACAGATATAGAATAGAATTAATAGAAAATAGAATTCAATATTTTCAAATCACCCGACCATTAATCACATTTAAATATATTTTAAAGAAATTTAAGCTAGAGCTTTACTTCCCCGTTTTGCTTCAATTAAATCTTCAACAAGGCCATATTTAGCTGAACGACGTTCTTCTAGTTCCACTTCTTTAAATCGAACATCCATCCGTCGATCATCAATCATTCTCTCTCGTATCATCCATTTCTTTTTATCATAACGTGGATTTATAAGCCTTAAAAATTTGTGGAAATATTTCGGGTCTAAAACTTAAGGTGTTTTAAAAAAATAAAAACCTCAAAGTTTCTTCCAAATCCTCCCTTTGAAGATCATCTACCATACTATCATCAATAAAATCAGCCAAATCACTATCATATTCATCACCATAACCTCCACCTTCATCATCGTCGTCCTCATCATCATCAGTTTCACTATAATTTGCATATCTCATTGCTTTATTGCTACTACTTGAATTTGCTTTCCTTTAAAATTAAAAAATATTAATTTTTAGTGAAACGTCTTTTGCATTCCAACAACAAAAAACGCTTTATCCGAAGATAATTTTTATAGATATTTTTCAGCTTAAAATTATAAAAACCTCATATTTTGAAGCATTTGATTACGATTAAAAGAATCTTGCTTAATTCGAGCAAGGCTAACTCCATCAGTTTTTAAAGGCCTTTTTACTGCTTGTTGTCTTTTAGCCTCTAATATATTTTTATTTATTCTTTCATTATTTAAAGGAATTTCCTTTCGCTTAACAAACGGTGGAGCAATTTTTATTTGATTTTGTTTCTTTTCAATTAATTGATTTTTGTTGTTAGTATTTAATTGTTGTTTTAGTACAAAAGAAGCATTATTGTTATTGTTAGTTTTTTTATTTAAATTATTTGAAGGTAATATTCTAGAATTAAACATTTTTTAATTTTTATTTAAAAATATAAACAAACTTTTCATTTTTTTGTTCTATTTTTCCTGGAGAGAGAGTGGAAACACTCTTTTTAACAGAAGGAATTACTAAAATATTAAAAAATAAATAAAAGTAAATTAAAAAAACAAACCTGGCTTTTGCTGAAGAGAAACTTTTTTATTTTGTGTTGGGCCCTGATACCGAACATCACCTGGCAAATACCTTTTTTGAGGATTTTGAGAATTACAAGAATCTGGATGAGCATTTATTGAAAGATTGTTTGTAGTTTTATTAGCCATTGTTTTTGAAGGTAAAGAGATTCTGACTTTGTTAGTTTTGCTAAAAAATGAAATTATGTTTGTCACAAGGAATCATGAACAATAAGCAAAAATTCAACATTTTAAGGAAACGGAAATTACCGCCCTAAAAATCCGAAGCCAAAAAATGTCTATAGCAAAGGGCCAATCTTTTACACGAAAGTGTTGTATTTCTGATTATAGTAATACTTATACCTCTCAAAATCAGACCCTGGTTACACTCCCTGGTTACACCCACGTATTTCGAACTTTTTATAGACAAAATATTAAAATATAATATACTTTTTGGTTATAGTTTTGTTAATAGGTGGACCATTCATTCTCGACGATTCTTGCTTCTCAAGTCCATTTGTTGGCAATGAAGAAAGCTTTTTATGAGATGAATCTGTCGAAGGTTGTGAATAATTTTTTGTTGTAGAAAATTGAGAAATTATTAATTTTTGATTGTTAGAAGGCATTTTTGTATTAATTGTTTTGTTTGGCTTAACACTAAAATTTTGAAGTTAAAAATATTTTAAATTTAAAAAACCAACGATTTTTGTGAATTTAAAGCAACTCGTTCAGCCATTTGTGCTTCAACTTTACTTTTTTGTTTAAGTTCTTTCTGCTTTTCTCGAGCAGCAGAATGAGAAAGGTTTAATCCAGCAGTAACCCCCAATCCATCTACTGACACTACCTTTTTTGGCTGTTGTGGAATAACTTTTTTGTTTGATTTCGACGAAGACTCTAATTCATTATACAATTGCTCTACGGCAGAAGAATCATTCTTCTGCGCTTGTTCCAATAAACTAGTAAAATTCTGAAATACAAAAATAATTTAATTGTGAAAATTAAAACATTATTAAATATAATTAAACATTTTTATTCATAATGAAATTAACTTTGATATTTAAAATATTTATTTTTAAACCTGTGCAGGTAAACGTGGTGTTGCTTTTGCAATAGACACTTTGGAACCATTTAATTGCTTCGTTGAATTAATTTTATTTACAATTTGCGTGTCGGTAGATCTTTTAACTTCTAAGTTCTTATTAGACATTTTCTTTCTATCAACAAAATTCTGCTTTGGTAAATTATTGACGTTGTTTTCTTGAGAATTTTTCTTTGGAATAGCAAAATCCTTTATTTAAATTTATTTTAAAAATGCAAATTAACAAACCTTTTTTTGTTCAGTTGAATTTTTAATTTGCTCTTTATGTTGAAGAATTCTCCTTTTTAGATCAAACTTCTGTCGAGATCTTTCAATAGCCATTAACTCATCTTGTTTTCGTTTACGACTTTCCATTTCACGATTAGCTTCTTTAACTTTTTTCTCCTCCTTTTTAGCATTTTTCTGGGCTTTTTCATACAATTCTTTAAAATCCATCTGTAAACTAAAAAGTAAATATTCAGAATATTTTTTTCTAGAACGAGTTAATCAATGAATAATTACTTACAATTCACTATTCAATGACTAGTTATGAGCAATTCACTGAAAAACAAAAAAATATTTAAGACAGAAATAATCTTTAAATAAGTCAAAAATTGCTTCGAAAAATTTTATGATCCCTTTGTTGGTCTAAATCTTTAATAGCCGTGGAGAATAGATTCTAACTTAACCATATTTTCCCCCAAAGTATGCCCAGAAAGGGATTTAATACTAAATGAACTATTTCGTCGTCCCAAGATAATTTTAGTCCGAAAATGGGAAACTAGGCATACAATTTTAAATGCAGCCTCTAACATTCTGCTTAAAAATATAAAATATTAAAATCACAATTGCTCAAATAATAAATCGTCAAACACGTAAACGGAGAAAATTATTATAGCCAATAAAAATTTATGCTGGTAAAATTAAAAACAAAATATTTTATATTTCAAACAGAGTCTTTTGTCTTTTCTTCTTCACATAAATCGTCCTTAATAGAAACAGTCGAAATTAAGTCAGCAGCGACAACAGAAGTATCTTTTTTAGGTTCCTCATCAATTTCTTTTCGAGATTCCGGCAAATAGAGCTTTAGCCGAAAAGCGTCCGAACCGCTCATATAATAGCGAAAAAGTCGCGATTCACGAATAAAACCGAGACGAGCATAAAGAGATAGTGAATTGTTGTTACTTGCCTCCGTTTCAAGAACAATCTTCAAAAAATAATTTTTAAAATTATAAATATTACAAATCAAAACCTCTTCGCATCCTCTGTCTGTCATAGCGGAGATAATAGCTTTTGCTAGTGTAGTGCCAATACCAACATTCTTAAAAGCTTTGTCAACAGCAAGCATTGCAATATAACCAAAAATGTTTTTTTAATTTTTCCTCTAATAATAATGAAAAAAACCTTGGCTGCGGGGTAAATTAATATCTTCTGATTGCCGTTGATCTAATTTGCCAACAATTGCGCCTACAACTGAATTTGTTGAGTCTATTGCCTAAAATTAATTTTTTTTTAAAATTTCCAAAAGAAAATACCAAAAAGCACAGCTCTGGCCAACAATATATAAAATAACGATAAGTATAAATAGAGTAAGGTTCACTTAGTTCTCTACAAAATATAATCTCCCTAATTATTTTTAAAGAAAATTAACCGTCTCATTAATGCCATAATCTCTGCCATCTGATCCTCACCTTTATATAATTCAACTTTCACCGATCGACCATCAGGTAGCATCATTGTTTGTCTCAAGACATCTTCGTCACATGAATTTCGTCGTGGAGGTTTGACTGGATAAATGTCTATCTATTTAAATATAAAAATATTTTTATATAAATATTAAATACAAACATAAGATGATTCAACTTCTCTTGAACAAGTTGTACAATTTTTGCAATCATCCATAAGCTTCAAAAATTAGTTTATATGAACATTAAATTCTCGATATAAATGCCAAATAAACTAATTCTTAAATCAAACTAAAATTTGTAAAACAATTTATTTAACGTGATTTTAATTAATAACATAATTCTGAATGAAAATTTTCTTTAAAAAATAATATTTTAAAAAATTTTCTCAACGAGGATGAATTTTAACCAAATCATCAATAAATTTTTTCATATAATGCCAATACTTAATTCGTGTAGGTTCAATTTCTTCTAGAATTTTTAGATGCTAAAAATGTAAAAATACATTTTTAATTAAAAGAATTAAAAGAACTTGATTGGCAGTTAAAGAATATTCGACTTTTTGTTTGTTATCTGTACATTTTCGAATTTGTTCAATGAGTGAATTAACAACAAAATGATGCAAGTGAGGAGATGGACAGCTAGGAATTCTTGAAAGCAATTCTTGTACAACATTAACAATTTCAGGCCGTTGTAGCCCCAAGTCATCATTTATTAAAATTCTAAAAAAATATTTATTCAAAAAAAAACAAAAGCAAACCCATTCAAATAACTCCAGACACTTTCGTTACAAGGTGAGATCCGTAGAAAATTTAAGACATAACTAAATTTAATAATATTAATGAAATAAAAATTTACAAACCCTATTTCAATTTGCAAAAAATGATTTTGTTGAAACCGATCACTTAAATTCAAGCAAATAAAATAACGATAATTCCATGCTGAATTATTCCTTAAATCCTCTTTTAGATGTGAGTCAGCAAAGTTCATTTCCTCAGGTGAAAAAAGATTGAAATATTCAACAACCCATTGCCTATAAAGTATAATTTTTAAGGACATCCGCTATTTTTTGTTGTAGGTTTAAAAGTTGTATTTCATAAATAAGACCAAGAATTTTTAAAATAAATATTTCTTTACAAAAATCCTAATCCAAATTTTTGAAGCAAAATAAAAAAACCTGTGTTGCCATGCATGGTAGTTTTTCGCATCATCCTCAAGTTTAGAAGCCGTAAATTCAAGTTCGGCTCGATATTCTCCAGATTCTTCCACAATAGCTCTACGGTGATACCTGAGAAAGGGCTTACTTATGAATTTGAATGCTTACCAAACTTGATAGTTTTTAGGATTTTCACCGATAACTGTTTCACAATATTTTAATTCATCTTCAATATTCAAGCCTAATGCACGAAGAACTTTCCGCCGATAATTCCTTAGATTTATTCATAAATTAATTTAATATGAAAAAAACCCTAACCAAACACTATAATTAGCGGCGTTTAAAGAAATACAAGTTGTTGTCAATTCAAGTACACGACCACTCAGTTCATTTGCATTCATAACTGCCCTCAAGTAAGCAAAGGCATCATCAACTACAAGAGAAATTTAAATTTCAAAAAGATGAAATAAAACATACATTCTTCACTTGTTGAAATCTTCACTGCACAATCTTCATCAGCAGTATTATATATTGGTTTAATATCCTTCCACTCATCACTTTCACTGTATAGCATTTGATTTTGTTGATTAGGAGAATCTGTCATCACAAAACTTTTTTGAAAAACGTTTATCTATATTCTAAATTAAATCTCGTTTTTACTAGGTATACCCCCTATGACATTAAATATTATTCAAACAAAAATATCCTAATAGCCAACTACAAGGCTGTTAATCAGAAACAAACAGTAAGACAAAAGACATATGTATAATTTATTAGATTTATAAAGTCAAAAGTATTTATATATAAATGCATATTTTTATATTTATATTAGGATTTACATATTATATTAATATTAAACAAAAAATGAAGAGATGGAGGTCGATAGGCGGGAATTGTCTTAAATGAATTTTTGATTATACAATTTATATTCAAATAAAAAGCATGAGAAAAGGGGAGAGGTCCAATCGTCAATACAACAATTAAATTATGAATATAATTATGGACATAGGCTCTGTTTTATTTCAATCACTCATTTATTGCAACTTCATGTACATTCCATCAAGTTTTGACTTGAAATGCGTCCTCAGCTGTGGCCTTTTGCTCTTAAGAGTAGGCGTAAGCAGATCGTTCTCAACAGTGAACATCTCATAGTGAAGATAGATATCCCTCACCTATAAGATAAATAAGAACTACAAACCATATTTTATATACCTGTTCAAATGAAGATAATCCTGCCTTCTTCCCCAGTGCTTGGATGTCGTCTAGAATCAACTTCTTAACCTTCTCATCCATACACAATTCCTGGATGCTCTTGCCCGCAATCCCAAGTTCGGCTGAAACAGCATTAGGAAGAACATCAAAGTCTGGAACGACAACAGCAATAAGGCAAGTTTTCAAGCTTTCTCCGTGAACAAAGCATTGAGCCACATATTTCGAGCGGATATAGACAAGTTCGATTTTCTCAGGGGCCACATATTCACCTTGTGCCAATTTGAAGATATGCTAAAATTTGAATAAAACAGGCATGAAGAAAAGTTTTTGGGAGAAAATCTTTCCAATTATTTAGTGTAATTAATACCTTTTTACGATCGACGATTTTCAGCACACCTTGAGCAGTCCATCGACCAATGTCACCAGTATGAAGCCAACCATCGTCATCTAAGGTCTCCTTTGTTAATTCGGGCTGTTTGTAGTATCCCTTGAAAACATTAGTCCCTTTGACGCATACTTCACCAAATCCATCCCTTGCATAATAATTAAGCTCAGGAACGTCAACAAGTTTGATTGCATTGCAAGGAGCAGGCACACCAACATGGCCAGGAATTGGATCTCCTTCTATTGACACCTTTAAAAAATGTTCAGAGTAACTAAATTATAAGATATTACAGTCGCAGCAGCAACACATTCAGTCTGCCCGTAACCTTCGCAAACAATTGCACCAGTAGCACAACGCATAAATGTCAAAACAGTCTCTGACAAAGGAGCAGATCCTGTAACCTTTAAAAATTGAGGTAAAATCTTGTAATAAATAAAGTAAACAACCATCAATTTAACGCGCCCTCCAAGCCCTTCACGAACTTTTCTGAAGATATGTTGGTCAATGAAAGAATCACTGCGAATAATCCAGCTAAATAGAAGGAATATAGTATAAAGAAAAATGAGGTACTTTTTGGTTATGTCGTCAACATCCGCAACCTTTTATCCGAGTCATGTTTATCTTGTCTTAATATGCACAGAATGGTGATTTAAGGATAAAGTCATCAGTCAACGCTTATTCTCCTCTGTCCATTGAGAAGATAAACTTTATGACTTGCGGATAAAAAACTGCGGACTTTGTAGGCACAACCGAAAACTCAAATACGTACTTGTTAATTTCACGAGTTTTAATCGCAACTGCAGCATCAAAGATAAAACGAGTTAGCACGGATTTGTTGGCTTCAGCCATAACCTGCAGAAAATTTAATTATAAAACGACCAAAAATTTACCTTATCGTAAATCCTATTAAGAACACGAGGAACTACAGGCAAGACGGTCGGACGAAGAACTTTAATATCGTCAGCCAGAAGGCGGATGTCACCACGAAAGAATCCAACAGATCCACCTGCACAAAAAATGGCCGTCTCCAAAATTCGTTCAAACATGTGTGCCAAAGGGAGGAAAGACATCATCACATCCTTGAAGTTTATATGTTACAAGTATTTTAAAAATATTTTACTTTGTTGTTCAAGTTTGCGTTCTTGAAATAGTCCAAAGCAGTACAATCAGCGATGATGTTGCCATGAGTGAGCATCACACCTTTGGGAACACCCTAAGAACATAGGTAAATGTATTCATAAAATACGGAAAAGCTCATACTGTAGTTCCTGATGTGTAGCAAATAGTCGCCAAGTCATCAGGAGTTGGAGGTTGGTCAGCAATGTCATTCAAATCACCACGCGCCTCAAATTCTTCAAAACTAGACAAAATAATTCCTTCATTCTCCACAGATCGTCGAAATTCTTCGGTCAATTCGTCTGAAGCTGGAGACATAACAACGATATTCTTGAGTGATGGACACTGAGATTTTCGCTCCACAAGACCCCTAACTTTGTCTATAGAATCGCAAAACTGAAAAAAATAATTAGGAAAGAATTAAAAAAATGCGTACCACCAACTGAATATTCGTCTGGTTAATTATAAACGACGAAGCATCAGCGCCAAGCGTTTCGTAAAGCGGAACTGAAATTGGACTTCAAAAGAGAATATTTTAGATAAATTACCAGTGACATTGCTAAAGCAATAAGCCGCCTGCTCAACAATAACCCATTCCGGTCGGTTTTTCGCGAAAATTCCAATGAAAGATTCTTGTCCAATAGGAATATCAAGAGTCCTTATTGCACGTCCAACACGGCTAGCTCGAGAGATGACGTCCTCATAGGAAAGCCAGACATATGGCTCAAAATCTTCAGTTTTTGAGCGATAGCCAAGCATAGGACCATTTTTAGAAACAGTGGATCCCCGACGAATGGCTTGATAAAGAGTAGTCGCATCCTGGTAAATGAAGCGCATAAGTGCATCCGTTTTGAGATATTTGCAGATTCGAGAGCCGTCCTGAGATAAAAAAAACAATTTAAAAAACATTAAAAAGCATACAGGGAGTTCACGAGTCTGAGATTCAGGGTCAACTAGCGGGGTCAAACGGTACGGAGAGGTTCGCGAAGACCACATCCACCACAATCCCATTGCACCAATCGTAGCAGCAGCGCCAACAGAATAGAGCAAAGGACTTGTCCCACCATTTCCGCTGTCAGGCCATTCAAAGTCAGTAATCCTTGAGCAAATAAAAAGTTTATAGAACTCTGACTGTAAAACTTTTGAAAAAAATCTACGAAAAATTCACTCACCTTCCAAGATTTATAGGTAGAGAAACCCAAATAGGTGTTGTATCCTTGACCATGTTTTAAATAATTTATTAGATTAGAAATATAAGTGAGCAATGTTAAAATAATGAGCACTGCTGAAATGGAAAAATTGAAGTTTTAAATTAATGTTTTTGATTTAACAAAAGTAGAAGAGAAATTAAAAAAAAATTTAAATGGGAAGAAAAATCTGGTGAAATTAAAAAAATGACGAAAAGAAAATTTAAAAAATAAACTAAAAAAACATTTTGCCAATTTGATAATGAAATATTTATTTAAAAAATTTTGTTTCGTAACTATCGAAAGATTACAATATTCTGGTTTTGACAAGGGAATATCGTTTACTGTCAATGCGAATTTTCCCCTAAAATCTAAAAATATACTATGTAGAAAAAATTTCATTAACCAAAAAATCATATTTTCTGTTTTTGGAAAATTACTTTGGTAAAGAAAGTGGTGAAAATTTTATTTAAATATTAATTCTTATCTATTAGAAAACGACAAACTTTTTTTTATTTTGAGTACACTAACAAATAAACTTGCTTATTTGTGGTTTGGGAAAAATATCTTATCAAAGTAAATATGTAAAAGATAAAATATGTAAATATTAGGTACAGGTTCTATTTTTTTATTCTTTGAACAGAAAAGTTCTTTTACGTAAAATTTACGATAATGATAAAAATAGCAAATTAAAATACATATAAAAATACAAATGATAAGGAAAAATGTTCTAGAAAGTCGTTAATTTATATTTAAATTCATTACAACTCTAATCAAAAAATATACTTTAAAAACTATTTATTTTTAGTTTAATTTTTTTTAATTTTTCCTAAAGAAAATCTAAACTACATAATTATACAAAATTAAATTACAAACCTCAAACTTCAAAATATTTTAATTCGGTAAAACAATTTAATTAAATTTTATAAAAAAAAGTTTTGATGAAAAAACTTTATTTATTGATGAAATATTTTGAAATTAATTAAATTGGGAAATAATCTTTTTTTTCTAATATAAGAAATGTTTAGATTAAAGAATTTTTAATTTGTAAAGAAAAAAATGGGGCCATTAATTGTTTACATAAATGTTAAATTATTTTATCAAAAATAGTTATGAGAAAAGCAAAAAATAATAGAAAAATATATTTTATCATTTCAAATAAATGAAAAAATATTTTTGCTGAATGGTCAGAATTTTTAAAAAAGCAACGTGGCCAAAATGAAAGAAAATGTTGAGAAAGGGGAGAGAGGGGGTTTCCCTAACAAAGAGACTATTTTCTTCCCATTCCTCACGTGTTGTTGTTGACATAATAATGAAAATTGGGCAGAGGATTTTAGCAGTATATCAAGTAAATTTAAAAGCTGAAAAATTTGTAGAGAGGAAAACTAAGCAATGTGGTATGATGTTGGGTGTATGTACATATTCTTCTATCTATCTACATTATTTCGGCGGTGGCTGGTCGACACTTTTTTTTCTCGCGAATTTATTTTTCTCTATATATCTCTCAGTATATACACACATATATATAGAGAATGCAGCTGCTAATGGCGAAAATTCACAGTCAAGAAAATATTTTGGATGAATGCTGAGTTTTAGAAACAGGGAAAAATAAAAAAAGAAGGCTGAGAAGGGATATATGGAGATATATTTTGTGAATATACGTATGTATAAAGGATATCTATTGGAGAGAAGGATTAGTAAGGCATATACATATTTGTTGATTTTTTAAGTTATGTATCTTCCGACAACAAATTAGTCATAAATTTATTTTATCATTCATAGGATACATAAATAATACAGTTTACCAAAAAAAAGGAAAAAATATGTACTGTGTAACTCTATTAATTACCCTCCCTCAAATAATTACCCCACCTCTATTAGTTACCCCCTCCAGCGAAAGGTCGAAACAATAATTACTCCCTTAAAAATAGTTATAATTAGTCTTCCTAAAATAACCTCTATTAATTACCCTTTCTAGAGAATTCGAAACAATAATTACCCGGGGTAATTAAGAGTATCGGTATATGTATTCAGAACCTAAAAATTACATTGAATTTTTCGTAGTTTTGTGAATTATTATCACCCCTCTAAAAAAAGAAATTATCATTTTGCTGCAAACAAATAATATTATTGGGGTTGCTCTTTTATGAAGATAACATTTTTGGGCCATTAAAATAAAAGATAATCTAATTTTGGGTTTCAATAAAAATTCGTGGCTCGCACACCCTTTGATTTTAATTTATTCGTCGAACCACCACAATATATTCTTTTTTGACCCCAAAAAAGTTTTCGGTGGAGTCCAAAGTCTGAGAGGAACAGGGCAAAGATTGTCAGCGTAGTCAAAAAAATAAGGGGGAAAGGAATGACTGGGCACCATTTGTTGTCTTCCTCGTGAATTTTTTTTCAATTTCGTGAGAAATGAGAAATAATATTAAATGATCATTTCAATTTTTATAAAGTTTTAAATGCTTTTTTTTTTGAGGCTTGAACTCTTGAAGTTTTTGTTGTCTTTTTTATATCCCCAGATTAATGAATTGTTTTTAAAAGAAAGGAAGTAAAGGACAAAAAAATTATTTGAAACGTGATCACGAGGAAATTAAATATATGACGGAATTAATTTTTTGACGAAAACAAATATTTTGATTGTTGAGATTGAGATTAAAAATATGAATCTTTTTTTTTGTTAATTAGGGATTTGAAAAATATGAAAAAAGTTTATGAATTTGGTAATGAGAGATGATTGACGCAAGAACAAAAAACGACGCAAAACGTAAAAATGGAGAACTAGTATCTAAGATACTCCCAATACTAGAGATACTACTTAAATTTAAATTTTTTTAATTTAATTGACTGGCTAGGTGTATCTAAAAATATATGAAAAATAAAATATTTAAAAAAAGTTTTGTATAGAAAATGAAAAATTAAATAAAACCAAAAATAGGTAATAAAAAATATAAAGTTGATTTATTTACACACAAAATTATTAAAAAACTTGTTTAATAAAAACGATGTTTACTATGTACAAAAAAATATTTAATTTATTTTATTGCAAATTTTAATTTATATTTTTTACTTTAATTTTTAAATTAAAAAAGAAAAAAACATCTAAAATCTGTCAGATTCAATTATGTCTAGTAAATTGTCTGTTTGTTTAGTTTTGGCATTTTTAAGAAATATAAAATCTTCTTATTTTCCATTTTCTTTAAATCTTTTAAATATTAAAAATATTAACCAATAAATTATGCATAGTAAATCTAATAAATTATTAAATGTATCGGATTGTTATGATCGAAAACCATCATCACATCAACAGGTATATACAGTGGTTGAAATTTAGTTAAGAAAAAATAACCCCCTTATATTTTTCATAGTTCCAACATTTTCTTAACTAAATTTCCGCCACTGTATACCGTATTTTCTCGATTAATTCCCCTGGGGAATTATTTTTTCAACCCATCCGTGGCATGGGGAATTATTCGAGGGAGGGGAATTATTCGAGGGTGGGGAATTATTGTTTCAACCCATTCCTGAATTTAAAAAACTGCACGAAGTTTTGGAGTTCTGTCTTTTATTTCTATATACTACTGTATATAGATATATAAAGCATGGATATATCCCTAAGCAAGGAACCATATAACCAATGGGTGTTGTAGTTGGACATTTATCTACCCCAATATGGGAGTATTAGGATTATAGTGCCAAATGAGGAGTCGTATGATACGATACTAAGGGATATATATTTTATATCCTTCAGCATGGAACCATATAACCATGTAATTCCCAGTATGGATCATTTAATCTCTAAAGATATAAAGAAAAAGATAATACATAGCGGGAAAAAGCATAAACGATTAACTTAGGGGACGAATCCGCGTTTTTTGTTTATGAGGACGAAACAGCAGGACGAATCTGCACTTTCTATTCTATGGGACGAATCCGCACTGGAACGAATTCAATTGGAAGGCATGATATCTGACAAAAAAGGCAGATATAATGGATTTAGAGGGATATCGGTGGATTAAAGTTCTAGGATATCTGTGGATTAAATTTGAATATTTATAAATTATTTTAATAAGCATCAATTTTATTATTTTAATAAATATATTATTAATAAAGGGAATTATTCGAGGGGGGGGGGGAATTATTTGAGAGTGGGGAATTATTTGAGGGTGAGGAATTATTATTTCAACTCGTCCCTGGCATGGGGAATTAATCGAGAGTGGGGAATTAATCGAGGGTGGGGAATTAATCGAGAAAATACGGTAAGTGTTGTCGGTTCATGGAGCTGAATGAACCATAATTGAGAAATCTTTTTTTTAATAATTTTAAAAAATCTTAAAATTTAATTAGACTACATTTACTACTAATCATTATTTGGCTCCAATAAGGCGCAGTTCTTCTTTAGAATTTCCAAAAACAAATTTATCATTTATTGAATCAGCACTTGATAGTTTAAAAAATTCAAGTACATCTATTTACGCCTCCACATTAAGCGCTGCTGGATTATTAAATGGAATTGGTCTAGATGGTCTTAGATCAATTACTGTTGGTTCAAATGATTCGGCAGATAATTTGTTTTGAAAAAATATTTAAAAAATAGTTTTTTAACAAAATAGATATTCATTAATGGCTTCATATCGTTCTTGTTGTAATTTATTTAGATTACGTTCTGTTACTTTAATTATTAGTATTTGTGTGTGTATTGTGACAACATTAAGTTTAATTTAATTTTTTTTAATTAAATGAGAGCTTTAAAAATAATTTTTTTAGTACTTTCTTGTCTTCTTCTTGAAGCACCTTTTTCTACAAAAATTTTATTTTCTCAATGGCAATATGAATTAATATTTAATCCAGCTATTTGGATACTTTCATTTTCTTTATTAACAAGTCTTTTAATGAATTTAGCTTTAATTACAGATATTCACTTTTTAATTTTACCTTTTATTGCAAGCTGTGTATGTTTTCTTTTTGATTTTTTTTAAATTTCAGAATAAGTTAGGTGGGGAATATTTGAGATATCGTATTTTCTAATAGCTAACTAGCCTAAAATAGCCCATCCTCTATTTTAGGGGATACCTTCTATTTCCCTCTAGTGGTCGGTCGAAATTATAACCCCATTCGGTTATTTTGAGGAAATAGGGTATTTTTAAGAAATTGGTTGAACTTCCGATTCCCGCTTACAGTTTTAGATGCATTTCCTAAAATTGTATTTCAGCTTTTCCGAGCCACCTTTGTTTTGGGGCCATATTTTGTATTTAACTTCTCAAATATTTAATAATTAAATTCTTAACAAATTTTTAAAACAAAAAATAATTTATTTTTAAATTTTTATTTAATAAATGTTACCGGCTCTATGGCAATTGAAATATTATTATTATTAAATATATACAAATATAAAATATTAGCACCAATTTGTATTATTTTATTTTCATCATTTTTAATTTGTTTACTTCTTTGGATGTTAAAAATAACTTTTTTTACTTTTGTGCTTATTCGTGATAAAAGGACTATATTTTTGTTTGGATTTAAAAATAATTATTTTTAATTATTTTTATTTTTAAGAGATTTATTACATGCAGAATTATTAGGAAATGAATGGAATAATTCAACAAATATGAGAGAAAGAAATCCGTTAATAATGATTAGAAGATCTTCGTCTGTTCCTATTTCTTTTACAAATATTGCTGAATTTTAAAAATTTTTAAAAATATTTTTATTTGTTAAAAAATGTAAAAATAATTGTATAGACTCTAAATCAATGATATCCCTCTTAATCCCCCTGTATCTTTAAATTGAAATTTGGTAATTTATTGTAAATCTAATAAACCCAACAGTCCAGGCCTGGGCCCAGGTAAAAAATTCCTGGGTTTTTCCTGGGCCTGGGTTTTTACTGCACTACAGGCTCAAGATCCGGCTCAGGTCAAGAAATCAAACCCCAGAGTCCAGTAGAAGAAGGCTTTAGCAGGTCCAGGCTTTTTTCACCTCTAAAAGGGTCATTCAATTAGAGCAAATACGGTAATTAAAATACATATAAAGACAAATTAATTATTATAAAAACCTAAAAGTTAATTAAAATTATCAAAACATAATTCTTCTAAACTCTTCTCAACATCAACAGCTTCGTTTGTTTGCGACCAAATGTCTTGCAGATGTTTGTGTTTTTTCTCTAAATTTTTAAATTTAAATTAATTTTAAGCTTGTTCGAGTTCTTCTGATGGAAGGAGGTCTTCTTCGTGTGTTTCTCCACCAACATATAGTGTTGAGATTGATGAAGCGGGGAAGTTGATAAGCGACAAATACCAGGCATTTTAAATTTAAAATTAAAAAATAGTTTTCTTTTGTTTTTAAAGGTTCAATGGCCTCAACTTCCACCTTCGGGCACACATTCCAAACGGGAGAGAAAGAAGAAGATGGCAAGAGAAAGGAAGGCTGGAAGTGACCAACTCATTCGAGAATTCAATGTGGCTGTCTGTCCAAAAGAGCAACCAACTCCATATCCTGTTCGGGCAATGACCATGGAAGTGAGAGAAATTTTTGTTTAAATTAAAAAAAATATTTTCTTTTTAAGCGTGCCTATTCTCAATTTGAGAAACGTCAATTGCGTCATTTCTTCATCTACTACCAGCTATCGAGTCAATCGTTTAAGGACGTGAATAAAATTCCTCTTGAACTGCCATTGATGATTGCATATAAATCGGACACTGGAAATGTTGTGCACTCCCAAATCAAACGATTTGTCTCTAAGGAGAATAACAACAACAACGACAACAAGAATGCTGAGTTGTGGTGTGCTATTCCATATGATTCTAATGGAAATCCTGTTGCTGAGCCATATCATCTGGGGTAAATTTTCTTTAAAAGAACTTGACTTCACTTAATTTTTTGACAGATTTGCGAGTGTTAGGGCCCTCATCACTCACTATTCGTCCTTGAATGCGCATTGTGGAGCGTACATCTAAATAGTTGGTTTGTAGAAGTCTGGGAATAGATGAATATATAGAAATTGATAAATATATCTAGGTGATTTGTTGTAAATATGTTGTAATGCCTATTTGTATTGTATATGTACATATGTCTTAATAAATTATAAAATAATTTTTTCTTTTAATTTGGAAAAAAACTTTCAATTTTATTTCTCATTAAAATAACCAAAATACTAAAATTAATTAATTATCCATGTTTGTTTTTAATTTTTTAGATTAATTTTTCAATTTTCTTTTGATTAATATCAGGTTCATAAAGAAGACCATTCCAAAGTTTATAAAAACATTCATGACAATATGGTCGAAGTTCGTGTTCGCGGAATGTTCCGTGCAAATTAAGTGCCTAAAAATATTTTATTTCAAAGTTATTTCTCGAAAAAACTTTTTGGCAATAGCAACACATAAAATGATAAGGATGGAATTTTTGAGCTTTTGTAGCATTTGGAGCTAAGGCAGTCAAAACAGGGCCATCAATTTCTTGATTACAAAAGGCACAAATTGCTATAGGGCTTAATGGTGATGTTGGCTAAGAAAAGGAGGAAATTTATTTAAAAAATTAAAATGATAATTAACTTCAATATTTAACGTTCTTCGAGGTGTAGCTGAGCGAGCACGTCTTTTTAGACTACTTCTGAATATTATAAAAAATATAAAGATAAATTAGGATATTAGATTCTCTCCTCACGCTCGTAACGGAACCTAACCTCCAGTCTATGAAATTGGAATTTATTCGTTTTCCGTTAACTCTAAAAATTCGATGTCCTGATGGCACCCCTAGCAAAATTTAGAGCTAAACAAGAAAGAAATTGGGCTTTCTGGCCTTTTTCTGTTCGGATATTCGAAGATTTCCCAGGAACTGCCAATTAAACTTTAGACTACAGACAGGTCTTATTTAATCTAGGATTTGTGTCCTCTAAGAAAAATTTCAAGAGAATGAGAAGGGTTCTCTCCAAAAATTAATAATTTAATTTAATATACATTTGAGATTCATCTAATTCAACTCCATAATCTTTCTTTATATGATCAACAGTATAATCATCCGCAGGCTCTGAATAAAATAAATAATTATATTTAATATTATTAATTATTGTTGTTTTAATTATTTCTTTCATTTTATTTTTAAATGAAGGAGAATAAAAGAAAAAGAAAAGGACAAAATTTCAAACCAAAAACCGGCTCTTCTTGATCAAAATAAGGTGCCTCTTCATAAGCTGCGGGTGTTAAACGTAAACGATATTCAATTTCCTAAAGTTTATATAAATTAGTTTAGGGAGATCGATATTAAATTTTAGTATTTAAAACTAATAATTCTTTTTAATATGTCAAAAAATTTGAGCGGAATTTCGATTAGAGCTCTCTTTATTGGACTAATTCATATTTTCGCCCCCTAAGTTTTTTTCAATCATCTTTGCTAAAACTTGTATTTCAACTAATCATTCTTTGCATTTATAATTAATTTGCCTACTTCATGCGATTTTGGCACTTTTTTCTCTTTAAGAGACCCTCTACGAAGTACTTCTGCAGTAGCATTAACATCATATACTAATGCTGCTAATGTATCTGTTACTACATTTTGACCTTTAAATAAAATTTTTTGATTAAAAAATTGTTTAATTTAAAATTCACGTTGATCTTCTTTTACTCGTCCCAATTCTTTTTTTAAATCTTCTGTGCTAACAGACTTTAAACGTAAATTTAGCCAACTTTCTTGGGGCTCAACTTCAATACGTCCACTAACTTCCATTTCTCCTTGAAATGTTTTTTTATCAAGCATTTGTTGTTCATGATGTCTTCTAATTACTTCTGCTGTTTTATTTACATCAGTTACTAAAGCATCTAATGTTCCGTGAATTATATTTGCATCTAAAAAGAGGGGAATTTTATAGGGAGAATTAACTAAATTATTGAAATGGGGATATAATTGAAGAACAAATAACGGGAGGGTGTAAATTAAAATTAGATTTAGTATGGATTACTGCATCATTTATGGGGGGGGGGGGTAATTAACTAGTAAAAGGGTAATTAACATGCACACTTACGTTCTCCACGAGTCTCCATGGCAGTTATAAAATAAATGGAATGTTTATATTAAACAAATATTTAACTAAAAAATAAAATTATTTTTAAATAAAATTTTAAGAATCGATCAGTTAAAAATAATATTTAACTAACTAAAAATTAAGAAGAATCATTTAAGAAAAAGAGAAAAAGGAAACAACAATTGGCATTAATTCCAACATAAATAAATACTTTTTATTAAAAGATTTATTTATTTAGAGACTAAAAGCAAAAATATTCTTTCGGCTAAACATATTTTCTTTTCTTCACAAAACACTACCTACCCCCCCTCCCCCCAACCATTTTATGTCCAAACATTTCTTACATTAAAAGCTAAAAATAAAAGAAAAAATATTTTTTTCTTTTAACAGAATGCAGCTTTTTTAATTTCTTTTATTTTATTTTTCTCTCTTTTATTGACAGACGATCAAATTTGAACAGAGAAAAAGTGCAACTTTATTGTTTGTGGGGGGGCTTCTTTACAAAATTGATTTTTTAAAAGAAAATAAATAAAAATAATTTAATTAAATGTACATAAATATTTAAATAAAATATCCAAAAAAATCTTTTTTCTTTTTCTTATCAACAAAGAAGACAAGCATCAGGACAATAATGAAATTTAAGTCCTTTTGTGTTTTTATGATTAAAACAAAAAGGTCTATGTTTGTGTGATTGCCATTGAATACAACTTAAAAATTAATTTATTTTTTTAAATTAAATAAAAATTAAAAACTTTTGATGATTTTTGTCTTTACATTTATGTCCTTTTGGTTTGCAATGAGCACATGTTTCTGGACATTCCCCTTCCAATTTATAAAAATAATTCTAGAAAATAAAAGTAAAAAAATTTTAAATTTTAAAAAAATAACCGGCATTTCACAAAATAAAATATCCTTAAAACAATCATTTCGTGTATCTGTACAGTCTTCTTCTAAATAAATAAATATTATTTTTTTATTCCAAAACAACCCCTAAGTAATTCAAAAGAAAACCTTCAGGAGGGTTTTCAAAACGAAATTCATAAATTCTTCTTTCAAGTTCACAGGGTTGTTCAAAGCCAATTTCTTTATACCATTGTTTTTTACAAGTTTTTGGACATAAAAGACGAATTCTTTCATCAAAATTACAAAAACTTTCCATTTCTGGACATTCCCAATTCGAATCCCTGCACATCCAATTTTCATCCCATTTCCATTTTTTCCTTCCACAAAGTCCACAAGTACCCCCACAATTCTTAATTTGGTCCTCAATATTTTCTTTTTCCCAACAAACTCCATTTTTACGCCTTTTAAAGCAATCCTTTCTTAAGTCTGGACATGAATGTTCAGGCCTTTCACAACACATAGAACAATGATTTGCACATTGTAAAGCTTCAGTTTGTAAGTCTAAAGATGAGAATTGAGGGGAAAAAAGGAATAAGATTTAGAAAAAGTTAATTAATTAAAACTGGGCTGAAATTGAACTTGCATTTACTGGCAATCAGTGCTAACCGCTTTCCTTCACTTTATTTTCAGTGAGCTACCGAATGAGCTAACGAGAATTTGTTTTCATTTGCATACTTTAAACTCTGCCTAATACGTACATAGAAAGTTTTGTAGTAGAAACTACTTTTTCTATTTTTCTTAGAATAATTTTGATAAAGAAAATCCCATTTGTATTTTTAATAAAAATATTTTTTCTTAAAATAGAAAGTATTTACGTGGACATTCACATAATTTTGGACGTTTTTCATGACTTTTTCTTGTCCCAAAAATTGTTATACAAGCATCGATAGGTAAATGATTTTCACAAACTTCTTCTTTAAATTCTTCTTTAAAACAAAATTGGGAATTAACAAAAATAAATAAATTAAATAAATTAATTATTAAAAACATTTTATTTAAAATATAAATTTTGAAATATTTTTTAAATGAAAAAAGAGAAAGAAATATTTATTTAGACAGAGAAAGGGAATTTCTTAATTTTTTTATTAATCAATGATATTGAATTATTGGCATATTTTGTGATAAATTAAATAAAAATAATTTTAAATTTAAATTTTATTATTGCTATGTTTAGTATATTGATGGTTTCCTTTTGATCCTATTCAAAACATTCCCCTATAATATTTACACCTTTAATTTCAAATATTTATTTTCATTATCAAACTTTATCTAAAACATTATTTAACCTTATTTCCTTATTTAATAATAAATATTGTATTTCGTTAGAATATAGTTTGAGAGTAAAATACTTATATTAAATCCGGGGACATAATAATTATTATCAAAAGTAATTTTTTGGATAATTTGAAAAATTATTTTTTTTTATTTTTTATGACAAAAAAAATTAAAATTAATTTTTACGTTAAAAATTCTAAGAAATAATTTAAAAATTAATTTTTTAAAAATAATTTAACCTTTTGTAGTTTTAATTCTTTAAAGTACTTCTCTTCAATGAATTCATTAAAATATTTAAAATAAAAAAGACTTTAATTTACGTAAATAATTATTTTTTTAAATTATTTTTCTTCCGTTTATTAAACATAAAGTGCAGATTTACAATTTAATTGTAGTGTAGATTTTAATTTTTTTTGCTTTTTATTCTAGGGTCAAAGGTAATTACATATTATTTTATTTTTGTTTACATTAAAATTTTCTAGACAAGGAACTACGTAAATTTAAAAAAAATAATTTTGAAAAAAAATTTAATAATTTAAATACACATCTTCTTCTTTTTATTGTAAACAAGTCAAACAATTTATTTTTTGGTTGCCATAGCTTTTTTTGTTTTTAAATAAACCTTCGACCCTTGAGAAAATTTTTATTTAAAAAAAATAATAAAAATATTTTTTGTAAAATTTAAAATTATATTTTTTTATAATTTTGACAACTTTTATTTGACTACCCTCCAAATCTACCGATATCCAACTTAATCTCCCCTTCTTTCTATTTTTTTATTTGGAAGTGTTTATAAAATAAAATGAAATTTTATTTTAAAATTTAAAAAATACCCTTAATTCTCGAATACTTGCCCTGAGTTAATTATTGGTTCAACCAGGGTAGGGCGAAATAAAAATTTTTATTTAGATCAATTACGAAATAAATTATTTTTTTGTTTCGTTCCGAAACGAAGGGGGAAAAGGGCACGAAAGAGCGAAACGTTTCGAAACGAATTTTGCCCAGCCCTTGAATCAACCTTTCACTGGAGTGGGTAATTATTAATCGAGAGGGGTAAATATTCGAGAATATTTATAATAATTTTTTATTTATCTTAATTAAATATTACAGTAATTTATTTAAATTAATTTTTAAATAATAATCTAATCTTTTTATTTTTTTTTCTTAAAATCTGCAAAAATTTTATTCCTATTTGGCTTTAAAAATTTTTTTTTAATTTTTTTTAAATTTTAATTAAAATAAATATAAATTATTATTTTTTTGTTTTTGCAAAAATAATTTTTTGATTGGCACTTATTTTTGGTTGATTTATTTTATCTTCTCTTTTTTTTCTAAGTATTAAAAGTTTTAAAAGTAATATTTAAATAAAAATAATTATATATATTTATTTATTTCTTTTTTTCTTTAAATAAAATTAATCTTAATAAACTCAACAAAACAATTATCCCCCACCTACTACTTTTTTTGATAAAAGAAATTATTAGTTATAAAATTAGAAAATATACAATTCTTTATTTTATTTTAAATAAATAATTATTTTTTTAAATTTAAACAAAAATATTTGCAATATATTTTGAAACTTGCAAATTACGGTTGTCAGTTCTGGACCGAACCGAAGAACCGATGATTTTTCAGTTCGGATATCTGAAAATTTTCCAAGAACCGACAACCCTACTTACAAATATTTTTAAAAATAATAAAAATTAGAATAATAATTATTATTTTGAATAAATTTTTAAAAATTTGTTTTTTCCTTAAAAGAATAATTTTTGTTCTAAGGATCATTTGAAAGTCTGTGGAATTTAAAAAGATGAAAAATTTAAGTTATTTAGAAAATATTGATGATGTAGGAAAAGATATTTTAGAAATATTTATTTTTTAAAAATTAATTAAACTAAAAAGTTTATCTATTTAAAATAACATTTTTGTTTTTATCCGTAAAGGAATTTAAAAGCTTTTTAGAAAAATAATCTTTTTTAAAAAAGAAGGAATTGGATATATAAACTAAAATGTTTTTAAATTAAAAACAGAACACAATAAATATATTTTAAATTATTAAAAATTCATCACTTTAAATTTTAAAACAAAATAATCGTGATTTTCTCATCAGATTTTTTCAAAATTTTTGAATTTTTTATAGTTAAAATTGCCAAGGGCATATTTTTATCCAAAACTCGATAAATTAAACAAATTTTCGGCTGAAACATGCCCAGTTTATGGGGAATAAACTAGGGATTTGCCGTCCCGATTCCCGAATTCTGTTGATATTTCTCTAGAAATAATTATAATTTTTTATCTATTCTATGGTTGGAAAGGTGAATTTATGTATATGTTAAAATAAGAAAGTTTTGATGTGAATTTCCTAGAGTTTTTTTTAAAATTCCATAATTGTTCCTGCGGAGTAGAAAGTATGTATAATATGTAGTAGTCTATTATAATAAAATATGAGTCTTGCACGTCTTATTTCTATGAGTCTTGCACGCTTTGGCATGCTTTTATGCTTCAATTTTCATCGACTGTACTTGATTCATTCATAGGATATCATTTGTCTTAGCCTCAATGTCACACAGACCCTCCATCAAAACCAACAAAATTACCGAAAATTACCGAAATTGAAATTTTTGAAATATTTTTATGAAGACACATTCCCTGATATTTATGTAAGAAAGATTTTTGGGGTTAATAAAGTATTAAATTATCATTAGATATCTAACAGGCGTGTGTGTGTGCCGTATCTGAATTTAAACGAATGGGAGTCACACCTCCATTATTTGTCGTAAATTAACCTCCCCAGATAAATTTAATGATAAAAAGAGAAATTAAATTGTACACATTCTTTTAAATCTCGAGCCAAACAATTAATTTGCCCCACCTACCACTTAAAAAATAATTTTCTCATTATTTTATATTTTAAAGAAAAGGAAAATAAAACTCTAGCTAATATTTAAATGGGCGGAGTTTAATAATTTTTATTTCGGACTCTTTATAAAGCCAAACTTTTTCTCTTGTATTTAACCAAACAATTAATATTTTTAATTTATTTAAATTTAAAAAATAAAATTATTTTTTAAATAACTAAGATAAGGGGCTAAGAGAATATTGTATCATTTAATGAGGTTATCTTAAACAAGCAAAATAGCTTAAGCAGGTCATCCACATTATAGAAAATACCCACCTTATTTGTATTTTTTGGTGAAGACTTTTAAACAAGACCTTTAAATGTTTTATAAATTTTTAAAAAATTAAAAAGAAAAACGCAACATTTGATAATCTTTTTATAAAATTAATCTTTTCCGCAAGGAGCTCTCCTTTATATTTTTACATAGCTTCCACTCTATTTACGCAATTTGAGATTGACCTTAAATTTTAATTTTTATTTAAAAAATAATTTAAATATGTCCTCTTCCCCCAAATATTTTTTTGTTTAAATCCGAAATTTAATTTGGAATTAAAGCTTGGTGGCATTTTAATATAAATTTCCAAACCCCACAGATTTGGAAAGTTACAAGATAAAACTTTATTTTTTAAATAAAAAAGTCTAAAAATGTCCCCTAAATTTAATTAATAAAATAAATATTTTTAAGTCTTTTCAGAAGGAAATGATACAAAAATTGTATCTTTTTGCTTTATTTTTATCTAAAATCATTTTTTAGCAAATATTTCTTTTTATTTTTAAGCCATTTCGTCTTCCAAGAAAAATTTTAATGTAAAAAAAATAAAAAAAAGGATTAATAGTATAAAATAATTTTTATAGAAGTTAAATTGATTTAAGATAATTATTTTATTTGGTTACTAAATTATTTTGTTTTTAAATTTTATAAATAAAAAATATTAGTTAATATTTTGTCTTGATATAACGTTGGGGGGAAATTATTAAAAATATTTAAGATTTTTATTTAGTTATTCATTTTTCTATAAAAATATTTTCTTAAAATAAAAAAAAAACCTTTTAAAAAATAAAATCCTTTAAAATACTTTTTACTTCAAAATATATTAATTTATTGTAAATATTTTTTTAGAATTTATTTTTAACAAAAAATGTTATCTTCTTCCTTCAAAATTTTCATTTTTGTAATTTTCCTTCAAATTTTATTAACAAAATATATTAATGCGGATGAAGAAACAATTAAACAAAAAACAATAACAGCAACAACAATATCCCCAACAACACAAAAAGTTGCTAGAAAAGTAATGAAACTTGAAAGAAATGGAAATAATTATAAGGAATTAATGGATATTATGGTGGTTAATGGAATGATTAACAAAAAAGTAAAAATAAAATTTAATATAAAATACCCCCACCCCCCCCCCCCCAAATTAGTACATTATTTCTTCTTTAAGGGTGTATCAATGAAGTTTTTATATTTAAATAAATTTTTTTTCAGACTTATCAACCAAAAGATTTGCAAATATTGCTTGAAGGGTTTAGTGAAGGATTCTTCTCTAATTTGAAGAAGGTAGGGAAAAAATATATATTTAATTTAAAAAAGAACATTTTTAAGGCCGAAACAGAATTAAAACAACAAACAGAACAATTTAAATCAATCCGCACAAAACTGCAAACAAAAATTGAATGTTTAGAGAAAGAATTATTACAAGGGAAACAAGTAAATATTTTTTGAGAATAATTTAATTTAAAAAAAAATAATTTTTTTGAAGTTTTTAATGGTTCTAAGTTTTCTTTTGTTAATTATTTTGGTTTTGCTTGTTTTTGGGAATATTTGCTTAATTAAACGCTTTTTGGCCAAATTCAACAAAAATGGATTTAAACACGTTCGAATGACTGTTGGAGAAGGGGATGTTGGGGAAATGGAACAAATTTAGAAGAAGAAAAAAAAATAAAGAAAGAAATTCTTTTTTGAAGTTATAAATAGAGTTAGGAGAAAAATATAAAAATTGGAAATTTTTTTGGAAAATTTTAAAAAAATTTTCAGTTTTTTAATCTTCCAATTTACCATATTCTCTTTAATAGAAGTAGTGGAATGAAAAAATTAAAGTAATTGTTTTCCTATTAGAGAGAATATGTATGACAAAAATATGTACATACATACATTTGAACTTTAAAAAGGGAAGGGGGGATCTCTTTTCTTTGATCGACTATCTTTTTTACCCTTTATCCAATCTGAATGGAATTAAATCGTTTGAAAGCTCTTGATAAGCTGGATCTTGTTTCTAACTTTCACTTATCACGTTTTAACTTTTTAAGGAAGGATCTGGCTTGATATGTATAGTTGGAAAAAGGATTCCATATATCAGGGGCTATCTAATGACATTTGGATTGGATTAAAAGCATAAAAAAAGTTAAGCCGATCAAAATTCTTTTTACTTTTGTTTTATTTATAAAATTGATCTCTCTCATTCATATATTTGTTTTATTTTTAGATAATTATGCCAAAATATTTTTACATTTATTTTTCTCTTTACTATTTTTTGTTACCCTCCTTTTTTCCTTTTCTTAAAAGTTGCATAATAGTCATACTTCATTCTTTAATTTTTTTTCATTCCTTAAGCATAAAAATCTTAAAATTTTTTAAAATCCCTCCTCCATTTAAATTAAAAACGAAAATCTTTTTGAGTGTCAACGATTTGGAATATAACCCGAGTTTTGGATTACTTTAAGGGGAATAAACCTGATATACATAAATGTGTAGATTTAACTAAGGGAATTAAAGATTGACAGAACTTTTTTTCCTTAGGAACATTATGAATAAAATTTAATTCTTTTTTTTTTATCAATGATTTTCATTAGAACACTCTCTATAAGGGAATAAGGTGAAAAAATGCAACTTTTTAAGAAACTGAAAAAGGATAATGGCAAAATTCAAAATTATTATCCTTTTTCTTTTATTTTTCTTAAATATTTTTAAAAAATGTATGTATTAAATATCCTTAATTTTTACCTGTTATTTTTAAAAAAATATTTTTTTAATTAAAATTTTGATTAAATATTTATGTAGTTTTTAAAAAATTATTTTATTTTTTTAAAATTAATTAGGAAATAAAAAATTTGATTTAAACTGAAACAACATTTGATTAGGCATATTAAGAGGTATGTATGTCCTTGCTTCTTATACTTAAGGTTTCCATTTTTATGTTCCATTTCTTTCCGGTATCCTTTTACTTTTAAAAATTCTTTTTTTATTTATTGAATGCCACTTTATTTGGATACTTTTTGAAGGAAGAAAAGCTTTAGTATAATTTTTATTTTTATTTCCAAAAAGAAAGTCTCTCCTCCAGTACTTCTTTTATGTGTGTCCTTCCTTTTTTCTTGACGCAATTTTTCTTTCCCCCGTTTTTACTACCTCGTGTCCACATCGATTTTTGGCTCTCAATGCTTTTTCTTTTTTTTTGTCCTTTTGAATATTCTTGACAAAATTTGATTTTGAGAATTTCATATAGAAAAAAAAAGAATTTTTTATTTGTTAAAAATTCACTAAAAAATTTATTTTATTTATTTCTCTTTTAAAAATTAAATTTTAAAAAAGAAAGAAAAGTTTTAGGCAGCTTTTCTTAAAAGACGGCACAAAATGCCATTCATTTTATTTATTTGTCTTTTCTAATATTTTATTTTTTTCCTCATTTTTTTAACCTCTCCAGAGAATATATTTTTTATTTTTAAATTTCTTTTGTTTGATTTTTTTATTTAAAAATCATATACTACAGAAAATAATAAAATAATTTTTATTTTTCTTTTAATAATTAATTAATTAAATAAATGGGTGGCAGATTTGTATTAGGAAGAATTCCTTTAATTCGAAATAGGTAAATACATATGTATTTTTGTATTTTCCCCTAATTAATTTAAAAAGTTTATTTACTTCCTCCTCCTCAACAACAACTAACAATATATTAGATCACCCCATTAATAGGCCAAAAAGAAGAAATTCTTCTGAATGTTTACCCCGCCCAGTTCAATTTGACGAATCTTCTGAGCAATATAGGTGTTTTTGTGGATGTTTTCATATAAAAACTGGGGCCTATTTAATTTGTTTTATTGAAATATTTTTTATTTTGGTAAGTTTTTCTCTTTCTAAAGTAAACATCAAACTAATTTAAGACTGACAAAGTTCCCTTAACCTAATAAAATAAAAATTAAAGAGATCAATCGGTGGAGGAATAGTTGAAAAGTTTAGCATCCTTTTTTAATGGAGATCAGAGGTGAATCAGAATTGACAAAGATGCCGGAAATCGGAACTGTCGGAACTCAGAAATGGCTTTAAAGTCGGAAATCAGCATAAATTTTCAGAAATCGGAATTCCGATTCACCTCTGATAGAGAGCTTTTTTAGTACATATCTACTCCTAGCACAGATTTTGCTTGACTTTTCAGTTTACAATCGAGTCCTTTCTCCTTTTAACTTGGGAGTTTTCTTTTTTAAAAATCAGCAACATTTCTATATATTTTTAACGAAAATAATTAATTATTTTTTTAAAAAAAGATATTCTTTTTAAATTCTTTGTTGGTTTTACTTCAACAAAAAGAAGATTTAGATAGGCAACAACGTTTATCTTTCTGGCACAGTAATTATGTAAAAACAGCATTTTTAATTGAATCTATTTCTTTGGGAATTTCTTTAATTTTTGTTTTTTTACTTATTTTTGGGTTAAAAAGAAATTCTTTTTCTCTTTTAATTCCTCATTTAATTATTCAGGTAATTTATTAAAAAAGTCTCTAGCTTTATGAGATCTATCCCAACATACTCAATTTAAGATCTTTAAATTTATTTGACCATTAGGCCGTCGGAGAGGCCTATTTGGAGAAAGATACCTCCTATTTGAGATAACCTCATTATAAGATAAGAGACTTTTATGGGAAAAAAGATCGTATATCCTTTAATAACTACCCTGGGTAATTATTGTTTCAACCTCTCGCTGGAGGGAGTAACTAAAAGAGGTGGGGTAATTATTTGAGGGGGGTAATTATTTGAGGGAGGGCAATTAATATAGGTTATACGGTTTCCAAGGATGTTTGATGAAGTTCTTCTAATTTATATATTTTTCTTTCACTTTTAGTGTTTTGCCTTATTTTGTTTATTTTTTCTATTAATAATTGGCACAATTGCTTTATTTACTGATTTTGCTCTTTTTTATCGTCTTTTAAATATTATTCCTTTTAATGAATTTCCTGGCCAATCAACTGTTGCACTTTCTGCAGAATCTTTGGCTAGAGTTTATGCTTTTCTATTTCTTTATTTTTTAACTTTTTTATTACAATTTTGGTTTATTAAAATAATATATAATTGTAATAGGTAATTTATTTATTTTGTTTTTTAATTAGAAAATATTTTTATTTAGATATTTTGCCGAAAGAAATAATTATATGCTTTATTGCTTGGCTTACAGTACTCCTTTAAAAACATTAAATAGTGCTAGATAAAATATAGTAAAATATATATTTTTGTAGTCTGGATTTTCTGATTTCCGAAAATTTAGGCCGATTTCCGTGTTCCGACTTTCGACCTCTGTATTTTAGTGAGATTTAGGGATATTATTAAATATATTTATTCTATACGGATTTTTTAATTACCGTATTTACTAAAATAATTACTCCCTCTACCTCCTTGAGTAAGAAATTGAAGCAATAATTACCGCCTCCCTATTAAGCATTACTCAGGGCTGGGTAATTATTATTTTTGTAAATACGGCAATCAAAATTAATTTTGTTGTTTAAAATCATTATTTTTTATTTCCCTTTTATTTTTCCAAATTAATTTTTTTTCACTTTAATAATTTTAATTTTTTTAAAATTTCACTTTTTGTTAAAAACCTCAAAAAAAATATTTTCTAGACTAATTTAAATTAACTTTAAAATTTTTCTCACACATTTTTTGATTAAAAAAGTTTTTAAAAAAATAAAATTTCTTAGAATTAATTAATTTTATTTATTTTTTAAAAGAGCCAAAAATGTGACTTTGAGAAAATTAATTTTTATTTTTACTTTTAAAGACTTCCACCCTCGCTTTTTTAAATATAAACAAGTTTTTAAACATTTAGTATGGTAAATATTCCCACAGTTTTACAATAATTTTTACAGAATTCTAAATATATTTTTTGTTTAAAAATGAGAAAAAATTAAGGGAAATTTGATGAAAAATAATTTTTTGAAAACAAATTAATTTTGTTTGGCAATAAATTGTAAAAATATTAAAAATTAAAAAATTTTAATTGAAAAAAGTTTTGAAAACAAATTATTTTAAAATAATACTTAGTAGCGACTTTTGATTGTTTAACATTTGAGCATCCGATTTTTGAAGACATTTGCTCAAAATTTCATAAAAAATTTTCAGTTAGAATGTTAGTTGATTATTATTAAATTCTCCGAACTCCTTTCTTATAATTAAATACATGCGGCACTGAAAAATACAAAATCTGGCTTCTTCCCTCCTTCTTCCTCCCCAAAATTCTTTCCAAGCTTCTCTAAGTCACGCAGTGTTTAGAATTTGAAAATAGCTCGTACTAGTATTCGTACAGACCTAATTTTTTATCGTGCTTGTATAGAGGTACGAATTTTGGTAGGAACTTCCCAAGATTGGTCACCAGATATTCTTTCCTAATTTAATAAAAATTTGGTTCCGGTTCCGGATACGCAGAGATTTTTCAGGAACCATCAAATGTATATAAATTTAATTATATAAACTCGTTAAAATATAGTAATTATATTTTTATACAAAAATAAATAAATATATGTAAATTTTAAAATAATTTTTTCTTTTTAATTTTTAAAATTATTTAAATGAACCAAAATTCTTTTTTCATTTAATGAATTATTATTATTTTGTATAGAGGATCTAATAGATGTTGTGTTTAATTGTTTTGTTGAAGTTTGAATTAAATTATTTTCTTTTCTTTTTCTGAAAATTAGAGGAATTATTGTTGTCCTCATAAAAAGTTCTTTAAATGTTGGATTTAGCCAAGCATAAAGTATTGGATTAGCAACATTTGTTGTCATTGCAAGACTTTAATTGAAAAGAAATTTCAATCAAAATTTATTAAAATAATTATGTACCAATGTGATATAAGAGAAAGTAAATACAAATAATTAACATTCCCCCAATTTAGTAAATGTATATCATATTCAATAATCATTGTCAAAACATTTTGAGGTAACCAGGCTAAACCAAAAAATAGCACAACAGTAGCTAATATAGTTGTTGTTCTCCTTTGTTGTTTATTTAAAGCATTTACTCTTATTTTTCCTCCAACATTTTCTTCACAAAAAAAAGAAGTTTTTCTTGATAAACAATCAACCTTTAAAAAAAAATTATTAAATCTTTCCATCGATGTTATGGGTCCCTAATTAAAATTGTACAAAAAAAGGGAAGTTCAAATTTAAAAAATTAATTAATTAAATCCCCTACCTTTTCTTCAACAATCAATCCATTTTCAAAATTGTTAGATTGTCTAGCCAACATAATTTGTCTTTCATTTAATTTTTTTAATTTTGTATTATTCCTTCTTCTAAGTCTCGAAAATATAGAAGCATAACAAAAAGACATTGTCAAAAAAGGTAAAAGAAATTGTAAAGCTAAAACAGCTAAAGCATATCCCCTCCTTATTTGGGTATTTGGCCATTGTTCAGAACAAAACTGTCCACAATATCCTTCATATTCTTCCAAACCCATATAATAAGCATATGGCAATGAAATAAATAAAGAAAATGCCCATAAAATACACGCAACTATAGTAGCTTGTGATGGACTAAGTGAATGACCGTGTGGACGGTGAACTAGCCAATATCTGTCTATGGCTATTGCTGATAAAGAAAATGTTGATACTAATACAGAAACTGCCTAAAATTTATTTTTTTAAATTAAAATAGATTTTAATATATAGTTGGATTTAATTAAAAGATGCTAATTATATTTATGTAAATAGAGTATTGCTTAAGCAGTTCTCCTCCTTACTCTCCTTATAATGAGGTCTAAATATCAACTAAATTCCAATACCTGAACCATAGGAAGTAAATGGCAAATAGCAGAACCGAATAGCCATTCTTTAAATATATTTGTAACTAATGTAAAGGGTAAAGATAAAAGGCAAACAATAACATCAGATAAAGCCAAATTTAAAATAAAAATATTTTGAACAGATCGTAAATGGCTACAACGAAGAGTTAGCAAAACAATTGCTAAATTGCCCAATAAACCAAAAATAAAAATATTTATATAAATAATTCCAAAAATAATTATAGCCAATAAAGAATTTGTTGGATCTGGACTTTGAATTATATAATGAAGACATTCAAAATTATCATTGTTATTATTAAAAGTTGCTGTTATATTTGGAGAAGAAGGAGAGGATGATGTAGATGATGTTGAATAATAATAATTTAAAGAAGAAGAATCCATCTAAAATATTTTAAATAATTGTGAATGTGTATATCTAGTTCGGGCATCTTTTAAAGATTTCGGGTCTTTAAAAGTCGCAACAAGGAAAGAAATACAAAAATTAGGAATGAAGAGAGGAGAGTAAAAATATACACGTCTGGGCTGAAACATCCCAAGTATCTAAATATATCAGACTTTTGGGACAATTATTTACATAGTTACTAAATTATGATGATGCAAATAAAAAGAAAAGAATAACTACAATATTGAGAATTTGTTTAAAAAAATTAGATACATCTAAGTCTACACATTATTCTGGAAAAAAATATTTAAAATTTTTTTTTATTTTTTTAATCTTAAAAAGATGGTGCTAAGCAACCAGATTAAAAAATATTTTTTTCTTAATTTTAAAAAAGAAAATTATGTAAAATGAGCAAAAAAAGATGTATTTTTTGTTATTTCAAGAAAAGCAAAAACCAAGGATTGAAATTAGAAGAAAAAGAAAATAAGTTAAATAAAAATAAAATATTCTCAATTCCCTCTCCCTTTAAAAATGCTAAAAATAATTTTTATTTTAAAATGCGCAAAAAAGAGAAGAAAATGTTTTTATTTTTTTCTATTTCTAACCTAATTAGGGAATAAGAAAATATGTTTGGCTGTTTTGTTTGGAATAAAAATAAACATTTAAGGGATATAAATAAATTATTAAATAAAATTTAAAAAAATATTTTTAAAAATTAATTGGAAAGGAGATGGAAAAAGGATGGAAAGGAGAGGGAAAATAATAATTTTTATTTACTTGTTAATACTTTTTCTTAAAGTATTGACACAAAACTTGAAATAATAAGATATTGCAAACTTGATATTTTAAAAAACGACTTTAAAAATAAAATAATGGCCAACTACCTAGAATTATACTTCACAAAACTTTTTTGAGGACAATCAGAAGGACCCAGACCAGAGACAACCGACGGTGCCCCATCCATTTAATTAAATAAATCCCCCCCCCCCACTATCAACATTTACACGCCTCTTCCTACTCAACACTCCCTTCCTAATTAGTAAAGAATAAAATAAAATTTAAAAATCAAAACGGAACAAGAAAATGTATGAACAAAAAATAATTGGAATATTTTTTTGAAAATATTTTTGTAGTTTTTTTTCTTTTGCGTGACAGAAAAAACTATACATCAAAATTAAAATTAAATAAAAATTCAAAAATGCGTAAAATATGTAGAAATAAATATATTTAATTTATTTTTAGCATTTCTGTGGAATTTAAAAATAAAGAAAATTTTTGTATTAAATATAAAAATATATTAATTTAAATAACGAAACATTTAAATTTCGAAGAAAACGAATTTTTAATTAAAACAAAAGAGATTTTTGGTATAACAAAAGAGATTTTGGTTAAATATTTAATTTAATTTCGTGAAATTGACCAAAGATTAAAAAGGAAATTAAATTTAAAAAATCAAATTACAATGTTTATTACCACCAAAAAATTAAAAAACACACAATTGGTATCAATGGGAGTGGATGTTTTCCCTTCTATTATTTTCGGAACGAATATTGGAACTGGGCACGGATGCTCTTTCAGAATTAGCCAACTTGATGTGTATTCCGTTTTATGTTAAAGGAATGCACATAAAAAGGTGTATTAGATATTAGTGATGGTCGGGATTCCCGGTCTCGGTTCCCGAGTCGGGAAATTTCCCGGGTTTTTTGAGCTCTCGGTCTCGGTCTCGGTCTCGGTGTTTTAGTCTCGGAAAACGAGACTAAATTTACACCCCTAATGACGGAAATTTTTTTAACTTTTTGAAGGAAAGGGGAAAGGAATATATTTATAATTTCTCCCATTTGCCTTTGATGGTTGATGGTTGAGTGGTTAAGTTGACTGACTTCACTCACTTAAATATCTCGTAGTTCTGGGTTCGAATCCTAAGGTGGAAATGAGGTTGTGAAAATTTTTCTTTTCGGAAATAAACGTTTTTAAACTTTGATTTTGATTTTAAAATTTTTAATTTATTTTTTCTTAATTTTTTAAACTTGAAAAAAACATTAAAAATTTTAATTTAATCATGAATTTTTCAAAATTTCCTCCTGCGGCGCAGCGTTTTCGCCTCCGGCGGTAAAAAAGAAAGAAATCTGGCTATTGGCCTCCCAAATTTTTCAAAATTTTCGCCTGTGGCACAAAAAATGGAAGAAATCTGACTTAAGGACCTCCAAAATTCTCAAAATTTTCGCCTGCGGCGCAGGAAATGGATGAAATAGGAGGATTTATGGCTTCAAAGCCTTGCAACGTTTGTTGTATGGTTTGTTGTGTCACATGTTTCGTGGGACATGTGAGACTGAGAGAGGGTATCCCTTCTAAGCTCTTAGTCTCGACTCTCGGTCTCGACCCGGGACTCGGTCTCGGGGTCGATTCCCGGTCTCGGTCTCGACTCCCGACTCTCGGGTTTTTTTAACTCTCGACCATCACTATTAGATATAGGGTTGCCAAAATGGACCGACTAGGACCGAAAGATCGAGTCGGGCCTAGATGTCATCCCTGGTCAAGAAAATGCTTTTAGGCAATTATTATTTTAAATATTATTACCCACAGAAAATAAACAATTTTTGTTTCTATTTTCCTGCTTATTTTGGGGAATTTATTTATATTTTCTAAAAATCCGGACTCAATTTATCACAGAAAAATTTTTTTAAACAAAATACAGTAAATATAAAAAGTAAAAATATATTTATTATAATAATTAACAAAAATTTGTGCTTTACCCAACTCACCCCTCAATTATTTTTTTACAAAATAAATAAGAAAATATAAAACAAAAAATAATTACATATAAGTATTTCCTGCACAATTTTTAGCTAGGAAATACAAAAAAAATATTTACTAAAAAATCTTATTAAAAAATAATAAAAAATAAATTATTTTTACATAAAAATATTGAGAACTATAGACATTTAAAGACATGATTCTTGATGTAAAATAAATAAAAAGATTTTTTAAATTAAATTCATAAACATTTTAATTTGGATATTATTTCTTTAATCTAGTTATTAGGGGAGAGGGGGCTATTACCCCAATTTAGTATATACCTAAAATATTTTTATAACTACTATAGCCTACCATATACATACTATGTATAGCTTTCTATTTATTTTTGTGTGAATAGTTATCGATAAATAATTCTTAAATTTACATATTCTAATTTAAAAAATTTATTATATTTAGTTTAAAGGAAGTTTTTTCATTTCATATTTTGATTTAAGTATATCTCCAATATTTAGATAATTAAAGAAAATATTTTAAAAATTAATTTAAAATTTTATAATTGATTTTTTAAATTAAAAAAATGAAAAAAAAAATTTTTTTAATTATTAAATAAAAAAAGCTAAATAAATAAAAAAACAAAAGTGCATTTCTTTCTTTTTTAAATAATTTTTAAATTTAAATATTTATTTTCTTTATCTTTTTTTTTAATTTAAAAAATTCCCAGAGGAATTTAACAAAAAATAGGAAGCTTTTTGTAAAGTGATAGATATATATTTAAATTAATTTTTATTTAATTAATCAACAAATAATTTTAAAAGAAATTGATAAACAAAAAATATTTTTGTGAAAGGTGGAGGAATAAAGAAATAAATTTAAATAAAAAATAATTTTTAAAATTTTTAAATATGTAAATGGGTGGCATAGTTTTCAATGCATTAAAAAGTAAAAAAAAAATAACTAAAAATATAGGCTTATGGGAAAACAAAAAATTTTTTTGAATAGGAAAGATAATAAATACTGCCTTTTAAGCCTTGGCGAGATATTTTGAGAGAATAAATAAATAAATTTGTTTGTTTATTTATTTATTTTAAAAAAATAAAAGTACATTTTAAAAAAGAAAGAATTATTTAATAAATTTTAATTTTTTTAAAAGAAAAAACTAATACATATGTATACTTAAGAAAATTTGTCTGACTAATTTAAATAAAGCTTTATAAAATATGTTAATTATTTAATGCTTTTTATACGTATATTTAAAATTTAATTAAAAGGATTGGATTGAAAATTTGAAAAAAAATTTTTTGGTATTAGTTGAAGAACAAAAGTATAATTAAATTTTTAAAACAAAGGAAGGATAAAAAATTTTTATTTAATTTTAAAAAAGGTTTTTGGATTTCAATAAAAAATTAAAAAAAATTATTTTTTAAATAAAATAAATTGTCCGGAAAGGCAACTTTAATTTTTAATCAATAAAATAAATAAATTAGTTAAATAAAAAAAAAGTTTTTAAATTAACTTATTTTATTATTAACAAACAAATAAATACATCACAACACGTGTTTTAAAAAATATATTTTTTAAAAAGGAATAAATAATGTATGCCAGTTATGACTATGTATATTTAAAATAAATTATTTCGAAAAAAAAGGAAAATAAATTATTAATAATTTATTTTTATTAATTTTTAGTCAAAAGGGGGGGGGGCTTTAAACATCAGTTAAAAGATCATCCATAACGTCATCCATAACGTTTTCCTTTGAAGTAATCCAAGACTCTCTGACCCAAGACTCGGGCCCTTTAATTAAAATCGGAAGTTTTTTTATTAGTTGCGACGTTTCCTTTCATTTCTTATATTTTATCAGTTAAATTTCTAAAATTTTAATGAATGATTGAATAATTTAGGGAACTTTATTAAAATTGAAAAACTAAGTTTGTTAAGTATGTATCAGGGTTGCCGCGGGTACAAAAAATTTTCGGGTACGGGTTTCGGGTATCGGGTTGGAGCGTTTTCATTTCGGGTCACGGGTTTCGGGTCGGCAAAAATATCAGGTACGGGTTTCGGGTTTCGGGTTATAAAATTTTCATTTCGGGTCACGGGTTTCAGGTTGGCAAAAATTTCGGGTACGGGTTTCGGGTTTGGTGAAAAATTCGGGTTATTTTCGGGTGTTAGGGTATTGATACACTAAATTGTAAGGAGACAAGCTATGTATGTTGCATAATAGGATTTTGGGTGATAGAGAGAGGAAAATCTGAAGAGATTAAAGAGACATTGCGGGATTTGGGGATTAAGAGGGATATCTTGGTATTGAGAGGGATATCAATGAATAAATTTAGGAGGGTTAGGGAGATTTGAAAGATTAATGAACCATCCTTAATATCAGCGGATCATCAAATCTTTTCATATCACCTATATCCCTCCTCTAATTCCCTTTAATCCCTCTAAATCACGTTTTCCTTCTAAATTGTCCTTCCAAATCTACATTGATCCATGCATATCCTCCGACATACTTCTTGCAATGATATATCAGGGATTAAAAGAGATCGAGAAATTCAAGCAATTGTTGGATAGGATTAAGTAAGATTGTCGGCTTTACCTCCATTAAATCCTCAAATTTTCTCACGTTTTCAGCGCCGCAGGCGAAAATTTTGGGAATTTTGGAAGGCTAGAGAGCAAAATTTCTTCTTTTTTAGCGCCGCAGGCGAAAATTTTAAGAATTTAGGAAGATCCTTAAGCCAAAAATCTTCCATTTTTTGCGCCGAAGGCGAAAATTTTGGGAATTTTCAAAGACCAAGAAGCCAGATTTCTTCCTTTTGGGCAACGGATGCGAAAATTTTGAGAATTTTCGCTTTCTATAATTTTTCAAATTTATTCAAAAAAATCGGGTAAGGCTAAGATTTCGGGTAGGATTTTCGGGTTTTAACCAATTTCGGGTCACGGGTTTCGGGTTGGAAAAAATATCGGGTACGGGTTTCGGGTTTCGGGTTGGAAAATTTTCAATTCGGGTATCGGGTTTCGGGTACAAAAAAAGGCCGGGTTTCGGGTAACGGGTTTCGGGTTTCGGGCGGCAACCCTGGTATGTATGCAACTTTGAAGAAAGGAAATGAATAGGGGGGCACAAATATATGTAACTTTATTAACCAATTTTTTATCCCCAAATACTTTATAGACAGGTGCTATGTATTCTAATTTAAATTTAATTATCTGCAAAAATCAGCAATTTAATTAAAATATTTAGTAATTAAATTATTTTTGCAAGATATTTTAATAAATTAATTAAAAAATAATAAAATAAAATAATAATTTAAAATAAAAATAGGTAACTACATACATAATTGAGAATGTCTAAATACCCTTTCCTTTTCTTTTTTTCACTTAAAAACTTCAAAAATTAAAAGATTGGGTTGACATTTTTAGTTTCTCATTTACACACAAAAAATACTTACTAGCTTTAAAAAGTCATTTACTTCCCCCAATAAATAAAATAAATTTTTGTTCAAAAAAACATTTTTAAAGTTTTTTCATTCATTTATTTATTCTCCCAAATTTGGAGGAAAGAAAGGAGAGAAAAAGAATTTAAACCCTACATTTGCTTTACTTCATTGGCCAAAAAAGCGGAAATTGCTTTGAAAAATTGTTGGAACATTTGGCATATAAAAATCTTTTTTTTATATTTTTTAAATTGAAAATAAAAAAATATTTTTAGAGAGAACATTTGTGCCTATATATATTTTATATTTAAATTTACTAGAAAAATTTAAATGTATTTTTTATTATTTTTAATTATTTTTGTCGATATTTCTCTTGGTAAAAAAGAATATTTAAAACAAAAGAAGCAATCTTGCAGTATGCCTTCCTCCCAAGGAAAGTCTTTAATGGCCCAATTACTTAAAGAATATGACAAAGCAACTAAGCCAAGTGGAGGAATTCTTGATGTTCAGGCTGAGGTTTTTTTACATTTTTCTAGTTAAATAAAGAGAGGTATTGATAAAGTTGTTATCCTTAAAGTTAACATTAAAATTGAAGGGAGAGAAGGTAAAATTAAGAGATAAAAAAGAGAAGATATAGGAGGGGGGATGTTTTATGAATAAAAAGTTGTAAAAGATACAAGGAGGGGGAAGGCTACTTAAATAATTATTTTTCTCTCTTTTCAGGTCACAATTCAAGATATAAGTTCAATAAGCGAAATAAGTTCTTCGTTTATTGTTGATCTTTGGTTTTCACAAATTTGGGCAGATCCTCGATTAGCCTATTCACATTTAAGTTGCAAAAGTAATTTGTCATTAGACGAATCTTTGGTTCAGAAAATTTGGACTCCAAACCTTTGCTTTACAAACAGGTTTGGTAGAAGATATCCTCAAAAATATTTATATTATTTTTTTAGTCAAAATACATATATCCACAGTTCTCCAGAATCAAATATTTTATTAATTATTTACAGTAATGGAACTGTTTGGTTAAATCACAGAATTAGAGTTCAAGTATTTTTAAATTAAAGTATATTCCTCAATTCCTTTTAAAAGGGTCGCTGTACAATGGGTGATGGATTTGCTAATTTCCCTTTAGACACCCAAAGCTGTTTTTTAGTTTTGGAATCTTGTGGGTATCCAATAGCAGAAGTTAGACTTTCTTGGCTTAATTGGAATCCTGTAAGTGTTGCTAGCGAGAAACTTCAATTACCTGATTTCCGTTTTGTTAATTTAACCTACACTCGATTACTTAGAAGATATAATGCTGGGGCTTTTGATCAATTATTAATTAATTTTGAATTTAAACGTTTATATGGCTATTATGTTGTACAGGTAGAGAAGGAATATTAAAATAAATATTTTAAAATTTATTTTAAAATATAAAATTCCCCTTCCATTTTTTAAAAAATATCCGACAAATTAAATATAAATTAAATTATCCTTTTTTGTCTAAATTTAATCTTGAGGGAATATATTTTATTGCTTTATTTAAATTTACTTTATAATTACTTTAAAATTTAGACTACTCCCTCATATTTTAATTCTCTGTTTTAGTCTTATATTTTGGTTTTAAATTAAATAATATATTAGCCACCAAAACTTTTTTTATTTAAAACATATTTTGGAGCATTTAAACAATCAAATATTTTTGTTAACATTTTTTTCGGTTAAATAGCTTAATTTACTTATACCTCATTTTTACTTTTTATCTTCATTAAAAGTATGTATATAAACAACCGAGATTTGATTAAATAATTATTTTTAAATTAATTAAAGGCTTATTTACCTTCATATTTATTTGTTTTTATTTCCTGGATAAGTTTTTGGATTGATAGATATGCCTTACCTGCACGTATACTTTTATGTGTAAATGCAGCTTGTGCTCTTATTTATCAAATGGGGAATGTTGTACAGAATCTTCCGAGAGTTTCTTATTTAAAAGTAAAAAATATAATTATTTTTATTTTGTTATTATCTGTGCCCTCCATATATTGTAAATATGAACATAATTTTAAAATTCGAGGCACAAATAATTGGAAAATACCAAAAAATTAAAATAAATTTAAACAATTTAAAGGCTTTAGATTTATTCTTTTTTGTTTCAATATTCTTTATATTTATGTCTTTATGTGAAATGGCTATAATTGGCTATTTTGATAAAATTTATGAAATAGACCAATATCGAAAAGCTAAAAGCCAAAGAAGATTTCGTTCTCTTTTAATGGGACAAACAGATCAAACAATGATGGTTGCATTGTAAATAAATTATTTTTGGGAAGAAAATTGAGGGAAATATTTTGGAAAGGGGGGGGGGATAAAATAAAAAGTATAACTCGGTTTCCGATTTTTCTGGCCTTTCTACCCTTCTGGCCGTGTTTAATTTACATATTTTAATTTTAAGAAGAGAAAGTAACAACAATAATAACAATGAAAATGATGGTTATTATACAACATTTCGAGAAGATTTAGCTGGCCGATATCAAAATGCTAGAGGTTCTGTTGTAAATACCTACAAACATGGAGAGATGGGACACAAAATAGATTTTTTCTGTGCTCGTGCCTTTCCTTTAATTTTTTCAGCATTTAATATTTTTTATTGGTCATATTATTTAACTAGATAATAAATTTTTAAAGAAATTTTATTTTTGATAATTTAAATATATTATTTAATTAAAAAATTAAATTTATGGGGACACCAACCAAAAATTCTCTTTATCTTAAAACTATTTTTTGGAAAATTAAAATTATTTAAATATCACCTTGGTAACAATAAATAAAAATATTTTTGTTATTATGAGGAAGCAAAAAAAAAGAAAATACCTAATAATTTACGTATTTATTTATTTGTAATTTTATTTCCAAAAACATTATTTTTATTTTTCAATAAAAAAATGAGTTTTCAAGCAATGCCCTTTCTTTATTTAAATATGGGAGGTGAAATGGCTTATATATTAGAGCAGAGATTACAAGTAAATAATTATATAAATAATTAATTTTAAATTAAAAAAAGGCCCAAAATGTTGGAAATGAAAAAAGTGTTAAAGTTTTGTGTGATATTGTTGCTGTAATGTTGGGGAATAGTTTTTTGGATGAATTGTTTGAACCTAAAGAAATGTACTAAATTTAAAAAATAAAATATTTTTATTTAAATTTAATTAAATAAAAAGGATGTCAAGACAGGGACTTCGACAATTTTTTGAACAAATTGCCCATTCATCAGTAATGCGTTTAAATGAAGCAAGGTAGGGAGGGAGGGAGGAGGGGGGATATAAAAATTAATTTACTAAAATGACCTTCAAAACTCCCAAAATTATTCCTGCTGCCAAGGAATTGGCAATTCTAATTAGATTATTTTTTTAAAGTATGGATAAATTATTTGATTTAATGATAATGGCAGTAAAATATCAATTTCTTTTGTGCAAAGAACCTTCAGAATTAGTGTTGGTTACAATGAATCATATTGATGGAATGAAAGCAATCTTTCAATCAAATCAACAAATTTTGAGTCATTTAAATTACGCCAATACATTAGTTTAGTAATTTAAATATAAAGGGGGGGGAGATATAGATAATCTTAAATTGGGGAAAACTATCGTAAATTGTATCTAAAGGGTATTCTTGACAGTAAAAAATATTTTTTCAAAATTAAAATTAAAGTTAATGGATCATTTTGGAGATACTCCATTATGGCAAATGGCTATAATTAGAAGTGAATTATTAACTTTTCTTCTTGGGGCTAGAGTTAAAGTTAGTTTAATGTTACGAGAACATAAACAAATGGAAGGTGTTTTTATTTTAAAAAATATTTTAAATAAATAAAATTTAAATAAAAAAAGACGGCCGTTTTGTTTTGTTCCCAGAAGGAGAACAAATTGAATTACCCTATAATGCTGTTGTACCTGGATCTGTTAGATATGTAGAAAATGGTGCTTTAGTTAGAAGTGAAAACTTTCCTGTAGATGAACATTTTAAAGTTTCACCAGATAGTTACCAGGTGAAAAAAATTTTTTTTAATTTTTTATTTCTATAAAAAGGAACGATAAAATATATAAACAATTAATGTATAATTAAAAGGGAAAAAGAAAATAAAAAATAAATTTTATTTTCTATTTTTAAAATACGTACATATAATGTAAACCTCCGACTACCCTATATTTCCTTCTATCTTTTCAGATTTTGATGTATCCTAGTTTTTCTCTTCTGATAATTTGCTAATAACACAAAAAAGTTTAAAAATTTTTGATTCAAAAATACTTTTTAAAATGTCTTACCACCGTTTATCATTGAAAACGGAAGTTTAGGTAATGTGAAAAGGATTTTTAGTGCTTGTTAGCAAAGCTCTTTAAAGGTGATCTTTTATAAAAATTATTTTTTGTGTTATTAGTATTGGGTAATGAATTTTAAATTATCAGAAGAGACGGATAAGCCGAGAACACCTTTTTTACCGGGAATGTAAATAAATATTAAATATGTAAATATAATTTTTAAAAATTATTTTAGGACCGTACAATGGTAAGAGGAACAACTTTGGGTCAAAATATGTATAAAACAAATAGTGAAACTGAACAGGTAATTAATTAAAGATTAAAATATTTTCTTTTATTTTATATTAGTTAAAACCTTCAACTTCTTTAACTCAAAAACAAAAAACATCCAAACAATCACAAGATATCCCTCAAAATTTAAATACAACAAGTGGTGATGAACTTGGATTATTAAGCATGTTAATAAAAAATAATAATCAACCAATTGATGATTTTGAATTAGTTTTGTTTGAAGATGAAGGAGGAGAAAATAATAAAAATATAAAAAAAGAAAATAAAACAAAAAACCCAACAATTGGAAAGAAAGCTGCCTTGGATAAAGCTTTGAATGAGGTATAATTTTTTTAATTCAAAAAATTTTTTTTAATTATTTAGATGAATCTAGATAAAGATAAACAAAAACCTCTCGAAAAATCACCGTCAAAGGGAGTAAAGAAAGGGAAAGATTTATTAGAAATGATGGATCAAACAGTTGAGAAAAAGAATTTGCCTCCTAAAAGAAGTGGCTCTGCCAAGAGAGGTGGTGGAAAAGTTTAAAATTAAAAATACATAATCGTTCTTTAAACAAGTCAATTATAATTTTATTATTTTGTATTAAAAATATTACAAAGTCCACACATGCACCAGAAAAAATACAATATTATCTTCAAAGTGTAGATTAGGCAGTACACGAAAAAAGGCAAGAAAATGAGTAAATATTAGAGACGTCCAAGAAAAAAAATTCTTAAAAAAGTTCAGACCAAGAGTTTTGGACGTCTCTAAATATATATTTTAAAATCCTTTATATATTTATTAAAAAATAATCCTATTAATTTGAATACAGTTTAATAATTAGATACATATTTATAATTTTTACAAATTAAATACAAACGCTTTTTCTAATATGCACTAAAAAATTTAATCTGCATGTATACTTAAAAAATTATTACTATTTAATAGAGAGGTAATGAATGAGAATTGTGAAATATATATATAATGGGGGTGGGAGTGAAAAATGAGTCAAATGATGAGTCAGTGGAAATATTAACACGTTTTCTCAGCGAATCCTCAAAAAGAAATGCCAGAAGTCAATGAAGATGGAAGTATTCCTGCATGTTTTGCCTGTTTTGAAAATTCAGAATCCGGATTTGAAAGGAGTGTCTGTGGTGAATCAAATTCTTTAACTCGGCCCTGTTTTTAAAGAACAAAGTTTAGAATTTTTGATATAATTCACACCTGTTCCATAACTAAAACTCGATCATAATCAAGTATTGTATTCAGACGATGTGCAATAGTTAACACTGTGCAATGTGAAAAATGCTCGCGAATAGACTGCTGAATTCGCATGTCAGTGTCAGCATCAACAGCAGCCGTTGCTTCATCTAATACCAAAATACGAGAATGCGGTGCACGAAGCAAAGCACGAGCTAGACAAACCAATTGACGTTGACCGACACTAAAAAAGCAATATAATTTTAAGTTATAAAAGAATACACTGCCTTATATTCTCTCCGCCTTCTGTGATTTCATGTTCAAGCTTGCTTGGTTGTGCTGCTGCAAATTCTTGCAGACTTGCAAACTCTAGCGCAGTCCAAATCTCCTGGTCTGTATACCTCTCGAATGGATCCAAATTAAAACGAAGAGTGCCAGAAAAAAGTATTGGATCTTGCGGAATTATAGTGATGGCTGAACGTAAATCATGAAGTCCCAAATCAGTAATATCAACACCATCAATAAAGATTGTACCAGAACAAGGCTCAACCATACGGAAAAGAGCAAGAGTAATTGAACTCTTACCTAAAAATTAAGAATTTATTTAATTTTTTAAAATTATCTTTACCAGCCCCAGTTCTGCCCACAATGCCAATTCGTTCCCTTGCTTGCACTTGTGCATTCAAATGGTAGATAACCAAATCAAGTCCAGATCTATATCGAGTAGAATAGTCACGAAATTCTATATTCCCATGATTAGCCCAATTCTGAGGCTGCCTTTTGGAGGGCTCGGTAATCCATTCAGCTTCAGGCTTTGTATTAGAATATTCGTTAACACGCTCAACAGAGACAATATTGGTTTCGAGCTTGCTGATTTGACGTACAGCAAAATTTAGCACAAAAGTTATCTGGAAAAATAAGAAATTAATGTACAGCTTAACCCAAGATTTGGGTAATGCGTTTTTTGCGTGATTTGGTACAATGAGAAATTTTTACTTTTAAGTTCTTGGGTTAGTTTTGGCCTTGAGTTTTTTTTTTGAAAATTGTTTTTGCGCCCATCCCTAGTCGGACCCTCCTGTAAGAGTCTCACTTTACGAAAAATATTTTCTTCGCGAATGTTCGTACAAGTGAAGCCCGACTGTATATTAATTTTAAATTAAGAAAAAATCCTAACATTCAATGAGTATGAAACAGAAAGTCCGAGCACACCAGCACTTATTGAACCACGTGAAATGGCTGCAAAGAAAGCAGCAAAAAGTACAACACAATTGCCTATGAATTCTAAACGGATACTGAGCCATCGGTTTGCCACGTAATTAAGATATCGACACTAAAAAAAGGATTTACAGAAAAAAAAGTGGAAGAATAATAAAAATGTTTCGGATAAGAAAAAATAACCTGAACATGCGCATCAACTTTCTGTTGCAAGATACGGGAAAAACGATCAGTTTGTCCATATGCACGAATTGTAGGAGCACCCTTAAGAAATTAAAAATATATTTATTGGCAGAATTAAAAAATATTTTAATCTTACATTAATTGACTCGCTAAGATGTGAATAAATGGGTGAACGCGTAATCGACTCAAGCCTTTTTAACTGCCGAGATGTAGAAATATAATATTTCTGAAATTAAAACATTTAAAACAAAGAATAAAAATGTAAAAAAACAAACCAAGACACAAACATAGAAAATTGCCAATGGGATAACAACAATACCGAACATTGGTGTTGAGATCAGAATTATAATTAGTGTGGAAAGAACCTAAAATTTTAGAAAAATTTATTTCAGAATCCAAATTAAATAAAAACCTGTAGTACACATTGAGCAAAAAATTGCACGTTATAAGGAAGCAAAAAGTCAATTGTTTCAATATCTTTTCCGATTCGATTAAGTATTCGCCCAAATGGAGTGGTGTCGAAGAAATACATTGGTGCACGAAATATGGCATGCAAAAGTGGTGCATGTAGATTCTTACTTGCTGAAACGCCTCCAAACAATAGAGAAGACATACCGAAGAACATTAGAAAGACTATAATAAAATTATTTATTTAATAAAGGAAAGAAAAACCTTCTAAAAATCCAATTCCTGCATAAACGCCTAATCTCACAGATACAGGCTGCGATTCATTAGAAGGGTGTCCTGTTGGAGACTGATCATTAGACCATTCCGTGAGCCAAAGATTGCGAGACATTGAAGCCAAAGTGCTAAGAATCATTCCCAAAAAGAAAAGACCAGAAAGACAAAATCCCATTGCACGAAAATAACCCAAATACACTGCAGGTTTTACCTAAATTTTTAAATTCTAATTAAAAGTATAACAAGGCCATTGGATGAACGAGGCCAGTGGGTTTGAGAAAATTCTTTCTCGAATAACATATAAAAAATATTAACCCGTCCAGTTTCAACTTTCTCAACTCCAGTCAATTGTCGCATAATTGGCACATCAAGAGAAGGTTCAGAACTTTCTCGCATCGTGGGTCTTCTTCTTCTATAAGAAGTTGAAGTACTATATTTGCGTTTTGCTAAAATTGTTGAAACGGTAGACATTACAGAGGCACCCATCAAATTCTCAACATCAGCAGCATTTTCATCCATAAATGTTTCGTCAGTATCATCACTAACATTGTCCATATCATTTTGTTCGTCCACAGTATCTGGAACAAAATAAAATAATTAATTGTGCATTTCAATATTTTACAAAGAATAACAAAAGGGAATCACTTTTAATAATTAATTTATCTTTACGCGAAGTGGTAGTCGATTTAAGTCGTTCCAAATTGACGTCATAAAATAAACGATTCAATGTTCCATTTTGCGACAATTCCGTATAAGTACCAGAGGAAATGACACGCCCGTCTATATGAAAGTTAAAATTAATTGCAATATAACTTTTGAAATTAAACCTTTAACGATGAGAATAAAATCAGAAGAAGGTAGGAAAGACAATTCATTTGTAACTAATAAACGCGTTTTATGCCTTAACAAGCCTTCTGGGCCAAACAGCTCTTTGAATATTTCATTTCCGACCTGACTGTCAACAGCAGAAAGAGGGTCATCGAGGAAGTAAATGTCTGGGTTTTGGTATACACAACGTGCTAAGCTGATTCGAGCTTTTTGTCCTCCAGACAAATTAATGCCCTTTTAAATACATAAATTTGTATAAGAAAAAAATATAAAACCTTTTCTCCAATTTCAGTGGCATCACCTTGTGGAAGAATATCAATATCATGTTTTAAAGCACAGCAGTTAATCACACGATTGTAGAAATATTCATCAGGTATATTGCCGAATATAATATTGTTTTTAACAGAATTGTTTTGAACCCAAGGTTGTTGAGACACATAGGCCAAACGACCATAAACGCCTATTCGACCATAGAGCTTAATCATTTCACCTATAAAATACATATACAAAAAATTATTGGCAAGTAGAAAATTTTCGATGAGAATGGAAAATACACAGATACCTATTTTTATATACGAAAAAATACACGGGAACAATATACAGGACAAAAACGTTTCGATTCCTTCAAAAAATAACTAATAGTAATAATACCAAGTAAAGCCATCAAGATACTGCTTTTCCCAGATCCAACAGTGCCAACAATGAGAACAAGCTTTTGTCTTGGAATTGTAAAATTTAATGAGTGAAGAACTGGTTGGTTGTCTGTACGGTCCCAACTAAATGATGCATTCTCTGCAACAATTGCATTATTTTGATAAAAACTGAGAGGTGGTGAAGAAGAGCCATCCTCAATAGGAAATTTTTCGACATAATCATTTAGCTCCTCAGCTACAAGAAAATGTTTAAGTCGATTATTGCTGACAGTAACCTAAAAATAATATTATGTTAGCAGAAATAATAAAAAGAAAATACAAAACGGGTAGAATCTAGAGAACAGAACATTTAAAAACAGAACCCAAGATAAAATTTTTGCCTGAAACATAAAAGTTCTGGTTCCAAAATTTATACGTAAAAACGCAAATTATAATGTTAACTATATTTAACTGGTTCTTCACCATTAGAAAATTTTAAGTTAAAACCTGAACAGTCTGTGAAATTAAATCTGCAACAGTACTCATTGGTTGTCTTAATTGATTGAATAAAGTCAGTGAAACAAAAGCAATTTCTGGTGTCAACAAATTTTTTTCTGGATCAATAAGCACATATGTTGCGAAAGTTGAAAGAGCTACAAGAAAAGGCACAGCACTGTTAAGCATATCGCTAAGAGTCCGAAGAAAGGCCGATTTTCGAATCAGAGAAAGTTCTTTGTTTCGTAGTTTAGTGATGACTTTTTCCATTGGCGGTTCCCAAGCATAAAGTTTGATGACTTTAATACCATTAAGGACTTCGTTAACCATTTTTGTACGTTCATCTTTTACAGTCATTTGACGCATCTGAATAAAATGAAAATATTAAGAAATTTAAAAGAATGCCCAACCTGATACTTCTTTGTCTGCATTGTGATCAATGAATTCACTGGCAAAAGCAAAAGCATAACAGCAACTCCACTTAGAACAGAGGCGCCAATTTGACTCCATAACATCCAAAGAGCTAAAGACACTTGTAGAGGAGTACTCCAATATTGGTGAGTTAAAGGTGTTATTTGCTGAAAACGGTCAACATCAATAGCCATCAAATTAACAATTTCCCCAACAGTCTTTTCATGACGAGAGGAGCTTGAAAGACGAAGAGTCTGAAGAAAGAATTTTAAAAATTTTGGTCAATTTAAAGAAAAACTTTTTTGTAAACAGCAGCAGATAATACCGACTGAATTCGGACGCCCAAACGAAACATCAAATAATAATAATGATTAAGCATCAACGAACTCAATTCTGAAGCGATAAACATTAAAGCTGCGAGTCCAACACCTTGCCACATTGGAATTGAAGGGTCTTCAGTAAAGGCAATTAACAACCTTTAAAATAATAAAAATTATGTAATCAAAAACGGAAAAAGAACTTGAGAAGTATTGGATTAGTAAATTGTAACAAATCAGAAAACAATTTGACAATCATTGCATTAAGTATAGTAAGACGAAAAATATGAAAAAGATGTCCAATAATTGAGGGCGGTGTAGAGGGTTGAGATTGGAATTTATCACATTTTTGTTTTTTCCTCTTCGTCTTTTTCTTAACTTCTGATGCTGGTTTAGAAGGTAAAGTTCCGTAATGCGGTAATGATTCCTAAATTAAAAAAATAATATTTAAAAAAAGGTAAAACCTGGTGACCAGTCCCACCATTAACCAACGGCAACGAATCGTCAACCTCAACCACAACATCGGAATCCTCCGAGGAGTCAGTAGAATCGTCTTTTCTTTGTTGAGCTTCAGATTTTGAATTGTAATAATCTGAAGAAAAAATTTTTATAAAAACAATTGTGCTACTAGACCCATAAAACGGACCCCAATGATTTGAGACAAACCTCGAATTGATCTATTCCATAGAAATTCCCATTGGGGCACCAGTGTCGCGCATGTCTCTTCTGGGTTTAGAGAGTAAAGGTCTTCAATCTCTAAAGGCTTCCGACGGCCTAGGGCACACATTGAGTTGAACCACCAAAAAGTTTTCCGGCTAAGAAATGAGGAAGCATTTTCCGGCGAGCTCTTCATTGATAAATGAATTTAAGTAAGTTAAATAGAGAAAATAAATCGCTCGGTTTCTAAAAAAATTGATAAAGAAATTAAACAAAAATATAAGAAAATTTGAAGGATATTCGAAGGCTTCAGGCCAAAAAGTTGAATAAATTTTTGAAAGCATCAGCCATTTTTCCAATTATAAAAAATAATTTTTCACTTAAAACAATAATTTCAAATCGTTTCTAAAGATAAGAGAAAAAATGTATGAAGGTATGTTTATCTAGAAATAAAACAAATGGATGATTTATTTGAGCTATGTGATAATTCAAATGATAAAAAAGTACCAAAAAAGAAAGAAGTATTATTTATAACTTTAAAAAATCGAAATTGATAAAAAAATAATAAGTAAAAAAGGGTTGGGGATATAATGGGTTAATTGGCTATAACATTTTTATGTTTGATCCCATTCGAATGGAAAAGCCTTTGATAAGCGGAATCCTTTTACCAACTGGAAAGACTATCTGATTATTCCTTATAAAGTTAAAACATGATAAGTGAAATCATACATATGTGTCTTTGACATTTTTACCGGATTGTAACGTTTTAAGGAATGATCAGACCTGATCTGTTAATTTGGGAAAAAGATTCCACTTACCCGAGGCTTTCTAATTTGATAAACGATAAAAATTTAAACGTTCAAAGCGCACGCTCAACCGGCTCACTTTTAACTGTCCCATCCTTTCGTAATGGGACGGTTCAGTTATCACCGAACCAGAACAATTTAAATTTTTATAATTCGCGAAAAAGTACAATTGAGTCACAGGCGAAGTGGGTCGGAACGGGCCTGTTGAGACCGGCCGGTTGAGCCCCGCCAGTTGAGACCGGGCAGTTGAGACCGAGGCCAGTTGAGCGCGGGCCGGTTGAGACCGGGCCAGTTGAGCGCGGCCGGTTGAGCGCCCCTTGTTATTTGGCCAGTTGAGCGCCAATATATTTTTACACTGATAAACTTCTGGCAAAATGTTTATTCATGTTCGGAACAACTTGACTAATGTTCGGAACAACTTGACTAAAGTTCGGAACAACGTGACTCAGGATCAGTGATGGGCAAAGTTCCAGTTCCAGTTCCGGAACTAATTAGTTCCAGTTCCAGTTCCGGAACTAGAACTACGGAACTAACGATTATCTGGAACTAGTTTGGAACTAGAACTACGGAACTAGTAAATGCCTGGAACTAGCTTGGAACTGGAACTACGGAACTAGTAAATGTCTGGAACTAGCTTTGGAACTAGTTCTGGAACTGTTCGGAACAACGTGACTCAGGATTGGAAAAACGTGACTCAGGATTCCACCATTGTTGGTACCAGGCCCGTAGCCTGGATTTTTTTGAGGGGGGGGGGGGCAAGGGGAAAAATTCTTCTGCGCCGAATTTTTGGAGCCAAAGGCGCCAAAAATTTTTATTTTCAGCGCCCCAGGCGAAAATTTTGAGAATTTTAGAAGGCCGTAGGCCAAAAAAATCACTTTTTTAGCGCCGGAAGCGAAAATCTTCCCCCGTCCTTGGAACAAAAAAACTTCCCCCGTCCTTGGAACAACATCCCAAGTCATTTGAACAAATCCCAAGTCATTTGAACAAAATCCACCGTCCTTGGAACAACATCCCAAGTCATTTGAACAACATCCCCCGTCCTTGGAACAACATTCCCCGCTTCGCGCTCAACTGGACAGTTAACAAGGGGCGCTCAACTGGCCGCGCTCAACTGGCCCGGTCTCAACCGGCCCGCGCTCAACTGTCTTCGGTCTCAACCGCCCGGTCTCAACTGGCGGGGCTCAACCGGCCGCGCTCAACTGACCCCAACCGAAGTGGGTTACTGGGAAATCGCCCATCTGGCAAATCGGAGAAAAACGGAGGTTAATGGGGTTCGGGTGCTTGACGGTAACTGATATTTAGCTTCTGGAATTTATTTAGACATGAAGAAAATAAAGAATTCACAAATCAGCTGCTACATATAATCGCAAATTTATAAATTTCATTTTTTAATTGTGAAATTATTTTTATTTTGTTCTTCTAACTAATTTCTGTTGTTTACAGAATTTATTTATTTTTCAATTAATGGGTCCAATTTCTTATCTTTATTTTTAATAATATTTTTATTATTATTTATTTACTAATTCTTCAAATTTTGGCGGTTTATTTTTAAAATTCATTCACTCAATAAATACAAAACTTTTTAATTTGCAATAAATAAATTATCAAAAAATTTAATTTTTTATTCCACAATTATACATTTTATTAAGGGCTTTCCCCAAATTATTTTGATAAGCAATTAAAGAAATTTTAAGAGACAAAAATCTATATTTTTAATTTTTTTTGAATTAAACTGAGTAATTTATATTAAAAAATCTAGTAAAATAAATTTTTAAGCAGATAATCACAAATTTTTTTGTTTGGAAGTTTTTTTAAATTTTCATTAAAGTCGAAAGTTTTTTTTAATTCTTCTTACAGTGAGGTCCAAATAAATTTTTAATTAAAACGATATATAAAAAACTTCTCAACAAAAATATTAAAAACAAAAATGCACACTATGTTGGTAAATTAAGTGAGAGCAGAAAAAAGATTAAAAATAAAAGGAAAAAATATCAAAAATTTAAGTCCGCTAAAAACTTTTAAATTCTAAAAGCTTTTCCTATTTTTAAAATTTTTTTAGACTAAATTAAAGAGAAAGAAAAATAAATTTGCGAACAAATGTTTACAAAAAAAAAGACTAAAAATAATAATATTTTTAAGAGATACACATCTAAATAAATATTTTTTAATTATTAAAATCCTTGACTAATTTATTAATAACCATTTATTTATGGGAGTTTATGTTCATCTAATGGATTATGCTCAAATTCATAGTCCACATGCACAAAAGCCCTTTCAACTTCTAAACAAAAAATTTTCTCAAAAATATTTTTAATTTTAAAAAATTACCAGAAAACGATTCTATTGAATTTTGTAAAGATTCTGCAATATCATGGGCTTCTTTTAATCTCATATTTTCATCCAAAACAATATGCACTTCAACCAAAAATCGGGTACCAAAATGATAAACATAAACAGTATCGATATATTCAATACGCTCGTCATGGTCTATACAAACCTTTGAAAAAAATAAATAATTATTTTTTAAATCCCAAAGAAAATTTCCCTCAATTTTTAGAATGTCAAACAGAATCCAAAAAATTTGAAATTAATTTATACTCATTCAAATAGTAAGAAAAGCACAAATCCCAAGGAATTTCGGTATTTGTAACAGTCTTTAATACCCTTTAATTATAAAAAAATTAATACTTTAATTATCCGAATAATAAATTCTGGCTCTGCAGAACGTCCAACAAGCATAACCAAATGTTCCTTTCCTGTTTTATACCATGTAACTGCTATATATCTAAATTATTTTTAAAATAAAAAAATTTAAAAAAAAAAGCATACAAAGCAACAATAATAGCCCCAATCGGGTCCAAATAAAGCCAAAATTTTTGAGCACCAAAAGCACAAATTAAAGCTATAGCATTTGAAAGACAGTCATTTCGGTGGTCTTGGGCAAGTACTCGAATGGATAAATCAGATTTAAATCTAAAATATTCATTCATTAATTACTCTTTTTAACAAATTTAAAGAGAATTTTTAGTATTTTAATTTACTTAAAATATTTAAAGATTGGATAGAAAAGAGTCAGATACTCGATTGATCTGTTAAATTTTAAAAATTAGAAAAAAACCTGCTGCAAAGAAAGAAAAGGCACAATTTAACAAAAATTGTACCAATCATAATTCCAACAGTAAATAAATCAACTTTTGGATGTATATTGTTTTTAATAATTGATTCCAATGATTGCACAATCATTTGAATACTTGCAACAGCCATAATAACACTGACAACAATCTTTTTTTAAAAATAATTTGGGTAGTATCAAACTTTGTTCCCCCTATTTTTTCATCCCCTAGTTTTCAATACTTGTCTGTGCCAATCAATCAATGACAAAAAATTATACAAAACATTCAAAATATCCTCAGCAGAAAAAATTACTGAAAATAAGGAATGTGTGTGTCCAAGCCTCGAACAATGCGTCAAAAACGGTGTCGGACAAAAATTGTTTTTGATAAATAGTTGTGAGGTCCAAATCTATTGAAAACAATTCTCACAATTCCTACATTTGCTATATATCAAAAATTAAAAATTTTTGATTGATTGGATACAGGCAGAAAAAAAGAAAAATAAAGGAACAAAAAACGGAGGGGAACAAAACATAGAATTACAATAATTTAAAATATAAAAAAACTAACCAAAGCAATTGGTTCTAAACGAGTTCTTCCAACAGGGTAAAGATTTGGATCTCGTTTTCTAATTGCTCTGCCCGTTAGCCAAATTACAAGACTGAAAATAAAAATATTTTAAATAATTGATTGAATCCCTTTTAGACAGCCCCCCTCCCTCAACTAGTGGTCAACCAAATCTTAATAAACTATCTTAAATTGAGTACTTAATTTTAGAAATGCCTGAACAATCACCCAAATATTAACAAAAAATTAAAAAAAAACCCAGATGTAATATCCACTAAAGAATCCACCAAAGAAGAAATTATAGATAAACTGCCAGAAAGATATGAGGCAATAGCTTTAGCTATTGTTAATGCAACATTAACCATTAAAGTACAAAAAGCCAATCTCCTAGCTGTTTTTGCCAATTCTTCTTCTGTTTTTGATTTTTTGAGAGATTTTCTTTTTGTTCGACTAAAAATAAAATTATTTTAATTAAAAACTATTTTTAATACAAAAAACTTTGAGGAAGAAGAAACATGCAAAGAAAGCCCTTGTTCGAGAGAATCAATTAATGGCTCTGATGGGGGACTTTTTGGTTGATTATCCAAAAGAAGAGAAGCATCAGAATCGACCGGTCCAGCCAACTAAAAAATTTTTTTGATAAAGTTATTTAGCAACTAAATAAAAATATTGGGTACTACTGAAGATAAGGGTGCTATTTCTGCGGACTTATTTTGCGGACTTTTCCTTTCCTTTTCATGTTTTACTTGTAGCAACTAACTGTCAAAGGCCCTCCACCCTATTATTTTTCTTATCTAAGATTGTACATAAAGGTCAAATTTTCTTCTTCCCCTCCTTCCTCTATTTGCCCTGTGGCATATTCAAACAAGAGACATTGATAAAGAGAAGATTAATTTTATAGTCATACACTTATTTTTTGCCTCCGAAAACGATGTTAAACAAAAAAAAAATTAAATAAAATTGATTTAGTCTATAACATTATGAATTTCTGTGTAAAAACATTACATTCTTACTTATATTTAAAACTAATTTAACAACTGAAAAAAAATTGAACTCAATATTGAACAACTCAATTAATTTTATTATTCTCTTTAACAATGTTTCTGGTTTGAATATGCCAAGCTCAAATAGAGGAAAGAGAGGAAGAAGGAAATCTGACCATTTTGTACAATCTTAGGTAGTAAAAATAATGGAGGGGGGGGGCAAGGTTTGAAATTACCCGCATTTTGATCCACAATCACATATTCTTTTCCTATGAAGCATTCCGAGATCAGTAATTCATAGTTGAAATTCATTCATCATCGTTTATAATGTTCAAATTAATGGTGAACACATATTTTTCAAATTGGCATAAAAATTAATTCTTTGACAGTTAGTTGCTACAAGCAAAACTCGCTACAAGCAAAACAACCAAAACATTAAAAAAGAAAGAAAGGAAAAGTCCGCAAAATAAGTCCGCAGAAATAGCACCCTTATCTTCAGTAGTACCAAATATTGATACTTTGGGTTATAAAAAACAAGTCTATGTAGACTTGCTGACCAAAACTCCAAATATTTTTTTCCTCTCTCAAACAAAAACTGGTTCGGAATACCCATAAGTACTAAAATTATTGGTTGATTTCAACGTCGAACCATAATCATTTTTACCTCCCTCAACAAGTCTAAAATAGTTTTTCTATCTTCCTATTATGTAACAACATTTAATTCAAAAAATATTAGATAGAAAATTTATTTTTTAAATATTTAATTTAATATAAATAAGAAAAAAACCTGATCAGAATCTGGTTGAAGTATTTTTGAAGTCTCTGTGGCACTTAAACTTTGATTCTGTGACTGTAAAAGTCGTAACTGTTGAGCTTCCTTAAAGTTAATTTTTTAAATAAGTTTAGCTAGAAAATTAATTTTTAATTAAAACATCGCTACACTAAAGTAATGCCGTCACCCGTTAAACATCAAACCCAAGTCTCCCAAAAAACAAAAATAAATACATGAATTCTTTTCCTGTCCTGCTCAAACTTTTCATAAAGTTCATGTTGCTTTTTATAATATTCTTCAATTCTTTTCCTTTTTGAACTTTTAATTATTGATTTTGTTGTTAAAGCACAATTTGATTTTTGCAAATTATTAATTGATTTTGTTGAATTATCTGTGTTATTTAGAGCCATTTTTAAAGAATTAATTACTCCTTAATTAAAAAATTATTTTTAAATTTTAAAAAATGGAAAGAAAAATAATAAAAGAATTAATGGGTACAGCCCAAGTAGGCGCGCGGCCATAACGGCGCAAAGCCATAACTTGCTTAAAGATTTTCTAATCTTAACAAATTTTGTATTAAACGATGCTTCTCATCGAGCTAAAGAAATTGGTAACAAAATTAATAAGGGTCAGAAATTTTCCAGCAAGTTATGACTTTGCGCCGTTATGGCCGTGCGCCGTTTTGGGCGTGTCCTGAATTAATCGTTTTTATTTTTTTACAAATATTTTGTTAAAACTTTTTGTTTTTTGAAGACATTCAATTCTAAAAATACAAAAGCTGAAAATATTTTTGGGGATAAAAAATTTTTCAGAGCAATATATACGTAAATAAACGTTAGAATAAAATAAAAAAGTGCATATTAAATACATACAACGATAAAAGATAATAAAAAATACAGCTGCAAATTAAAGACAGCCGTTTATTCGGGGAAATATACTCAAAAGATCAAATTCATTTTAGAACAACAAAATTAGAGAAGAAAAACAGAAGAACATGTAGAACCGTCTGACTTTAACAGAAATAAGTAAACTAGAGTCTGACTAAAAATTATGATCTTGTTACACTAATTTTTTCGAAGTACATATTTCAGTTGTTAAGATTATCTATCGCTAATCAACGTAGCTAAAATCATGTTTTCTAATATAATAAAATATGGAGTGCAAAAGTTTTCTATGGAAATACTAAAAAGGTCTACATATTTTTGCCTTTTCAAAAATGCTAAAAAGTTAAACGCGGGTTCGAACCTACGACTCCAAAATTGTTTTGTTCTTAGATGTGTAACCATAAAAATTGCTAAAACGTTTGAAAATTAAGTATGCACGATAAAAAGTGAAATAAGGGAAAATGAACTGTGATGTTTTTGTTAGAAGCTTCAAACAAAGCTTGAATAGTTTTTCAGATTTTTTTATCCCGAAATGTTCCTTCTTCTACCTATTTGTTAAATTAAGAAATTGATATGTAAATGCTCTTTTTTAACGTAAATATATTTAGAAGCACAAAAAATGAAATTAAAAAAAATAATTGTTTTTAATTCTTTTATTTTTTTCACTACTTACGTCTTTTTGTTATTAAAATATTTGTTCTTCTAGGCCTTATTGCCTTATTTCTTTTCCGAAACATTGGCTTTAACATATCAACAAGTTTATTACAAACTTGTCTAGCTTGTGCATTTTTAACAATTTGGCCTGATTGTTCAAGTAGTGGAAGTAATGAACAAAAGTTGTAACTGAAAGAATTGAATTGAATTAATTATTTTTGATTTGGAGATTTAGTTGCCATATACTTAGTGAGGGAAGGGAACCAAGTATTATTTTAGGTAGTCTCTTTCCTGGGCACGGACAAGAATTTGAATGTTTTCAAATTTGGAATTAATTGGTAGTAAATATAACGAGAAAGGTAGAGAGGGCTACCAAGGATACAAATTAAAAAAACGAAGAATGCGAAATGCCGAAAAACGCGAAGCGAAACAAGCAGCATATCCCTAGTCCTTACTAGTGATGGTCGGGAGTTAAAAAAACCCGAGAGTCGAGACCGAGACCGGGAATCGACCCCGAGACCGAGTCCCGGGTCGAGACCGAGAGTCGAGACCGAGAGTCGAGACCAAGAGATTAGGAGGGATACCCTCTCTCAGTCTCACATGTCCCACGGGACATGTGACACAACAAACACAACAAACGTTGCAAGGCTTTGAAGCCATAAATCCTCCTATTTCATCCATTTCCTGCGCCGCAGGCGAAAATTTTGAGAATTTTGGAGGTCCTTAAGTCAGATTTCTTCCATTTTTTGTGCCGCAGGCGAAAATTTTGAAAAATTTGGGAGGCCAATAGCCAGATTTCTTTCTTTTTTACCGCCGGAGGCGAAAACGCTGCGCCGCAGGAGGAAATTTTGAAAAATTCATGATTAAATTAAAATTTTTAATGTTTTTTTCAAGTTTAAAAGATTAAGAAAAAATAAATTAAAAATTTTAAAATCAAAATCAAAGTTTAAAAACGTTTATTTCCGAAAAGAAAAATTTTCACAACCTCATTTCCACCTTAGGATTCGAACCCAGCACTTACGAAATATTTAAATGAGTGAAGTCAGTCAACTTAACCACTCAACCATCAAAAGCAAATAAGAGAACTTATAAATATATTCCTTTCCCCTTTCCTTCAAAAAGTTCAAAAAATTTCCGTCATTAGGGGTGTAAATTTAGTCTCGTTTTCCGAGACTAAAACACCGAGACCGAGAGCTCAAAAAACCCGGGAAATTTCCCGAGTCGGGAACCGAGACCGGGAATCCCGACCATCACTAGTCCTTAACACCTATACAATTTTTTTAAAATATTTTGTTTGCACTTACACACTCTCAAGCTCGTGACTGCTTAATTTTTGCTCATTTATTTCATTTTCTGAATTGGCTGCCGCCGCGCTCTCGGCTAATGCCAAAGCCCTTTCATTTGTGTCAACAACATTTTGCAGCTGCTCGATTTTTTCTGGTGATTCGCTGTCTTCGGTTGCTATAAAAAATAATTAATTTTTAAATAAAAAATTAAACTTTAATTAATTTTATTAGTCATTTTTAATTAAAAAAAGAGGAAAATATTTTCTAAAAAAAATTGAAATACGTAAATTTAGAGAGTAAATAGTACATTAGTAGTAGACTATAAAAAATATTTTTTTATATTTTAATCTTTTAGTATATAAATTCCTTTTTTTCTTATAAGTATATTAATAACAAGTCTGTAAAAATAAGAGGAATTTAAAAAAAAATTGGAGGAAGTTGCTGACTAATTTTATAAGAGGTTTTGGAATACTGTAAAGAAAGAATTTGGAAGTTAAAATTTTACCTCCATAAAAGAAAGTAGCACATTCAGTAGTAGTTAAAGAACAATAACTAATTAAAGAAAATAACAAAACAAAAAAAGTTAAAGGTTGTTGTCCTCCTCTCCTTCTTGTGTAAAATCTCCTCCTTTGTTGATTATTTAAATTTATTGGCCTTTTTATTTGTTGTTTTTGTTGGTCGTTTTCATTCATTTCTTCCATCTTTTTTAAAAAATAATTAATTTAATTTAAATATTTAAAGGTGTGACATCAAATAAAAAAAATTGTTTTTGACTTTTAAAAGTTATTTTAAAAAGAGGAAAGGGTAAAAAGATTAAATGAGAGAAGCATTCTTTCCCCCCCCCCCTTTCATTAGTAATGGACGATTAAATTCTTTTTAACTTTGGCACAGATAAAAAGTAGCTAGTTTTTTTTAATTTTCTCATTAAATTATTTTTTTAGAGGGCAAAGCACTTAAAGATGGACAATTAATTTTTAAAAATTAATTGAGAGAAAATAATTCTTAAAAAATTTATTGTTTCCATGAGAATGATTTGAAAATACTTTTAAAGTAAAAAAAAAAGTAAAAAAGAAAATATTTATTTCCTTGAATCTGAAAATTTTTTGCGGGGCGGACAGGTGAAAATAAAAAGAAAATTTTTATTTTAATTAATTAAAATGTCATTAATTGGTGTGTTGTACTTGTAATAAATAAAAGGTTTTTATGACGAAATAGAAATTTTGATGACTGAAACCGGAAAGGGAAAACCGAAATAGAAATTTTATGCAAAAACCCTTAGAATTGTAAAAGAATTTTGGTAGAGAGTGAGTGAGAGGCCCCCCTCCCTCTTTTTTTACTTTTTTTTTGGATTTTTTTCACATTTTATGACAATTTATATATCATTCGAGTTCTTCAAGTTGAGTTGATTGACACCAAAATGAATGAAATCTGTCAAGAAAGTTATGACCGTTTGTGTTAATCCCCTGCAACAGAAGTCTTTCAAGCGCTTATTTAGCTTCATAATTTTGTTCAAAACGATCAATTCATTGAACACAGCTAAATGAACTCTTTCAAATTATATGTACAGTCGTCGACATAAAGATAGGGACAAGAGTAATTTAAATTTAAATTCTTAATTTTTCATTCAAAAAATACGTTCTATATATCAATCGAAAGCTCTATTCGTATCTCAGTTGACATGTTTCTGCATTTTTCATGAAATCGAAAATTGGTCGAGATAATCCGGATCTACCGGATATACCAAATCCCATATCCTCGGAAAAATTTTTCGGAAGAAATTTGACAAACCCATTTGATAAAGCATATTTTTGTGAGTATTTTCCACAAAACCGCTTAAAAATATCTTTGTCCCGTCCAGAGATATGATTTTTTTAAAATCGCATTTTTCGTCAATTTTTGCAAAAAATTCAATTTTTAAGGGAAAAATGCGATTCTCAAAAAATCATATCTCTGGACCGGACAAAGATATTTTTAAGCGGTTTTGTGGAAAATACTCACAAAAATATGCTTTATCAAATGGGTTTGTCAAATTTCTTCCGAAAAATTTTTCCGAGGATATGGGATTTGGTATATCCGGTAGATCCGGATTATCTCGACCAATTTTCGATTTCATGAAAAATGCAGAAACATGTCAACTGAGATACGAATAGAGCTTTCGATTGATATATAGAACGTATTTTTTGAATGAAAAATTAAGAATTTAAATTTAAATTACTCTTGTCCCTATCTTTATGTCGACTACTGTATATGTATCAAGCAAAAAAGTTCATAATTATCAGGGAAATGGGAAGAGGAGGGGGAAGTGAAGGGTAACTTTCAAAGTATTACCAAACAAGGATTTGTGTTTTTTTGGCTAATAGAAAGGAATGTAATTAATTAATTTTAAATAAGCTTTGCAAGATTTTAAAAAGGGGAAAATGGAAGTAAAGGAAAGCTCATCCCTGTTTTGAATGCTTTTTAGAGAATAAAGAATTTAATTGTTTATTTAAATTTAATTTCCCCGTAAATATCGGGAGTCAAAAACAAAACTAAATTTAATTTAAAAATTAATTTTTTCTTTACCTGTAAAAAGGCAAATAATAAAGAAAAATAATTGTCTGTAAAATTAATAGAAGCAGCTGATTTTATTTTAAAAATATTATTATTATTTTGTTTAGTAGATGAATGTGACATTATTTAATATTTAAAATAATAATTTTCTGTAAAAAAAATAAATATTAGACAAAGTAAAAGTGTATTTATTTAAATAATTAATTTAAAATAAATTGAAATAATTTTGAGTTTTGACATTTTTCTAGAGGAATATTTAGTTAGGATGACGTTAAAAAATTAAAAAAAAAATAATTTATTTACAAAGGTTTCTTCTCTTCACTTAATTTGTTGCAAAGACCCAAAAAATGTACTACTAATATATTTTTAGTAGTATTTAAATATTTATTTTTATAACCTTTATACATAAATATTTAAAATTATTTAGGTCAGAATAAAAAAAATATTTTTTTTAATTAAAAGAAGACTTTGGAATTTTAGAAAAAAAAATTTAAAATATTAAATAAAATTATTTTTCATCATAAAATTTAAATCATTCACTGACTGTATTATGAAACAGCATTTTTCCAGAATTTTTTGGGTATTCTGATTGGGTTTTTAATCTGTTGTATATCAGGGACCCTGCCGCCCCGATTTCCGAAAATCGGAAATTTATTTTTTATGTCGGCAGAATTAAATAAATCGAAGATGGCCATTTTAAATGGCTTTTAAAATCCTTAAAGGATGGGAGGGTTTTTTAAAATATTCTAAACAATTAATTTCTCTCTTCGAAAGAATAATGGAAATAAGATTTTCTAATGTTTTTTCTTTAAAAATTACAGAAAATGGAAGTTAATTTTTGGTGAATTTCTGGCTTCTTGGGCACAAAATTTTCAAAATCTTTACTTTTGGTAAACATCCAGGTAAAGTGGTCTTTCAATTTTTTTGATTTTTTGACGAACTTTTAAACTTTATTAGGCTCAAAAGCTCAAACAAAAATTAAAAGTAAAAATGTTAAAAGAAGAAAAATATTATTTTTATATATTTTTAAAATAAAAGGCGTGGTTAGCTGTCTTTAATAAACTTAAAAATTTGCGAAAATTTAAAAAAGAGGAGGCGGAAAAAGAGTTGAAGAGGTTGAGAGGTTTTTTAAAAATATTTAAGTCCATTTAAGGACTTTTTATTTTTAAAAAGGTGTGGAGGAGGGAGAGATGTGAGCCAAAATAATATTTTAGAAAAGCGAAAGTTAAAAGGCATTGAAAATCTAGCGAGATTAATGAAATAAAACTGGCACACCTCTACTTAGTGCAAGGAGGAGGGGGAGGTTAAACGTCAATATTTAATTGAAACAAATTTAGAAAATTAATTTAAATGTCTAGTTAAGTTTATAAATTAAAAATATTTATTTTTGGATTTAAATAAATAATTATTTAAAAAAATTGTTAAATGAAAAACTTAAATAAAATATATTTTTCTAAAAAAATATTTTTTTGAGGTCATTCAAATGCGCAAAAAAGAGGAGGAAAGAGGAAAAAGGATTAAGATATTAATAATTAATTTTTAAAAAATAGACAACAAAAAATAATTTTGGTCAAAACTGCTGCTTCTTCTTCTCTTTTTTATGACTTTTTGACGCATAAAAATAATAGTGAGAATGTATGTGGCATTATTAAAATAATAAATATTTTATGAGACAAATAAATTTTTTTTAAATAAATAAATAAAAGAGATGGGGATGGTGGTGGTGGAGGATATTTAAGAGATGGTGGTGGATATTTAAATGTTAAATAAATAATTTTAATTTAAAAAATTACTAATATTTTTTTTAATCTCTTTTGATCCTTAAAAATAAAAATTATTTTTAATTTAAATTAAAAGTTAATGGAAATTTCTGCGATTTAGTTTGTAATTATATGTACTTTGTATAAGCTTGATTTAAAATCCTTTTATTTTAAATATTTACGGAAATGTTTTATAAAATAATTTTAAATAAATTAAATTTTGTAATAATTAAATGCCCTTTTTAATTAAATAAAAATACCTAATTTGGAATAAAAATTAAATATCCGGTAATAAAAAAAGAGGAAATGACTGTAGGAGTAAATTAAATTTAATATAAAAATAAGAGAAAATATGAAACATGAAAAAAAATTATATGTTAAATATATGTATAGTGGACTTGTTCTCTGTGTTTTTTCTCAAAAAATATTCTTTTTAGATTAAAGTTTTTGTTAATATTTTAGGTAATTAAATAGTAGTAATTTGTAAGTAGCTGTTTGTTAAAAATTAATTCCCACAAGGATTTTTTTATACTATTTTGTACCTAATATGTATTTTGTCAAATATATTTTTATATCACCAAAATTTATGGCAGGGGGTGCCGAAACAAATTTTGAAAAGCGGAACATTAAAGGAGAAGGATGAGACAACAAGAAACGCAATTCGGCAAAAAACGCAATAAATATCTCTCCAAATAGTTTAAAAATTTTTATTTTATAATTTTTGAGGATCCGAGACCCCTCTAGCTTCCGCAAAAAATTAAAATTAATAACTTATCCTGAGTTATAAATTTTCAACCAAAAAAGTGCAAGTCTTTGCACACGCGTTTGACCCTGTATCAACGCAGGTTGGGATCCTTTAAACATTTAATAAATTTTATTCCAAATTTAGTTCTCTATCTCATCATATTTATTTTATATCCGAAGAATATTTTTTCTTGAATTCTGTAAATAAATACTTCATTCCTAACTTTCTTAACACCCTATGGTTTAAACATTATTAGACAAGAATCCCAATGTCCCTTAACTCCCAATTTTTATTAGTTTTGTCTGTAGATATCCAAAAATAAAAATATTTTTTAATAAAAGATAACAAACAAACATCATATTATTATTATTATTAGTTTTTTAATAAATTTTTTTCATTTGTTTTTAATTCCATAGGGAATCTCTACATATTATATCTTTGTTATTTTTTTCACTTCCTTATTTTTGTATTTATTAAATATTTAATTTTTTAATTAAAAAATTATTATTTTTTTTAATTAAGTGGGGGAGGGGAAATTACAAAAAAATATTTACTATTTATTTTGTTTATATTTTTAGAAAAGTTTTTTTTAAATAATTTTTCTAAGAATTTAAAAAATTAAAATGACGCCAATTAAAATTTAAACTTTTAACAAAATTTAAAAAAATAATTATTTAAAATACAAATAAATAATTAAAAATTAGATAATATATCCAAATAAATAATTAATTATCATCAAAATAATTCTTAAAAAATATTTTCCAATTATTTTTCTTCAATAAAGACGTTGAACAAAAACAGAAATTAAAGAATCAACGCTTTGTGAACGAAAAAGATTTGAATTAATTGGAGTAAATTGTTGTTGTTTATGTTCAATTAAAATTAAATTATTATATTCACTTAAATTTAAAAAATTGAGGGAAAATAAGTTTAATTAAAAATTAACTAAACATTTTTAAATTCACTAATTCTCTCAAAAATTCAAAAAATATCAAAACCCACCCAAATTCAAGATTCTCTTTCATAAAATTTTTATTCTCTTGTTGTTGTTGATTTTTTTGTTTTAAAATTTTTTGAGATAAAAGTCCAAATGCTGATTTAACCAAACGATAAAAAGATTTAAATTTTTGTTGCATTTTATTAGAGAAAATTAAATATAAGCAAAATATAAATATTAAAATATTTAAATATTAATTTTTAGAAATATCTAAATTAAATTAAAAATTAAACGATTATTGGACTAAATAGGATCACGATAAAAAGGTCACAATCTGAGGACAAAATTGTAAGAAATCTGGCTTCTTACCTCCCATAATTCTCAAAATTTCCACCTGTGGTACTAAAAGGTATTCCACCAATCTCCCGATATCTCGTTAAACCCCCTTGACTCCCTAAATCCGCCTTTACATTTTTGCATCTTGACTCAAAATATATAAAGACATGAACTAATAAACATAAAAAGAAATGTCATGGAATAACATTTATTCAAAAATTAGATATATTATTTACAATTTTTAGCAGATCACGGGGTATAAACAAAAATGGATATTTTTTTGATATAAATTAAGAAAATTGGTAGAAAATAAACTAATTAAAAAATTGAGGGCCAAATTTAATCATATGTCCACTATTTGAGGGAAAATAGTTAATTAATAATAAAAAATATTTAAAATTTTTAAATTTTAAATTAATATTTAAAATCTTAATTAAGGCAGTAATAAATAATTCTAAAAAATTAGAGAATGTCATGGCAAAATAAAAAGAAAAATTAAAATAATTTTGGAATAACCCGAAGTTTATAAAGTCCACCAATTTATTTATTTAAGCATCAATTTCCAACATTTCATTTAATGCATTTAACCAACTTAAAATTAAAAATTATTTTTATATTCTTTTCTTTTTAAAAACTTTGTTGCCGATCCTGGATGTCTCACACAAAAAATAATTTCATCCCCCTTTCTCTCCGTTTTTATTTGATTATGATGGGTTAATTCTATAACCGTGCCGTCCTTTTCTGTTTCCTTTGATGTTACCGAATAACCATAAATAAAATAACTTTCACTTGGTTTATCATCCTTTTAAATAAATAAATAAATGTTTTTCAAAGAAATTAATAATAAACTAACAAATTCCGCCTCATAAAAATTTAGGCAAAATTGATCTAAAAGTCTTGCCCATCGTTGTAATACAATTCCTCGTGAATTCCTTTAAAATATTTTAAAAAATAATTTTTCTCAGAATTTAAGGAGATAAGGAAAAATTCTTTTAAATTTCAAATAAAATTACCTCAAAAAAACAATTCCAGATGGAAATGAATTATCAATAGAAACCATTTCTTTAACAATAATTTTCTTTCTAATTCCATTTTTTGACATTATAAATAATTTAGATAAAGGTAAAAGACGAGAACCATTTTCATAAAAAATTCGTAAAGAAATATCATTAATTGAATACTAAACAAAAATAAATAAAAATATTTTTGATTAAATAAAAACCTTTTTTAGACAATTTTCAGGTAATTCTGTTTCATCATCTGTTTTAATTACTCTAACTTTTTGTGACGTAAATAGAGTTCCTCGTTCAACTAAAAACAGATTTTTTAAGTTTCTGAGAATTCAGAATTTTAATTATTGTGGCCCGTTAGAGATATCCATTAAAAACCCTTTGCGGTGGGTTACAGAGAAATTTTTACAACCAAATCGGATCCCGCTTGTCTACAATAACTGCTTTATTTTTACTTCTCTAATATTTGAAATTAAAGGAATTTCTAGATATTTTTAATTGAATAAAAACTTTAAAACAAAACAAAAACTTACAAGCTATAACAGTCTTTTCAAAACATTCAGGACAAACAATATCTCGTTCCCATTCTAAATTAACTACTGGAGCATACCCAACACATTTACCGCAAATTATCCAACCACAAGCTCTACAATGATGCCTTCTTTTTACTAAATTAAATTTTGTTTCACATCCAACAATTAAACATTTTGTTGTTTTACTATCACGCATCCATTCTGGGGCTGCTATAAATATTTTTTTAATTAACAAAATTTTTAGTTAAATTCCAAACCAGATGAAAATTCAATTTTCGAAGATTTTTCTACTTCTTCTACTTCTCCATTTCCATTCTCTAATAAATTTCTTCGATCATTTAAAGAATTATTATTATTTAATTTAGTTAAAAACAAAAATTTTGTTTTAGCTTCAGAAATTCTTTGTACCCAAACATCCCTTTCTCGTTTATCTTTAGCTCCAAAACTGCTGGATTTTTGTGGAGAAATTAAAGTAAATTCAATCTCGTAATCAACATGATCTTTTTTAAAAGAAAAAATTTTTTAAATAAAAATATTTTAAAAATACCTTTAATATTTAATTGAATATCTTCTACTTTAATTTTATGAAATTTTTCAAATGCATCACCAATTGAAGGATATTTACAAATAAGCAGAAAATCAGAAAAAAGAACTAAATAACGAGGCTGTGGCGTTTTTCTTGTATATCTAAGTAATTCTCCTTTGTGAAGAAGTTTTCTTCCAGGTTCAAAAACCTTAAAAAAATTGATAAAAAAATTAAAAAATGTTGTCAAAAATGTTCACTTCCTAATTAGACACATTTTTAACAAATAACCTCATTAAAAGCTATTCCTAAAAATTATTTTAAAATCAGAAAAATATTCTTTACATCAAAAGATCCTTGAAGTCTTCGATGTAATTCTAATAATTCATTATTATCTGCCCCAACTAAATATTGATTTACTCCACTAGAAACATCTTCCAATTTCCTTAAAGCTTCTAAAAAATAATTTTTAATTTATTAAAATAAAAATTTCAATTACTATCTGCAAGTTCAGCTTCAACACAATTTTGAGGTAAATATTTTTTGTAACGTTCCATTTGACTTTTATATTGAACTATATTTTGATGAACTTTGTCTAATTGTAGAGCAATATAATGTTTATTTATATTATTTTTAATCAATTTATTTATTTTATTATTATTATTTTTATGTTGTTCTGTAAATCCTTCCTTAAAAAAATTTTTTTAATTTTATTTAGAATATTTTTGGTTCTCTTAAAATTTGGTAGTTTTCCTTTATAACAAAAATCAAAAGATCAAACTTTTGTGAGAATCCATAATATTTTTGAAATAAAATCCAAAATATCTCTATTTTCATATTTTCTCAAACCTGTTCAAATGTCCTTGTAGCCAAAGCCAACTCTGAATTATCCTTTAGATATTGAATAAATTCATCAGTAAGTGTTCGTTTTTCTTTTAAAAAATCATTACAAATTTTTAAATAATCAGCATTTTTAAAAACTTCAGCAAAATCTGGATTTGTTGAATCCCTAAAAAAATTTTAATTTAAAAAATAATTATTTGAAAAAACCATTTTCTTAATTTAATTTCAAATGAATTCAGAAAATCTTCATGAACAGCTAATATCATTTGTAAATGGTTAGTAATTCGTGTAATTACATCCCCAGGAGAATGAGAACCTTTAGAAGGGGTTAACCATTTATAGCCATTTCTTCTTTGACATTCTTCCAAATATCTGAAAAAAAAATATTTTTATTCAAAAATATTTTAAATTGTAAAAAATAAAAATTACTTTGGATAATTTACACCGATATGTTGTAATAACTCTACGAAACCTCTTTCCACTTTATAAAATTCAGCTACAATAAAATGTAATTGTCTCAGACGATCATTTTCTTTTTCGTCTCCTGTGTTGTAAAAAGGAATTTCGGGCAGATCAGACAAAGAATCTTCTGCTGAGTAAATACTGCTACTATTAGTACTTGCCATGCTTATAGTTTTTTGTTTCATTTCATCTTCTAAAAATATATATTTTGTTATTTTTAAATATCCCAATGGTGTCTAAGAAAATTATCTAGAGGTGTTCTAAACAAGGGATATCATTCAGAAATAAGCTTTGACCTATTAAAAAACTTATAAAATAAATTTAGCTCACTATCTTCTTCTTTTTGAGGGAATTGACTAGGTTCTGTTTGTGATTTAACCAATCTTGAGCATTCGCCATTTTCCCGACAGGAACGGTTTGGATCACTAGCACGAACTTTTCGGCATTTCTGAATTTAAAAATTATAAATTATTTAAAAATAAAAGGGAACCTTTTTTGCAGAAGTTCTTAAAGTGCCAACATCAGAGGGAAGACTAAAAAATTTTTAAAAATTATTTTAGTTCATTAAAAATTACCCGCTTTTAATAGCTAGCCTTTTAAAGTTATCTTTACTCATCATTTCACTTAGAATACCAGCAAATAACTTCTCTTTTGATTCAAAAGGATTTGATTTTCTAAAATATTAAAATTTCAATTTAACAAAAAAAATTTTAAAAATACCTCCTATTTAAAACTAATGTATCATTCGTTGTAGAATATGAAAGAACAGAATATTCAGAATCTGAATCACAAATATCCGCAACCTGAATTATTTCTGCTTCAGAAAATCGAAGTTCATTTGTATCATTTACAATAATTTCTTCACTTCGGCGCTGTTCAATAGGTCGGAATAACCTTTCAGAATTAACACAAAATAAATTTTAAATTTATTAAGACACTTACTGCATTTTATCCAATCGCTCAGCAACACTCTTTACATAATTTCCCTTTTCTTCAATGTGTTCTAAATGTGGTTTTTCTTCTTCAATAGGAAAAAATATTGGAGGCGAAATGTTGTTGTTATTGATCTTTAATTTTATATCTATAATAAAAATTTATTATTTTTTATTTACTTACTGGCGGATCAGGCGCCCTCCTTGTTGGTGTTAACTTATCTTCAGAATGGGAATGATTTGACATTGCCCTTTCACCTAAAAAAGTATTATTTAAATTTAAACCAAGACTAAAAAATTACCATTTCTGATTGGCACTTGTGGAGTGAGAGATTTTGCCCTAAAATGAGAATTCCCCTCATGACTCTCGTTGTGGATAAATTTTGCACGAATCTGATCAAAATTTAGTTGTCCCTCTTCATCCGTCATTAATTAATTGAGATGTTAAAAGCTCTGAATAACCAAAAAATTAGTAGATTAAGGTAAACTACCTTAAAATGATAAATAAACTTAATTTACAAGTAATTTTGGAACTGGAGGTGTTGATCAACAGCGAAACAAATAAGAAATGATTCACTCAGGGCCTGTTCAGTCATTAATTCAAAGTGTCACTAGAGTTTATTGCTCACTTTATTGCCCGCTCCTCTTTTATTCTTCTTTTGGTATAAATTTCACCTCCTAAATTTTTTTTATCACAAGTCAAATTAAATTCTATATCTCCTACACCCTTAAAGAAAAATCGTGTTTTAATATCACATAATAGTAATAACAAAGAATAAGTGTAAATTTTTATTCAATAAATTAAAAAAAATAATTTAAAAATAAAATTTGCTATATTAAACACTTTGTCCGGCAGCAGACGTTCCTGCTCCATCCAACAATTCAACTGTAAGAGTTGCCGAGTCAGTATCATCAAACCATTGTTTTTTGGTAACAGCATCTACAAACCATACTTTTGCCTTTATTCGTGTTTTCTATTAAAATTTTTTTTAATTTTAGTTTTATAATTTGTTCATACCTGATGAGTAATTTTAAGAAGAAATTGAGATTTAAAATATTTTTGCTCCGGTTCTAATTGAGTTGTTTGCTTTTTTTCGACGTGTGCCTTAAAATTTTTAAATTTTAAATAAAAAAATTTTCAAGTAAAAACAAACCAAATTATCCCTTTTAAGAGTAAGTACAACACAAACACTTTCAATACTCCTTTTATTAGTAGACTCAATGATGCCTTCAATCACCACAGGCAACAAATCCATAGAGGATACTTTGAATACTCCACGGCCATCTGACGGTTGTGGTGAGATAATTAACTAAAAATAATTTGAAAAATTTTAAAATAAAAACGACCATAAATTTTACCCGAATACGTGTAAATTGAACTCGTTGAAAAAAGAATCGAGGCAATCCAAGTGGAAAATCAACTAAACATTGAAGAATATCTACAAGCACTTTAAGCCCTCTAATTGGATCTGGATCGGTAGATTGCAATGAAATCAACTCACTGCGCGCCCAACAAAGAAGTTGAAGAAATCCTTGAGTCTGCGCGCTTGCTTGGAAACCTTTCTGTGTGCTTTCCCCCAAATCTTCCATAGAAATCTCCGAGAGCCTTAATGGAGATAAAAAATATTCTAATAAGATAAATATTCATACTTTGCCCCAGTTCCAGGATCAGAAAGAATCCCCAAATATTGCTCAATCAAAAGACACATCCTAATCATCAAAGCCATTTGAAGAAGCGTTTGCGTGTCTGCATCGAATGATCTAGAGCATAAGCTAACCCATTGTTGTCGTGCCTCCATAACTGGACTACAATATGTTCCAAGCTTTAAACAAAATAAATTAAAAAATTTTCTTATAAAAACCGATTGTATGACTATTTGACGTTTTTCAGAATTTAATAAACGTAAAACATTAAATGTAGTTAAAATTGAATGAATTCCTCTAAATGTTGATTCTAAACAATTAACATAATCTACAGCAAAACCAAATGTTTGACTCTTTTCAGTAGATCCAAGAAACTAAAATATAAATAAAAATTAGAATATCAGAATTTAGACCTTAAGATTAAGTGAAGCAAATTGAAGATTTGATTCTGAATTGGCAAGTTCATCCATATTAAAAGCTAATGGCTGTGCTTTACAAATATAAATGAGAGAAGAAATCCATGATTCTGTCTCAATGCTTTCACACTAAAATTATTAATTTTGAGAATAAAACTGTATCAACGGGAGAAGAAAGTGATAAAGAGAAGGGAATAAATATATAAAATTTTGGCTTTGAAGGACATTAGCTTGATCCCCTTTGCTACAGAAAATTTTTAATAGATTTCAGATTGATCCACCACATGACCTCAAAAAAATTCCCTGTGTAAGTCTTGTATTAAATAGAAGAAAAACTTACACCTGTTTGAATTTTTTCTAATAAAGGCAATGCTAAATATCTCCAATGCCCAAATCTTAAAGCAGAACGTGCAATTTTATAAATAGTCCAATAATTAAAATTATTAAAAATTATTTGCCCAGCAAAATTGGTCAACTTTTGATCATTTGACTGATTTAAAAGAGAAAATGGCATTGTTGAAAGTAATATAGTAAATACAATTGGAGGAACAATATTGAAATTTTTTGAATTGAAAATGGCAGAAAATAATGAAGAATTAACTAAAAATTAATTTTATAATTTTCAAGAAAGAATGCTTTCTGATATTTTTTCAATATTGTTAGAAAAGTTTCCCTAGTTTTACAAACTAGGAATTAGCAAGAATGCATGAATTTTGAAAAAGTTCCACAACTTTTTCAAAATGGGTGTCGTAAGACTCCCATTTATGTATTAGACCCATATATAAAAACTTTTGGACAATAAAAAGGAGTCGACATCTATTGACAAGTTAATTTGGCCCCGGAAGTGTATTAGATAAAATTAATAACTCTTTACCAATTTCTCGGCACTCTCTCCAATAATTTTCATTAATTACAGCCAAAAGTTGAAAGAATTTATCATATGAAGAGGTTAATTCAGCTCTTAGAATATTTTGGACTAGAGAAGAAGCAAAACAAGGAGTACATTTGGGTGAACAAACAAATTTTGATACAAGGAAAAGAAACTATTAACAAAATAAAAATTTTTTAATAAAAATATACCTCATGTTTTTGACGATTAACAATTGAAGATGGAGATATTGGATTGCCAATAAATTGACAAAGTGTAACTTAAAATAATAAATTTTTCATAATTATATTAAAATTTTTAAACTTTTATCTCTCAAATTTCAAAGAAAATTAATCCAGAAATTTATCTGAAAAAATTACCTAAAATTGAATTTAAAAGCGTTTGTTGAAATTGGGCGTCCATTTCTCCATTTAATAAGAGGTTGAGAGACAATTTTATTGCAAATATTCTGACAACAATATTTCCAGAATTAAGAAGGACAGACCAAGGATATTTTTCTTTAAAAAATGAATATTTTTTAACAGAAAAAAGTACAATATTCCAAACCTAATAATATTTTGCTGTGGAATTCTGTTGATGAAAGAACATCCATACAATGAAGCCAAGTGCAAAGAATACCTTTTGAAGACAACAAATTTATTTGATGATAAAAATCGCGAATGGCCTTCAAAAAATGAAAATAAATTGATGAATAAAAACATACTTTAATATTTTCAATTGTCCAAAAATTTCTGAATTCAGCGATACTCGAAAGATTTTGAAGAATACAATGAACTAATAGTTTATTTCTTTGATTAATAACTTTTTCCAATTCTGAGAGAAGAAGCAAAATCTTTTTTAAAAAAATGCTTTTTTAATTTCAAATTATTTTTAGAACCTGTTCGGGTAAAATTGTTTCACAGCGAGATGATAATTTAGAGAGAGAACTAAAAAAAATAAATAAAAATTAAAAAAGATTTAAAAATACCAATAAATAACTGAATGCATCTCATTTGTTGGTAGTCCTTCCAAAAGTCGCCGACCAAGTTCGATACTGCTTTTAGATTCACTTAAGCCTCGTAAATTAGAAATAATTCCAAAAAGTTCATTTTTCAATGAAATTTCAAGAAAATTTTTGCCAAACATTTCAGCAATTTTACGGATTATCAGAGAAGAAAAAGATCTTAAAAATAAAAAAAGTTTATACCTAATTGAAAAAATAAATATATACTTTGAAAATTTCGCCAATTCATTTGCAGCTTGAATAGCTGCGGATAATTCTGTCATTTCTACGCAATCCAAAGATTCAATTATTAAATTATGAACCTAAAAAATAAAAGTATATATTTACTAATTTCTATTCCAAAAATAATTTTAAAGAATAACCCTCCCTTAAATTTCCCCTAATAATTCCCAATCCTAGAGTTGAAAAAACAGCTCCTTAGATAAATTACTTAATTAAGTAAATAAATAAATTAAAATAACCTTTTTATCTTCACAAGTTAAAGGAGCTAACGAGCCTAAAAGAAGAAGTGTAAGTGATCTAGCTTTGTAATCATTTGAATGAGAAACTTTTAAAATAAAACGAATTATTTCTTCTGTTGAAAAAGCCAAAGAAAGACATTTATTACATTCTTTTATTGCTACAACAATTCTTAAACGAATTGTATTCATTGAATGTTCAAATTTTCTTGCAAAAATTTCCCCATTAAATGTCTAGAAAAGTTTAAAAAATTTTAATATAAATTTTATTTACCTGGGCCAATCTAAAAAGAGTAGCATGAACAAAATGAGGAAAAGGATATTCTCTAATATATCGAGCACATTCTGTTATAGTTGTCATTACATCTGCAAGATTTGAAGATTGTAGACCTTCAAAAAATTATTTAATTTTTTAAATACTTTTTGTGGAATAAAAAAACCTTTCTCGACGTGCAATTGCATTGTATGAAGTTTATGTGATTCCATTTTAGTAATTGACTATAAATAAATAAATATGTAGAAGTAAAAATATTTTAAGGTATTGTTCGAAAAAATTTTCAAAAAAATTTTCAAGTTTTTTGAAAAAAATTTCAATGTCACTTAATTAATCTCAAAATGGTCAATACCCATTAAAGTTATAAAATGGTAAATTTGTAATGGTAAGTCTTCCGAATATTTCCCAAATTGCGCGAAGTTAAGAGAAGTTTGTTCTATTTTTTGTAAATAATTTGTAAAAAACTCTTTAGATTGTCTTAAATTCGTTTCAATTTTTATGCCGACAACCTCAAAAGCCCCTTATTCTTATTCTTCGTCGTTTGTGGTATTTAATTTAATTTTTCTAAAATTATTTTTTAATTAAGGAAAGTCATAAAACAACTGTATATTCAATTGCTTTCAACACATTTACACCTCAAGAAGGAACAAGCACAAATTCTATTAATTATTTTGCAACTGCAGGAAAAAATAAAGTTAAAAAATTCTTTTACTTCTTTTTTTTAAATTTTTTAAATTAAGGTTTCTGTTTATAGTTGCTCTTCAAGTCAGCAAGGAATTAGATTATTGAGACAGTTTGATGACCAAGATGCGGTTAGAGAATTTTAAAAATTTTTTAAAATTTTTTATTAAGAAAAATGAATGTTTTTATGCCATAACATGGGCTTATAATTTGGATACTTCTCTTCATGTACTTGTAGTTGGTGGCCATAGAGGGATTATTCGAGTTCTTAGTCCACACAATGGAAGAATGTTTTGTGTATTTTTATTTAAAAAATTTTATTTCTTTTGTTTTTTAGTCTTTACTAGGACATGGGGATTCAATTAATGAATTGCGTACATCTCCAACACATCCAATGATTGTTGCTTCAGCAAGTAAAGACTTTACTGCACGTATTTGGAATATTATGAATAGACAATGTTTGGCTATTCTTGGAGGAATCCAAGGCCATCGTGATCAAGTCATATCTTTGGTAATTTTATTTTTTTCGATGAAGTCTGGAATTTTGTATGCTCCCCCCCCCCCCCCCCCCCACATTCCTACGACACGATAAGAGAAGATTTTCTAAAATAAATTTTTACCACATTAAGTGAATACCCATCGTTAATTAAATAAACAATTTTGAAAGGATTTTGATGTTACTTCAAATTTTTTGGTTACTGCTAGTATGGATCACGCGGTGAAACTTTGGCATATTGGCCCTGGCACTGAAGTGGGTGAAGCCATTCAAACATCGATAACAAAAAGCAAACCTGCCTCACAATTTCCAACAGAATTGCATTTTCCTATTTGTAATTCAAGAGATTTACATACAAATTATGTTGATTGTGTTCGAATTATGGGGGATTTTATATTTTCAAAGGTTTTTTTAAAATTTATTTTTGGAAGTATTGTGGCACTTGTAAAGATTAGAATGCTATCCTTATCTAAATTTTCGGAATTTTCTTTTGTTTTTTCCCTTTGGCATTCAATTAAGTATTTATAAAAACAGAGTAAAACTTAAATGTCATACTCTAATAGAATAACAAAATTTCTAAAATAATACAGCAGACGTGTTTCTGCATGTTTCACAACGTGTACAAGTTAAGAAAAATGCATTGAAAAATAGATAATTGTAGGTCAAAAATAAGGCGAACATATATGAGTGAGAGATTCCAAATAATTAAAAAATATTTACTCCAATTTCTTTACATATGCCATTTAGTCAAGTGAAGATTGTATTACATTATGGAAATTTGGCACATTTGAAGAAGGGATTTGTGGTAAAGGTTCACTGAAATGCCCGGAAACTTTTGCTTCACACACTGTTATAATGGTTTTATTTTAATTTTTTTGTAAATTAATTTAAATTTTTGTAGAAAATGCCAAATACAGAAATGTGGTTTATTAAAATGGCTATTGATCCACATCGAAAGGTTAATTCTTTTTTGATTTTTTTCAAAATAAAAATTTTAAAGTTTCTCGCTTGTGGAAGTCAACAAGGTGAAATTAGATTATGGAGATTAAATGCAAATAGATTGCCTTTAGCAGAAAGGTAAAAAATATTTTCTCATTTATCTTCGATATAAAATAGTCCGATTTTAACCCCAAGAGTACATCCTTATATGTACCTACAATTAAATATAGTTATTAGTCATTTTTAGTGATTATCTTCTTGTTCCAAGCAATAAGGAATTGAAAGGATGTATTCGTCAAATAGCTTTCAGCCCCGATGGAAAAGTTGTGTTTTTAAATTTATAATATTTTTAAATTTAAATTAAGTTAATGATGGCTGTTGGCGATTGGGGATTGGTAATTCGTTTTGATCTCAATCCAGATTTTTAACAAAAAGATGTTTTTCTTAGAATATTTATTTTTTAAATTATTTTCGAATATTCGTTGATCTTTCAATTGAAAATTTAAATTTCTTTCAAAATATTTTGACATTTTTATGGTACTTTCCGTTACTCCCTGCTAATTTACTAATAGAAATATGCCAAGCTTTAGTTTCAGAAACCCGTTTTCAATAAAGGGGAAAGGTGTTTTTGTCACATTATCTCATGAATTGTTTGGGGGCATAACGGGAAAAAGTGCTATTTTTATTTATAAAATTGGAATTTGATTTAATTTTACATAAATAGAGCTACTAATTGCAAATTCTAAAAAAATATTTACTATTATTGAGGGTTTGGTTGCAGGTGTGTCGAGACTATAATAATAGCTGGCATACACAAATATAAACACACAAATCGGCTGTTTGCGCATCGATGGTCGCTGACCTCTATTTAAATGAAGCCTCATCTTTGTGTGTTTATGTTAGCCGAACCAAGCTTTTTGGCCGTGAGAGAAAATAAACGAGCAAGAGGGAAGAAGAGGAATGATTAGTTTTTAGCTAAAAGTCCTTTACTTTGGATGGTTTGTTTAGCGCAAATATATTTATTTACTCTCGAAATGTTGCCTCTATGTCTGAACAAAAATATTTTTATGAAAATAAAGAGAGTGCTAAAAGCTCAGTTATTTAAAAAAAAGAACGTTTAGTGTTTTAAAGTCTCTAAATAAATTTCTTCAAAAAATTTTTTAGAAAAAATCTTTTCATTTTTCTCTCATCGAAATAATTTTCCCATAAAGTTTTAGCACAATTCTTTTATTTTTTTAGATTCCCTTGTGGCCAAATTTAGTCACAGATTATTGCATTTATGTGTATTTTTCTCCCCAACTTTTATCGGTTTTTAACCAAATGACTTTTTTTTAGAGATTTTTTTGTTAATTTTGGAGAGAAAACTTTAGGCCGTCAATAAGGCCGGCATCCCATTTTTTCGTTTTAATTTTTCATTTCCTTGAATAACTCGGAGCTTTTAATTTTTTTGTATTTTAACACATTAATTACCTCAATATTCATTTTTGGTTACCTCTTAAATTAGGTTTTTTACTATTTATTCAAATATTTACGGATATTTACGCTCGAACACTCATTATCTATTTTCATCACTTAATCCTTAAATTAAGAGGTTTTACGCCCTCTGACCTCCAATATTTAGCTTGCAAACAATGTTAGTTTTTTTTTGTTAATTGTGTAGTCCATTTCCGTTTCTATAGAAACGATAAAAGGGATGGGCAATTATTATACCTGGATTTTTTATATAAGAAAAATAGAAATGGTTGGGGGAGGGGGGGAGGGTCTCTCCGAAACTGTCTCTCTCCCTTTTTACTACATTAATGTCAATTTCCATCAGTTAAAAGAAAGATCCCGAGTGGAAACTGAATCCATCCAAATTGATAGAGAAAACTCTTTTTTCCAACTATACAATTACTCATTTTATTTTTATATATTTTCCATCTGCCGTCGGCCAAAATTTCATCCATTCCTCCCCTTTTTACTACGCGCAAAGGCCCAACTAAAAATGGCCAGCCTCATCATGTAATGCCTAATTCTACACACACACCTGCCTCATTTTTGTAAAAAATTTTTAATCTGAAAATAAATTACAAATTAGTTATTTACAAACATTATTTCCCCCTTTTTTGTTCTCAATATTTTTCTATTAAGTTTAATAAGAAAAGAAAAATCGGAAAAAATTATTAGTCTCTTCATTTTCTTAATAAAATTTTTTAGTAATTTTAAGTTAAGCTGGTAATATTCCGTTTTTTCTATTTAAAATTAATTTGGTTGGATTTTTTCAGTTTTTTTGTGTCTTTTTAATTGTTCAGAAAAGCATTTTTAGTGTTTCAATTTTGTCTGAAAATTTAAATTTATTTTCCTCTTCAACTCCATTTCCGTTATTTTCCCATCACCTTATTTTCTTTCATTCTCCATGTGTTGTTTTCTTATTTTTAACGGTCTTATTCACTTCTAATCCGGCCTAAATCCCCTCTTTTTTCTCTTTAAAGTAAAGTTAACAAATTATTTAACAATTCACGCAATTCTTTCTTTAACTATTCTCTAATTAGTTTTTTTCCCTTTATTTTATGATTTTTCTCATTCACCACTTTTTTTATGAAGAAGATTGATATAAGGATATTTCTACAATAAATTATACCCTTTTATTAAAAAATATATTTTAATAAGGAAAAACTTCCCTAGGGAGGAGATTTTGTTATTTTTGAGACAAAATTTTCAAATTTTTATTAAGGAATTAATTAAGGTGAGAGGGGGGTCTTCTTTACACCTTTAACACTACTCTTCTCTCATTTTAAACTGCAAAAAACACCCTTCCAAATTAAAAGTTTTACATAAAATTCTTTACAATTTTGACTATTCTTTTAAAATATTTTTTATTTAAAAACCACCAAATCCGCCCCTTTCTTCTCTTTTTTTTCAATTTTTATAAAAATATTTTGACCAAACCCCTTTCATTTATTTTTAGCTTTTCTTCCTTCAATTTGCCGATTTCTTGTGAAAAACATCCCTTTTTTTGTGCCGTTTCTCTTTTCTTTAATTTTCCTTCCGTTTTCTTCTTCTATTCCATAAATGTTTAGTTTGAAAAAAAAACACACAATTTTCGAGAAAATATAAAATAAAAATAAAGCATAATAAAGAACGGGCATTCCCCCTTTCCCTTATTTTTTTATTTGGCACAATCGATGCATGGAATAAAGCAAAAAATGTTGACGAGAAAATTGTTATAAATTTAAAAATAAATTTAAAAATCTTTAAATTTAAAAATTTAAAAATCTTTTTTTTTTAAATTTAAAAATCTTTCTAAAATTTTGTTTATATATTCTTATTGTCAGAAATTCTGTTAGACATTCTGACTCAGAATGCTCTAGTATTTTAAAAATATTCAGCCAATGTTGTATTATTCTAAAACCTATTTAAGACAAAGTAAACGGTCTTAATTTTACTTATATTTTTCTGTCATGTTCCCCACAAGATATTTATTTATTATAGTGTGATAAATCAAATACCTAACAATACCTGATAAAACAATACGAATAATTTAATCATTCATGCGTCTCGAGTTAAGTGAAATAAAAATTAGCGAGATTGGATGGATATTAAGTTTTAAAATAATTATTTTTAAAATGTTATTTTCATTTATTTTAAATGTTTTTCCCAATTTATTCAAATTATTCCCACAAAATTAACTAAAAATTTTTTCTTTTATTTTATATTTCACCAATATCAACTGGCAAATTAAACATTTTTTGATTTATAAAACGTTTTTCCTTAAAAATGAAAAAAAACTTGGTCCGAATTCAATAGAGCAACTTTGATTTAATCAGTCTTAATTTTATCCACATTTATCCAATATTTTTGAAACTAGCATTATTCGATTTTATATGACTGTCATTATTTATTTTTTAATAAAAAATTTTTTAATTATAATTAAATTTTTAATATTTCTTTTTATTAAAAAATATTTTCTCTCTCTCTCTTTTTATTCCTTTATTCAAAGCTTCTTTTGCTCGTCATTCACCAGCTTAAAAAGGAATAAGGAAGAAAAATATATTTATTTATTTGAGAGAGAAAAAGTAAAAGCCCCCCCTAACTGCTACTACTTTTTTCCTTTTATTGTTGTTATTGGCACATTTCCAGCCATTTTATTTCCCTTTTTTTATATAATTCTTTAAAAAAATATTTTTTTATTTTTATAGAAAAAAATGTTGCAATTTTATTATTAAAAATTTCTAAAAAAATTATTTTTTTGGCATAATGTTTATAGCAAAAAATAATTATTTAATTTTCTTTATTATTTTATTTAAATATTCTGTGGCTGTCAGAAATAAAGAAATTGATGAAAATTATCAGCGTTTAATTCCCTTAAATCAAATACCAAATAATTGTGAACATTCTAAAGATAATGAATTAAATTCTGAACCGGCAAAAGAATATGGGTTTGTTGAAAATATTGGACTAGAAAAATGTAAAGTTTGGTTAGATGAAGAACAAAGTACTTCTAGTGATGAAAATGGGCATTATGAACGTTATAAATGTAAACACTTGAGAGGTACTAAATAAATATTTTATGGAAGTATTTAAATTTTGGGAAGACAAAATATTGAAAATTTTTGGGTTACTCCATAGTAGTGTCCTAGACCAAATTTTGCTCCCTGACCCAGCACCCCGTCCTGAAACAATTCAAAAACCCCGTACCCCGACGCAACCGCCTCTGAGCATTCGAGGTGCAACCTTAGTTACTTGTTTTTTGGGAAAGTTTGTTGTTTTTGTTTTTTAAATATTTGTTGCAAAATAAACAAATATTCTATGACAATTTCTAGAATTTTTAATTAATTTTGACATTATTTATTTAACTTTTATTTATTCCTTCCTCGTTTAGTGTATACCTTCTCGTTATTTTTTTAATTCTTTTATAACCTCTCGAAATATTTTCTAGTTTCTAAAATATTTTTATGAAAAAATATCGAAAAAAATCTAAACAATTAAATTAAAGTTCACGGACATTTTAATGAAGAAACTGGCAAATGTGAATGTAAAACAAATTGGAAGGGGTTAATATGTAATGAATTTATCGGTTGTCCAGTTAATTATTCGTATTTCTTAAATGTTTGTACACCAAATATTTGTCAACATGATGGACAATTAGCATTAGGTTCTAAACATATTGAATGTATTTGTAAAGCACCTTGGGATGGAAGGTTTTGTGAAAGACTTGCTTGTTGGAGAATGGCTGATAAAGGTTTTAAAGAGGAAGATTTGAAGGGGAAAATAAATTAAATAAATTTTTATTAGAACATGAAAGACGATGGAGAAATTCAATAGATCATTGTAAATGTGCAGATAATTATTCTGGTGAAAATTGTGAAACAATAATATCCTGTCAAAATGGGGAATTTATTAATGAAAAGTAAAAATTAAGGAAATAATAATTTAATATTTAATAAAAAAAGGTGTCAATGTGCAGAAGGATGGACTGGAGAAATTTGTGACCGTAAATGTACTCCTGGTCAAACGTAAATTTTAAGAAATAATATTTAATAGAAACTATCGGTTGCTTCTAATTATTTTTACTGAAAGGATAAAAAATTGGAATATTTTTCCGCTTTTATCTAAACTAGAGTTAGCCAATTTAGCCTAACTTTAAAATTATTCTTTAACTGGCACGCAAAGAAAATTATATGAATTATACTACGTCGAAAGTGTATAAATTTGCATCCGGAAGTAAAAATTTAAAAAAAAAAGCAATCGTTAAGGGGGACTATAAAATCGGACAGGAGCTTTTCAAGAAAACTGAAACCAAAAAACCGGAAGCAAACCTTTCAGCAAAGCTTCAGTGTAGTATCGACCTTGTTAGGAAAAATAGTGCATTAATTTCGATTTATGGTAGAAATTCAAAAAGTTAAACTGGTAAAACTCAAAAAAAATTCCCGAATGTTTCGATTTTAAAATTAATTTTAATTTTTTATTTAAAGATGTGGCGCTGATTCTTTACTTTTTGGCAATCAAATTGTCACAGTTTTAATTATTTTATTTACTTGTTTAATGGCTTTTATAAACAGATTGATGGAACTTTAGTTATTAACAAATTATTATTATTCTCTCAAAATAATTTTTTCCTTAGAGCTTTCCCAAAATTCAATATTTGAAAATATTATTTTTTGTTTAAAAAACAGTTTGACTCACTATAAAATACCCTTTGGTGATAAAAATTGCAACTTATAAGAGGATGTATCTTAAATAGAGGGTCTTTATTTAGAGGATTTTTATTTTAAATACTTTCTATGGCCAACTAGATTTAAAGAATTCTGGATATATCTTTATAAGCAGGGTTGGATATCTAGCCTTTAGTCATGGTACCAGAAACTTCGACTTTTTCTCGACCCGTTACTCGAAACCTGATCCGAAAAACTTTCCAAAACCCGATCTGAAGAAAATTTTGAAGACCCTACCCGACTTCTTTCTCAACCCGTCCCATCCCTACTTTATAGTGAGGCCAAACTTTATAGTTTGTATTCTTCTCATAATTAAAATTTAATCTCTTTTTTCTTATTTTTATTTCAATTCTTTTATATTATTTTTTAAAGTATTGTGAATAAATAAAATTTTTAAAGTTGAAATAAAAAATTTTATTTTAAAGTATAAAATGTCTGTCAATATTAGTGTGGTGATGTTTGTTAAAAAGAGCAGCTTTATGACTTTTAATTTTTACTTAGAAATAATAAAATATTTTTTGATTTTTAATCCCAAAAGATCAATAGTAAGTACAATCAACTAATAAATTTTTTTCTCTTTATATTTAACTTTACCTTTAGTGAAAGAGGGAGAAGGTGAAGTTTTGGGGTATAAATTAAAATATATTTGGACCTCGATCCTCTTAAACCCTTTATTAATTAAATATACCTTAATTTAAAAATTTTATATTTTCTAAAATAAAGACCTCAAAAGTGACCCTCTGTTGAACAATCCCAAAGGAGTATATATAATTGAGGTCTTTATTTTAGAAAATAGAAATAGTATTTTTAATTAAATTCTACAAATGTCTGGTCGTTTGTTACTGTTTATTGGTTTATTATTTTCTGCACCAATTGGATTCATTTTAATCTGGTTTGTAATTATTGCTTTGTCCAACCTATTGTTAACCTCATTACCCTTACAAATACCGTGTTTCATCTAATAGAATGCCCTGTGCCCGGACATTCACTTAGAGGGAATACTGTGTTAATTTAAATGTTTGGATGTATTTTTGTTGGCGTTTTGTTTTTATTTTTTATTACTGTAGAAATTTCATACTAGAACGGTACGATTTTGAGAAAGATAAGACATTTCGAGAGGTCTTTCACATAACATGAAAATTATTCTAGTCGAACGAAAATCAAAAACTGATTTAAATCGACTTCTTAGTCATCTTTTGTTTGCTGTAACATTTTTTTGTTCCCCATTGAACATTTTCTTCCCCCATTGATTTTTCTTTCCCAATTTTAAAATATTTTTACAACCTTTTAAAAATGAACTAACTTAAATATTTTAACAATTTTTTTTTCATTTTTAACTTTACTAAAACTATTAACTTGATAAAAGTTAAAATAATTTTTAGTAATTTTCCATAGCAACGCTTTTTAATATAAATTAATATTTTCATCTTCTTATAGTTAATTTTTTTGCTTAGATTCTCCCTAATTTTCCCTATTTTTCCTTTTATTTTTTTCTAAAAATATTTTTACATTTTTTTTATTTTTTGGATGTTTAGGGCATTGACAAAATTAATTGACGCTTCTTCTGTTTCAAATAAATTAAATATTGCAAATATGAGTCAATATACAATTGCGGAATGTGGTTCTCGTAATTCTTTGGATTATCGAATTTTTATTAGTAAGAAGTATTTTTAAATTAATTTTTAATAATTCACCATAAGATACCCTTAAATATTTAATAATCTTAATTTATGATACTTTTTTTTAATTAGATGGGAATGTTCGGGCTGTATAATTAAATTTTATATTTTAGAAGGACCAACCGGAAATCTTGTTTCGCCTTGGCACGATATTCCTTTGTATGCTGATCCTGTAGCGAAAATATTTAATATGGTTGTTGAAATACCTCGTTGGACTAACGCGAAAATGGAGGTTTTTTAAAAGTATTTTCTTATTATTTTTAATTTATCAAAATAAAAGATGGCAACAAAAGAGCCAATGTCACCAATTCGTCAAGATGAGAAAAAAGGTTTGTTAAAGATTGGGACTGTGTCAAAACTCGGGTTTGTCTTTAAACTAATAGTCAGATCATTGAGTTTTTATTGGGTATTTGTTTTTCTGCCCGGGCAAACCCAGGGGAACCTCCCCCCTCCTCCAACCCAAACCTCAATTAATTTTTGAAAAACTCTTCAGGTTTACCACGTTTTGTGAATAATATATTTCCTCATCACGGATATATTTGGAATTATGGAGCCTTGCCTCAAACATGGGAAGATCCAAATCACGTGGATGCACATACTGGGGCTAAAGGTGATAATGACCCGATTGATATTATTGAAATTGGTTCGAAAGTTCAAGAAAGAGGGGCTATTGTTCAGGTTTTTTAATTAAATATTTGAAAATATTTTAGTTTTTAATTTAAAGGTGAAGATTCTTGGAACTTTGGCACTTTTGGATGAAGGCGAAACTGATTGGAAGGTATTTTGGAGATCTTTTTGACTTTGTTGCCCCATTTTGATTCTTTTCTATTTTCCATTGTTTACTTGGAAACAATCAAGAATTAATTTTAAGTAGTTATTTAACCAGCTAACTAAGAAAGGGAGTTTTCTTCATTTTTTCCATAAAATTATTGTTGTCCAATTAGTATAAAATAAAGAAGTAACGCTTCCGTGGTGTAAAAAAATAAAATTAATATCTTTTTGATTGATCTAGTTGCCAAAGGTAAAAGAAGGGAAAATAGAGAAGAAATTAAAATGAGGCTCAAAATGTTAACTTTTAATTTTTTCTAAAGTTGGTTGGAATTAATATCAAAGATGACTTGGCGTCTAAATTAAATAGTATTAATGATGTTGAATTGTACATGCCTGGACTTTTATCTGCAACACAGGAATGGTTTCGTGTTTATAAAATACCAACTGGAAAGCCTGAAAATAAATTTGCTTTTAATGGCGAATTTAAAGGTAAAGAATTTGCACACAAAATTATTGAGGAAACAAATGAGTTTTGGAAAAGTTTAATTGCGAGAAATGAAACGGGAGGGTTAAACACGTTAGTTTATTTTTTAAATTATTTAATAGTACAGTCGAAACTCGTATCAGATATACCTAACATAAGTTTAAGATTCGTTTTTAAAATTTGGTTGGCTAATTTATGAGGTTAGTCGTCCACTCGATAACCCTTAAGATTCTCCTAACTATAAGATATACAATTTCAATCTGAATGGCTATCCTATATGAGGGCCGATTGTATTTGGTGTAAAAAATTTCTTTTAACAATTATTTTTAAGCGAATGTCTTGTTCCCGGAGCTGCATTTCCCGCTAATCAGCAAAATTGGACGAGTCTTTTTGATAAGCAACCGAAGAAGGGAGAGGAAAAGCCAATTCCGGAAAGTGTCGACAATTGGTATTATATTACTTTATCTGACAAATGACTGGCAAATAATAAATGGATAGCAAAGATATAGAGGTACTTTTTGAATATATTACTCCTCCTCTATTCGAATCTCAAAATTTTTCCTTTTTTTACATTTACAGAAGGAATTTTGATTAATAGAGAAAAGATTAATTTTGAGACTAAATAGAAATAGGGGAGGATGATGTATACAAAAAAGTACTAGAATACACCTACCTAATTTATATTTAAAATTAAACTATTATTCCTCTTTCTACCTCGACGAGGAAATTTTATTTTTGTTAAAAAGACATTTTTGGGTATAAAAAAATAATTTTTTCATTTAACATATCGAGTTTCTTTAGGATTTTTAAATCTACACAAAAATGTCTTTCAAGTAAAAAATATCATTTATTGACCGGTTTAATTTTGTTAAAATATTTGGGACTGGCATTCGTAGCCTGATATTTGAAATCTAAAATTATGACGTTGGGATCGACATTTGTTATCCAATTTAATGTTGGTCCGTTAGAATACTGTGTGTTTCTTTTCTGTTATGCATTAAGTGATTAGGCCTAATTTAAAATAAGCCCTCTATTCTTCAATACAGATTTTTATAGGCATAACAGTAAAGAAATTACAGACAATAATTTACCATCAACAATCCTCAAATATCGGGCCACGAGTGTCGGTTGACAAAAAATTACCCATATAAAGAAAATAAATTGTTTTTGGTTGGCAATAAAATGTTGAGAATAATTTTGAAAATAAAAATGATAAAACTTTTGTTATTTCCAATGTTTATTTTATATAGGAATTTTTTTAAAAAAAAGTCGCAACACTCTGTTCATTCCCTTTGAAAATACCAAAAATAACGTGGCAACTTAGAATATAACAAAATATTTCCCCAAATTTAAGATCCTATTAAGCAATCAATCGAGAATAAAAAATTTTCTACTAATAATTTAGAAAACATTTAAAAATAAATTATAAAATTTATATCTTCTGACTATATGAATTTTTAAATTTGGATTTAAAATTGAAGAAAAATATAAAAGTCTATTTAGAAAGTTCTTAGTTTATTTAAAAAAACATAACTAAACTAAAAGTTTACATTTTGAATTTAAATTTCTAAATTAAACTTAAAGAATATATTCTTTTAAATATTAATTTAATCTTATTTTTTCTAATTTTCATTTCCAACTTCAAAGAACTTTCTAAATAAATTAATTTTCTATAAAATATTTAATTTTTCCTTAGCTCTGAGCCTAGGAAAAAAAACAAAATTTCAGCACTATTATATATGTATAAC